TGTGTGTTCTCCCTTCTTCTTCCCTTTTCAGTTACACACCGAGCATACGAAATAGAAATCGGTTAATTAGCGTGGAAAATGCTCGTAATGTTGTCTGCTTTTCATCGAGCGTATAAAAAATTCATAAACAAAGAGCTACAGAAAATTTCAACATCTCGAAACAATTCAGTGTTCATATTTTAAAAATGATATGTACTAGAACGCGATAGATTGACCATTTTAATTATACTTATGTGATATTACTTGCTGGATGTTACTCTATTTTTAAGTTCATAATCGTATGGGAGGATGTGATCGTTTGCCCCGTAAATCCGATTACAAGAACAGATTTATTTTGACTGAAGCACGTGACCTAACAAAAACGTTTCGACCCTTAATCTGTCTCTTTATATTCGATTCGAAATGCAACACCTGCTCGCAAGAGAACAGATGCGTTTACCGCAACAGATTACGATTCATTCGTTGAGAGACCTGTCACATAACCCAAGATATCCACTGGCTATATTGCTTTTTATAATGTATTCCGACACACGAGCCCTATCTTTTTTAATATGCTGCAAAAATTCGGAAGGTTTTATTGGTAGAACAACTTGTATACCAAAACAACTTGAAACGACCTAAGAATTATTTTGTCATAAGTCACAAAGCATCAATGGAATATAATACAATACTTTCCCTAAACGATTATTGCTTTCGAGCCGTAAATATTTGGTAAACAGGGTAGGTGTATGGCAGCGCAGTCATTCTAATCACCTAGCGTTATTTGAAGTTCGCCATCGTCGTTTGCGATGGCTTAACCGGATGACTTATGGCTTCGAACGATCGGAATCGATGATTTTTCCGACTCTATCCCGCAAACGACCACCCTAACGACCACCCTTACGACCACCCTCCGTCGTTTCGACAAACACGTACAGAGACAGGGTTATGGTTATAAATTATGGGAGATATTAAACCGTGAAACCAGCCGGGCGGGAGCATCAATTTACTCGGGGGTGATTCTTGGTAGCGGTCAGGATTCCCTTAATACCACCACGATTTACTGACTCCACGTACAATTAGAATCTTGACTGTTACCCTCGGGAAACGGGCAATATTTCGGGGTGTAAGATAACAAATTTAATTACACAGATTCGTGTCAAAGCTATTTGTACGGTTCTTTATGGTCGGGAGCTGTGATTAATATTTTTCTAAATATTGGAAATATTAAGGTACATGAAAAAATTGTTCTCTTACTTGAAGAAAGAAACATCGATCGGTGAAAATAATTTTCTTGCAAGGATCGCGTTCGCGGGAAACTTGTCCGTATAAAAAGTCACGACAATGGCGGAACACTCAGTTTTCTTGGACTTTCCCTGCTTGGTTACTCTTGGGGTAGCGGATAAATGGCTACCTCGTTTCTTGTACACCCTTCAAGTTGATTGTAGCAGGGGGTGGGACGCGACGGCAGAAGAACTGTTGAAAGAAGGGACAAAGGAGGACGCGAAAAACACCGAACGAAGATGATAACGTTGCCTCCCTTCAAATTATTATACCAGCTAGCCACCTATACTCTAGCACGTTCAACTTTTTAATTACATTACGCTTACTCTCTCCTCTGAACCGACCGAACCAAACGTTAATTGCCTATTTAATCCTCTCCGATATTAAACTTAATTACATTGCATTCCATTGTTTGCCGGAGGGTGAGAATTCGTCTTGAATCAAATCTGTTAATTAATATTTATAACGTGTTTTCGCTGAAACGAGGTAACTCGGAGAAGAAGCACGCGACGAGGATGAGCAACGACATTATCATCTTTCCGTTAGCTGATCGAAAAGGATAAGACGATTTGCGAGCTGGTAAAGTGAACGACGGCGAACATTTCGCGGCGGTATTGTCTGCCTGTGTCCGTCGTCGCTTGTGTACGTAGCTTAACGCCCACGATATCAGGTTGCCGAGCGACCCGTCGCTCTGGCAGGAAAATTTAATTTCAGCTGACAACATCCTGTTTCGCTACACACTGTGCTCAGCATTCTACGAAATCGCATGCGAGACGATATCGACGAGGATGGTAAGCAATCGACGATGATTCTCTTTTGGATGCTAGACCATTCCACCACTTTGCTTCTTCGAATTTTTCGTAATTTTTCAAACAGAGAATAATGTAATCTAGGAATAAATAAAAGAAGATACCTATTCCAAATGATTTTAAAATTATTCATAAACCTGTATAAAATAAGACTTACTTGTACCTTGCAACAACTACATACTAGCTAGGACCAAGCATGTTTCAAGCCTCGAACCCTATGTATCGGATAGCTTGAAACATAGCGAGTTGAGGATTTTCCAATGTGATACCACTACCACCAGCATCGCCGGTAGAATCCCTGACGAAAGCCACGACACGGCCTGTGCATACAAACGTTCCAGGGTTCGCCGTGAGCGAGAGCTGGCCTGGCGTTCGAATGCGTGCAACTCGCACGAGTGGAAAATACCTCAGAAGCTGAGGATGGCTACAACCACTATTTGTTCTAGTCTAGTCTCGCTAGCATCTCGTAGCCACCCAATTTCCCCCACCTCATCATCCCTTGTCCTGTTCCAACACCCTTCGCCTTTCCGTCTAACCCCCGTTTAGTAACCCTCGCCTCTGTACGCGACCCTTTCCTCATTTCCTTCTCTCCCACCCTCCTCCGGTTCGCGTGTCCGTCATCCTCTGTGTTACTCTTTTAGCCAGGATTCTCCGGCAATCACCAACCTCCCTTCTCTGGACCTCTTTCTCTACCGTTCCGTTCGTTACGTCCCCACTCACCCTCTATTACACTCCACCACAAAATCCTACTATACTAGTCAAATTTTTTCTTTCTTCGTAATAGATTCATTATGAACGAATCCTATGGAAATAGTGTATCTAGTTAAATAAAATTCATTTTAGCAGAGGTGGTGAAACGTTATTTGTGGAAATTATTTATTAACCCTCTGACGCGACGGTGAAGCCGAATTTTCGTTAAAGAGACTTGGCTTTCGGAATGGACTTAAATTTTTCGAGTACGCGCATACCCCAGGATGAAATATTCTAAATGCAGGATGAAAAAGCAGCAAGCATCCGATATCGGTGTGCCATCATTTTGTCGTGGAGTGTAGTTTCGTGCGTCTATTTATCCACCTAGCGGTATGATATTACACCCCGGGGCACACTTCGGCATTCCCCCACGCAGAAGCTGGCTGCTGCTGTTGCAGTGGTGGTAGCACCCCTTCGAAACGCACCCCTAGCCGGGGCCACGCCCAATCGTAGCTCACCAAACACCTCCTATGCAGCAGCCAGTCCATTGGCTCGGGCTGACTTTGCGTCATAGCCACCCCGGCACTTGCACCGCGTGTTTCACGGATGAGGGTACGTGGCCGCCGACCGACTCGACTCCTCTGTCGGCTGATTGCGAGGGCATCGGCTCAACGACAGAGACGAAAGAAGAGGAAGAGAGCTTTGGATCGAGGAAACAGGGCTGCTGGGTAAAGGGAGATGCGTAACAGCCTGAACGAAGATAGAATACAAAGGGTAGATCGAAGGAGGAGCAAGAGGAGGAGGTACGGTCGGTGGCGAAGAGGGTGTTGAAATTTAGGAGGCTTCATTTGGACCATTCTTTTAACGGCGTATCACGCGCCGCTCCGTAGTTATTACGCTTATACTCGCATTTTTTTTTCTTTCCCTCTTTCTTTCTTTCTATCTTTCTTTTCTGTTATTCTATTTTCTACACGCGAAAGCTTGCTTTCTTTCGCGAAATCAACCGCGACCCGCTTGATCGTCACCGTACGCTTTGTCGGTGTACGTGTGGACGAACATCTTCACACCTTCTGAGGAGGAAATCTGGGTTAAGAGGCTGACCTCGAGGCTCGATGGCTTTTTGCCGAAGAAACTGTTCTAACCATTGGCGTAACTTAAATTTTTGTCTGGGATGGATCGACTTTCTTGGATTCAATAATAATGCGAAGCAGGAAATTGGAAATTGGAAATTGGAAATTCAATTACTAATCATTCAGTTGATATCTCCTCAAAGGGTTAATTAGAATACTACCACGATTTTAAAATGGTTTCGAGGACACCAGATTTACAAAATCAAAAGCCTACTTAGAGGTTAGCCGTGGACGAGCGTAACTAGCAGCCACTCTGCGACTTATCTCGCTAAAACACACGATTTTTCTTGCGGATAACAACGGGGGCTGTTGTTCCCGTGCCATTACTCGAGAGCAGTCACAGAAGCTTTGATCAGCATGGTAATGCATCGGGCCGTATGAAAAAAGCTCTGAAATTGCAACTGGTTTGAAACCGCTCAGACCAGAGGAGATTTAGGGTGAACAGTTGAGCGTTGAAAGGCCTAATCGTCCCGGCAGCCTCTTTGTACGCAAAGTTAATAACGTGTATTTATGTATTTGCCACGTTTAATTGCCTGTGCGGCTATTACATTCGCTCTGAAATGCTTGCTCCCGCCTTGAATACACGAGGGAGGGTAGTATTAAGTGCTTGCTCGAGTGCTCTGCGAGTCTGGCAATGACACGAGACTTTGATGCCGCTTATAGTCATCGTTTTATCATTATTTAGGATGTTTATGATGTTAACTTATATTGAAGACAATATGTACTTATATCTTATTGATAATAAAGTATTTAACTTACTTCTAAATGAAGTGATGATTAAAATTATTGCGCTTCCCGAACCACAAAACTACTACAACCACCTAGCACTCTATCCCGGAACTAACAAAATGAAATTTTAATTTTAATTCCTGCCACTAAAAGCGCTGTGATTTAATATAATCTACGTTGATAAGGCAGGTTCCAACACGAGTGGCGGCATCACTTCCGCATGCTTCCGCACGCTTCCGCACGAATGCTTACGCGGGAGAATTTGAATTGATATTTATGCTGCTATTAGTTTGGTCTTGAGAATTTCTGCTTCCCTTGTAACGCCATCTTCCCTAGCGAACCTTACTCGATACTCATAGACTTATATAGTCTGTGATTCAGCAATAAAATTAAAAATTTCAATTTACATATAGCGCAATATCTGTGACAAAAATATGAGTTAACCTAATGTTGTTCAATGTCATTTTTTAGGTCACAGACATAGACGGTAGACAACATGAATGTTCCTAATAATTAATGAAAAACTAAGAAAGCAATATGTAAAAATGGTTTAGATATATTTGATGTTTTATACGTAATTTCATTGAGATAATAATTGAAATATCATAGGTTTTCAAAAGTGAACTGCAGATAAAATACTATTTTATAAAAATGTCTATTATATTACGAACAGTGTTATTTAAACCTCACATTAATTATTCAAGAAACCCAAGGTACCTTTAATAATACATGATTCAAGATGTATTGTAATATTCATATTACATATAATCAAATAATGCAATTTTTGTTGTAGGAATTCACTATTAGTGTTTGTGTCAAAACACAGAAGTAAACCATTCAACATAACTAAAAGAAAATTGAATGACAATGTTCAAAAATCTACCATAAGTAATACTTCTACCTCAAGAATCTTGCCATCTATTTTAAAATTTGGTTTCAGTAGCTTAGGAGGAATAGCAACTGCATGCTTGCTAAAGTCCCAAAATTCTATTGTACAAAGTAAATCACTTAAACTTTCAAAAGATGTTAAACATGATGACAAAGAATTAAGTTTTAAATGGAAAAAATTTTTAACATATCTATATCCATATTTTTGGCAATTATTGGTAGCATTATCAGTAAGTATATATGAATGATATTCATGTAAAGGTACTCTTCTAATATGGCTTCATTTTAGAGTGCCCTGATTGTTGCTATTTTAAACATTTGGATCCCACAAGGTGTGGGTAATGTTATAAATGTGTTAACACAAGTTTATCAAAGTAAAGGAGATGATGTCAGAAATATGCTCAGCCAGCTTACAGAGCCTGCATTTGCAATGGCTCGTTTGTATATTGCTCAAGTATGTAGTTAAAGATTTTATCAAGTTGTGGAAATCTTCTATTTCAAAGAATTTAAATGAAAAAGAAATTGTCAAACTTGAAATTGAATTTCAGCAAACTTTGTTCCTAGGCATTTTTTACATTTGTGTACATCTATACACTTTCTCACGTGGGTGAAAGGATAGCGATGAATTTACGACACGATTTGTTCAAATCAATAATAATGCAAGATATCACGTTTTTCGATAAAAATCGTAGTGGTGAAATAGTAAGTCGACTAACCACTGATATACAAGATTTTAAAAGCACTTTTAAAATTTGTATATCACAAGGTTTGAGAAGTTTTACACAAATCATTGGATGTGTAGTATCTGTAATAATGATTTCACCACAACTGACCACTGCTATGGTACTGTCTATGTCCTCTATAATTCTTGTTGGTTCAGTGCTTGGGAAAAGTTTACGAAAATTATCAATAGAAGCACAGAATCAAGTTGCTAAATCTACAGCTGTTTGCGAGGAAGCTATACAAAATATTAGAACGGTAAATACATAAAAAAAATTTGAATTTTCATGTTAACTACACTATTCAACTTTTTAAAAATAGGTAAAAGCATTTGCAGCAGAGGAGAAAGAAATAGAAATGTTTTCTGAAGAAGTTAAAAAAAGTTGTCAATTATATGAAAAATTAGGTTTTGGAATTGGTATGTTCCAAGCAGGAACAAATTTGTTCCTAAATGGGATTTTACTTTGTACATTATATTTTGGCGGACATTTATTGTCTACTGGACAATTATCTGCAGGAGACTTAATGGCATTTTTAATGGCTACACAAACGATACAAAGATCTCTATCTCAATTATCTCAGTTATTTGGAACATATGTTAGAGGTATTAGCGCTGGCGCTAGAATATTTGAGGTACACCTATAATTCCACACTTTCTATCATTTCGTAACCATTTCTCATTGTTAGATATTTAACGCTATTTAATTGCTTGCTACAGTACCTGGACCTACCGCCATCACCAATGATGGTTAGCGGTGAAATAATCACAGATCAGTCTCTTGCAGGAAATATAACTTTTAAAGATGTGAAATTTAGGTATCCTACTAGACCAGACCATGTTATATTAAAGCATTTTAACTTACACATTCCTGCCGGAAAGACGGTAGCTATTGTTGGCTCCAGCGGTAATGGGAAGTCGACGATAGCCACGTTGCTAGAAAGGTGATATAATTAATCAATTAATTAATTATTGAATAAAGTAAATCCATTTCGCATTACATACCTTGTTAACACTCGTCATAAAATACTTTAGATTTTATGATGTTAACGAGGGAGCAATTATGATTGACGGTAAAGACTTAAGGTCGCTCAATGCTCAGTACCTCAGAGGTAACGTTTTAGGATATATAGATCAAGAACCTATTTTATTTGCTACCAGTATTATGGAAAATATACGATATGGAAAGCCTGATGCTACAAATGAAAATGTAAGTATCATTGTTTTAGTATCATAGTATATTTTATGGTACTTACCGCTAATATGATTAGGTTGTTGAAGCTGCCAAAGAAGCAAATGCTCATGAATTTATCATGAAGTTCCCGAACGAGTATGATACACAAGTTGGTGAAAGAGGAACACAATTATCTGGAGGTCAAAAGCAGCGTATCGCTATTGCACGAGCTTTGCTTAAAAGGCCGTCCATTCTAATTTTGGATGAAGCTACAAGGTAAAAATTATACAGGATTATTATAGTCCCAGTAAATAACTCATATTATTTATTCGGTTTTAGTGCATTAGATTACGAGAGTGAAAGAATCGTCCAAAAGGCACTAGAAAATGTTGTACGTGGTAGAACAGTTTTAGTAATTGCTCATAGGTTGAGTACAATTAAAAATGCTGATATGATCGTTGTTCTACAACGTGGATCGATCGCAGAAGTGTGTATCAAAAACCCTAAGTGCCATTTAATTTATAATTAAATATTAACTACCATAATTTGTTTTCAGATGGGTACCCACGCAGATCTAATAAAAAAGAAGGGACTATATTATACTTTAGTAAACGAACAAGATAGAGAAAACAAATGATGTTAGTGAAATTCTAGACTATAATACAATTATTGAAATAACTATTTATTTATGTAGGGAATGTTAGGTGGACTACCTCAGGGTTTAATATGTACACACTTATAAATATACGCGTATCTTATTAAGTGTACATAATTTATTTCTTACAGCTATCGTATTTAATAAGTTACTGTACAAATATTGAAATGAATATTATACTTATGTTTTCTAAATAATTTTCAGCTTTGAACTCTACTTAATATGTCTATCAAGTGTCGGTCAATCGTATCAATGATACTTAATACTGCTGACATAATTGGTAATATAACGTTCGCTGATATTCTTCCTCTGGAATGTATCGCTCTCAGCATGGTCATAAATTCTTTTTCTCTTATATCATTTTCTTTCGACGTAGTGTTCTGCTTATCTGCAATCAAAGAATGCAACCGGTTATTATGTGATTCTGAACTGAAGAGGTTCGTTTTTTTACTTACTGTTTTCAGAATTCGATACTATCGTAGATGGACTTGAGACGTTGTTTGTGTTAAAATTAGCTGACGGTTCTTGAACATTATTAGCCGTTAATATTGTAGTGGTCGGTAAAAATGTAGGTTCTGTATTTGCATCGTTAAAACTTATTGTTGATAATACATTACTGTTTTCATTTTCGTTTAAAGACACTTTTGTAATTGCAGCTGAATCAGTAAATTCCATTTCTGTAGTTTGAATTTCGGTGCTACCAGTTGATAAATCAGCCGGTGCCATTGTTGAAGCAGCGGTAACTTCTGTAGCCTCAACAGTGGATTCTTCGACAACTTTTTCTGTTACTACCATACCGATTTCTGTATTAGAAGTTATTAAGTCAACTATTGAAGTTTCTGTAACAGCTTCAATAGTTGATCCTTCAACAGATTTTTCTGTTTCAGGTGAACTGTCTATAATAGTAGTAGTTTCTGTAAAGAGATTAATTTCCTCGTTAGGTACAAGTTCCTGCTCGTTTGTTGCTGAATACGCAGTAGAAGTTTCGGTATCTAAAGAATGCAACGTACTCGAAGCACGTTCTGTCGAAGCAGTTAAATCAACATGAACAGTTACTTCTGTAAATTCAGTGGACGTGAAATCATTAAAGGAAAAAGTGGACGTAGGTTCGTCATTATCATATGTCGTTACAGAAACGGTATTTGTTATAGCAGAATCCTCTAAGTTTTCCGTAGTGGGTATTTCGTAAGTAGTTGTCTTATCAGTATCATCCAAATCAGTAATATGAGTCAATGATTCGGTACTCGTAGATTTTTCAATATTTCGCTTTTCTTTCGTAATCATAGGAGTACAAAATGATACGGCTGAGTTTTCCTTTTTACAGCTGGATGAGAAGCTGCACATTTTTGTTTCCACGTTGTATGCCATATCTTTTGGACAACTGAAGATACTGTGGAACATCCTGTGCCCATTTGTTTCACAAGTGTAGAACAAGGTGCAATCATCTGGTACCGGAAACGAACCAGGCTTCTTGCATTCAGGAAGTTGAATGGATTCAAATGTTTCTAAATTTGGTTGAACGGTGGAGGAGATTAATCTATTCGGATCGATGTTGACGCATTTTTGTAGACGACTCTCAAAATGTTGTCCTTGGAGGCATTGGGCCAAAATTGTTTTATTATCTTTGCAAATGTAATAGTACCCGGGGTTGGTACAGTGAGGCTGCAAAGTGTTAATGCCACACGAATTTGTACTATTTATGTAGAGTACTCTACCACCACCTGTTATGCCTAAACAACGTCCCTCGTCTTCATCAAAGTATTGGTTGAGACTGCACGTTGGAGGATCGGGTTTCAATGCTCTAGCGTACCTATGGGCTCTTCTGTGTGCGATATTTTTGTTTGGAGCATCAATATCCTGTAGATAAGGAGGAATACATTTGTAAAGAGTTATCTTTAGAACTTTTAAAATAATCAGAGTCCAGCCAATGTTAGTAGCTTTTAGAATATTGATTATTTTAAACTATATACAGTATCATTTTAAAAATATGTGAAAAACTTACGACCAGTTTTTTCAGTGGCTGACCAATGGCGAGTAAAGTTAACTGAAACAGTAGAAGCAAAATGAAACTCTTCATATTTGATGCTTACATCAATTAATTAGTAAGAACCGAAGAGATTTCTTTCTTTCACTATCCAGATTGATGGGCACACGCGTTATTTCGTTTTCAAAAGTCTTATGATTCTCGCGGCAGCGCGTACCGACACTTTTATATCAAAGTCGTGCTCGATAATTATTGTGCGTGATAAGACTATTCGATTAACGTCACTTTTGGCGATGAGCAATTGTGTGCAAGTCCAATAACTTCATTCTCGCAAAAAATGATTTGAACGAAATTTAAATATTGATCATTTATTTACGATGGTAAAATGCATCAATGAGCACGTTTCATAATTCTGTAAACAAAAATACATGTCTAAAGTTATTCATAATAGCGAGGATAGAAGATTATTATGTGATTCCTCGGGAAATGTGGCAAGGAGGAAGGCTAAATATTTAGAAATAAAAACAAATATTTATTACACGGCTATACTGGCAATAGATAATAAGTCAGTAACAAATCTTTATATACAGTGTTTCGTTGAAGTACATATCTACAAGATGATCTTTGTTTGCTCATTAAAATACCAGTAATTCATCTCCCGGTACACTGAAATAGGACTCGATTCTAGGATTGCATATCGTTGCTCGTAATCAAAGCAGTGGCTGTACAATTTTTTTAGATTAACCGTTGTTCATTTTTCACCCTGATAATTCTTTCAGCAATCATATTGTGGCACTCGGAACGTGAAATTATTACTGGTTACGATATGAATCCCTGCACCGTAATATGGCATTACGTAATGAGAACCATCCGCGGGTCCTACGATCTGTGTTGCTATAAGTATTACATCAGCAAATTGGCCAAGAAAAAGAAACCCTAAAGTACTCAGCTTGAGAAAACCCAATGCTGGATACCCTAGGTAAAATCTATCTGCCCCAAACATGCCAAGAAATATTGAGAGTAACAGTGATGTTTCAAAAGAATATCCATTTCTGCAATATAAAAACACATTTCATTTATTATATTGTTTCAGTTAAATAACTATTCTTACAATTATCACTACTTACGTCCATTTACAAGGAATATCCTTCTTGAATGTATTATTTTTTGTTTCTGTACAAATGAGGCCATCCGCAGCCAGACATAACACTGTTAAGAAGGTTAAAAAGGGTAATGAACAAAGTCCAAGCTTTATATTTGTAAGATCACAAACAGTCAGCAACAATGGACAGATAACACACAAATGAATTTTATAATAATCAATCAGCGCGTAACAGAAATATTAAGAGGAATATTTATTGCATACAGGTTATGTTCAACTGTTGTTCATTTTCAATATACTAATAAAAAGAAATGAGAACATCATATACCTTTGGCTTTATTTTCCTTAGTACAACCTTTTGGTTGTTGTGTTTTTGGATCTATGAAATCATAATCGGGATGAGGGCAGATGTATTGTCCCATTCGTAGGTTACTGCAGTCAATCTCATACGTGTCCACACCATTACTCAGCGGTATTAAAATAACAAGCAAGAAAAGTCCGCTAAGGAATTGCATCAGATGAAACATACCGTTTCATTTTATAACAATTACTGCGAGTACCACACTGTCACTCGATCCACACCATCTCGTAGTTTCTCGACTTCCTATGCATGTTTGTTGTATTTTGAACGAACGGCCATTACGATCACTTTCTACTAGCGCCAACTACTAAGAATCTTTGCGAACTACATACATTCGCACTTACCCAAGATAGAGAACTTTCATAGTTTTCTGCTTTCCGGTGATCAATTTCCGTATTTCAATTATTAAATAATAAAGAATAGCATCTTAGCTTTCTTCTAGTATAAGTTTTATGAACCTCCTGCCAGTAATTGATTATTAGCAATTTTTAGACTGATCGTTCCTGTAGGTTCCATCCGTCGACCTTACGATTATTTATAATTAATTAATTACTGGCTGGATCCTTACAAAACTTGTATGCAAAAGTTGCTACGAGTATGTAGATTAAGAATCAATTATGAAAATACATAAATTGTTTCTAGAAAATGTGTTATTAATGATCCTTCCCTATTCAGTTCCCTGTTAAGTTGCGTTAGTTTTGGAGTAATAAACAATGGAAGACCGCGACGACAGTCTATCATTTTTCTTCGCTAAAATGGCTTCTTCGTCAATGAAAAGCACTCGGAAAACCTACAGCTTTGAGGAACGGGAAATTTTGATAACCTTGATAAATAAATACGAGGATATCGAGGATAAAAGATCCGATCCAATATCGATGTACAAAAGAAAATCAGCATGGTCTCAGCTCGCTAATGAATACAATTCCATGGTAGGACCCCAAGGGATGCGTTCCGCGGTACAATTAAGACGATGTTGGGAAAATATGAAGGCCTGCAAACGAAATCGGGAGGAAAAGAAATTACGGTAAACAGAATTTTATCGTGTACACGATAAACATCCTAATTACAAAACAAAACATGGTTATAAAAAATATTTTGTTTTTCCAGTATGTCAAAAAGTTTTTATCAATTGTCCAAAGATCACGTGCGATTGAAAAGCTGGGAGAGTAGGAATTCTCTACCGGAAATTTCAAGACCTACCGGAAGTGTGGGGTTACCGCCAAACGTGGTGTTCGAACCAAAGGAGTCGGAACCATTCACGTTGCAAAGTGTTTGCACTACGAAGCCTTTGAAATCAAATTTGAAGGAGGAACATAATTGTAAAGATACAGGTTACACATCCATATCTTCACCTTCTTGTTTTTTTTTTTTTTTTTTTTTCTTTTTAATTAATTATCCTCAAAAATATCATTGAATCATTTTATTGTTTCAGATTCTAGCGCAGATAAGACCGATTCGAACTTATTGTCGCACGGTCCAATGGCGGAGTGTTTCGAAAAATTATCCAACGATACTTCAGTTGCTAAGAATTTGGACAAGGAAGAATCACCGAGAAAGACCCGTCTGATATTCAAGTCGAACGCGACGCAAACGTTAATCTCTCCATCGTCTCGCAGAACAAAAAGGTCTCATCATAAAGAAGAAGAATTGCACGTATTAGCTTTGTCGGAAGCGCAGATGAAGGTCGACATCGCTGCCATGTTAAAAGAGGAGGCCAGGATTAAATTGGAAGAGGCTCACTATCGTAAAGAGGAGGCTAGACTGAGAATGCTCCTTTTTACCTACAAATTAGATAGGATAAAGGAGGATTGATACGAGAATAAACTATAATGAAATGCACCTTACAAGGATAGAAGAAAATGAAGAACGGTTTAACTAGAAATAAACCGACCGGATACACTGAATACTTTCTGTTCTATCCGTTTATTAATCATTCTCCCTACCTACAATTCAAACGAAACCGTAATAAATAAAAACTCGTAATGCTAACTATTTACGATACTTGCTAATGATAGATTCAAAACGCGAACGGAGAGACTGAATTCGTTCTGATTCTCCTAGGTATTTTATATTTTGCCTTCTACGGACATAGAAAGTATTCTTTTTTCATTGTGATTGCTTAGAAATAAAAGGAATACACAGTTTCAAGAACATCAACCCGTTGCAATTGGATCTCTCTGATTTTGTCGACACAGCGACGAATTAATAGAGTTTCATTTGATCCCATTGTAACTTGCAAGCTTTTAAAGAATAAAAGTAGACCTTGTAAATACGAAATATTATGCGACATTAATAAACCATTAGTTATAAACAAAATTGTTGGTATTATTATCAAATAAAATTTCAATGATCAATTGTCATGGCAGTTGTAGCTGGCAGTGGTCAGAGAACTTGACTAGCAATTATTGAAGGAAAAGAACAAACAGAAGATGAAGCTTCTAAGTATGCAAATATTAATAGAAAAAAAGATGTAAAGTACCTATGAGATCGAACGTTACCTGAAAGATGCCTGAAATGAAACTTTAATATTGCCATGAAAATCAGTCGATTTTTATATATTTCTTTTTGTATGTTTCCAGGATTCTCATTGTTCTTCACATGAGACGGAAATTATCATCAAGCACGGGTTTCGGCGATGAACAATGAGCAACCTCAAATAATGATGGATCAGTATAAATTGGTTCACTTGGATCGAAGCCGGTTCTTCTGCTGGATGATAAACCTACAGCACCTTCCAGAGCGGTGGACGAGGAACTCACGCGTTGGTTAATCACATTGCTCATCGATCGGGAAATTGATCTGCACATTAAATCAATCTAGGTAATAAATTGTACGTAAATTATTTTCGCAATGAAAGAAGAATTTTTAACGTTTCAACATTTTTCTCAATCAAAAATATTACGTCATTCTTATCACAAGATGAAACAGTTTGGATTTCTTAAGTTACGTACGTAGATTGAAATGGTTTTTGAAGCCCAGTTCTTAAGAAGGAGAAATTATTCGCTCGACTGCTGTAAGCATCGTCCGAATGACTGCTGCGATTGCATGCTTTATCAACTCTACGATTCTTCGTGATCACTGAGTAAGCGTATTTCCTGAAACAGTTTATATGAATCGAATTACCTGCACGAACACGAGCGAATCTCGTGCATCGTCCAAGTTGTATACCTGTAGATCAGCATCGATAACAATACCACGGAAGCAAGGAGCACCACGAGTACTGCCACTGCTGTTACAAGTCCGTAATACTCATTCGGTGTTATGCAAACGTTCTCCATAATGGTAGTTTGCCTTTCGACCATCGTTTCTTCGTCGATGTCCATTCTTGAGTCAAGTACCTGTGATAAATAATTGATCTGGTTGCATAGCTACCTTATAGATAACTTACAGGTGCCTTAGCTTTATTTAGTCAATAACGTTGCATCGCATTTACCTCGATCATTTCTCTCACGTGTTCTTCTTCCTCCTCTTCCTCTTCCTCCTCCTCCTCCTCCTCCTCTTCGTTGTTATCTTCTTCAACGACGGTGGAATTAGCTACCGTGGACGTGTCATTACCAATAGCCTCTGTTATCGTGCTTATTTCATTTTCTTCAGCAATCGTGTCATTCTGAGACACGTCTCTTCGTCTTCTTCCAAAGGACGGTTCGCTTCTTCCGGTACCACCTGAGCAATACGCTGGCTGACAACCGTCTCGACAGGTTCTCACCGTCGCTTCGAACACTAAGAAATTAGATTCGGGGATTTTGAAAGCGTTGAATCGTGCCTCCAGGCTGTCTCCGTCGCGTAGACGATCCAGTCCCGGAAACACGTAATTGTCTACCGGGCATCTGTACAAGAAAATCCAATCAGTATTATTATAATTAGATCGTGTAAAAATTTCTTTACGGTGTTTACCCATATCTGTCTATAAGTTGGACACTTCTTCCGGAATAAGGATCTCTGGCTATGACGTTGGTGGCAAAAATATCAGTCACATAATTGTATCTGTCAAAGACACGAAGAACATTTTAGTTAAGAATTTGTGATTTGATATATAATGTTACTTACCCATCCTGAGCTTCAAGCCTAAAAGTAAGTGGATCACCAACAGCAATGGTTGTTGTAGGTCTACCCTGATAGAGGATCAGCAAACGTACTCTGGAGCTTAGGGTGTTTTCTGCTGGTAGATATTCGATGGGGATTGGAGACCCTGATCTACACAATACAAATGTCTATTAATGTCTATTCAAAATACTATATTAATGTCCTGTTTCACATCTGAATATCGTGGATTCTGTTACAGGTGAAACAAGACAAGAACTGGAGGGTCGAACTGATACTACGTTAAAATAAGTTCATCGAGGATGCTTGCACCAGGTTCTATGCAAACGAATGTTATATATGTATATTGCATTTTGTACTCGATGCTACACTGAATCGTTTAATTAAGTGTACCAGGTGCAAGGCACGGTCTCTCAATCGATATGACCTGGCATACCCGGCACCGATGTAGCCGGATGTGACGACAGCTTCGCCAGGGCCTCGAAACAGACAGGTCAGATTGAAGCGTTTGTCTCTTCCTGTTTGCACGTAGTCGGAGAACTGTACCACCACGATGTTCGTCATCGTATCACCATACTGCAATCGTTCATCAAGAATAATTATAGACACTCAATGGATAATGAACGTTCTTTGCGTGAAATTTTTTTATACATCCGGTTAATCAATATCTGAGCAAACAGGGACAAGTTCCTTACTCTTTGAGTGCCGCATTCAGGATAACCCTGAGGACCACTGATTCGAAGCACGTTTACCGTTCCTCCGTTTCCACGGAAGAAGCATCGATCGTAATAGCCGTACGTGTAAATCCGGCCAATGAATCCTTCCGGTGTCCTTAAAGTAAATTCCATTCCGTCTTCGCTACAGACTTGACTCACTAGAATGACCAGAAACATAATGATTCTTAGGAACCGGAGCTGAAGTGCCAGCAATTCTCAATGAAAACATGCAAGTGTATTATTTGACATCGATGAAATTAATTAAACGGATGTATACAACAAAAAGTAAAAAAAAAAAGTATCAAGGAAAGAAGAGACCGTTTATTTCTTCAACTCGAGTCCAACTGACAATGTCTATACAATCATTCTGAACCATTAAGTATCAGTAAGTACGACGAGGACCGGCTGCGTAAAAATTTCTCCATGTCATCCACGTAGCTGGCATCCAAGGACGATTACGACGCTTACCGTCGAGACACTCCGCGTCGGCTCCTTGTCTGCCGTTGTTCCGTTCATAGAAATCATAGTCAGACCCAGTATCATAGTACACAGGGTTGCCCATGTCCATGTCCCTGGAATCACGGTCACTCAACTCGCAATTGTCCCTTTCAGCCCCGTAAGGAGCAGCGTACGGACGATAGTTGAACGACCTGCAGACGAAGTCCCTAGCGTCAGCGCACTCCCTCTCGCACTGGGCCAACGACGAAGCTGTTGTGTATCGTCTGACGAATGGTTTCCGTACTCTGGTGTGAGGTCCAACTTGTCGGAAGTTGTCCTGTTCGTCGCATCTGGAGACCAGAGGTGGTCGACCGATGATGGGTCCACCACTGGTTCCGAAAGGTCGGGAATTGTAGACTCCACCTTCGCCTATGTAACCCCCACCGATTATTCCACCATCGTTACTGTAACCACCGTAACCTAAGGGTCGCGTTGGTCCTGCTACTCCATAGTGGTTGCGGTCCGGATGAGGCTGGGGACCATAGACGTCGTCCGCGGGGTAGTTTGCTGGATAACTACCACCGTGAGACGATGGGGGATAGCTGAGAATATAAGGGAGGATTTCATTTCATCCCTCAATCAGGAAAAACTTTCACCGACTTACCGACTGGGATAAAGATCCTTCTCCGGATACCTTTCGCTGATGGGATACCGGTCGACGTGAGGTCTAACACCCCCTGCGCCGGAAGGATATCTCTCCAAAGGATCATCGGAAATAGGATACCGGTCAATGGCATTAGGGTATCGATCGGCGTCGTTGGGATAACGACTTGGAGATATTGGGTACCGACCACCAACGGCCGTAGGATAACGAGTGTTTGTGGGATACCTGTCTACCGCGGGGTCAGGAATGGGATACCGATCAGGTTGAATAGGACGACGATCGCCACCTCTAACAGGGAAACGGTCAGCAATTGGATATCTGTCTGAACTTGGATATCTGTCAGCAATTGGATAACGATCACTAATAGGATATCGGTCTATAGGTTCAGGGAAAGTATCTGCCCCTCCTGCGATTGGATATTGTCCGCTTATGTGATATCTGTCTGGATACTTATCTGGATATTTGTCTGGATACTTATCTGGATATCTATCTGCTGGATAACGATCTGGATACTTGTCTGGATATCTATCTGCTGGATAACGATCTGGATACTTGTCTGGATATCTATCTGCTGGATAACGATCTGGGTATTTGTCTGGATATCTGTCTGTTGGATAACGATCTGGATACTTGTCTGGATATCTATCTGCTGGATAACGATCTGGGTATTTGTCTGGATATCTATCTGCTGGATAACGATCTGGATATTTGTCTGGATATCTATCTGCTGGATAACGGTCTGCTGGATATTTATCCGGGTATCGGTCTGGATATCTATCAGGATAGCGATCTGGATAACGGTCCGGGTGACGATCTGGGTGACGGTCTGGATAACGATCCGGTTTAACGCTACTGCTGTATCCTTTGTCGTAATCATCTGGATATCCTGTAGAAGACGAATTATTTGTTCCTATAGCATTGTTATGTTTAGGTTCTATCGCGAATTGTTTATTTTTTACCAGGTCTTCCTAGGGATGGCCGACCAAAATTGGTGTCCTGTCCCAGAGGATCTGGTCTGTATCCTGGGTTATCTCTGTCTCCATCCAAATATTGATCTGTTCATCGCAAAGAAACATTGCAACCAAATCGGATAATATCATTCAACGAATAATAGTACGATAAATCAATTCACTCACGCATGAGGTTCTCGTAGTAATCGTAATCTGCATCGTAGATGATCCTGTGGCCATCGCGTTGATTGAATCGGCTCAATCGACATGTGTGATAATGTTCAGAATAGACAGCGCTCCGGCATTGAAAGCTTGTCTGTCGAAGACACTCGTCAAGGCATTCGCTCAAGCTTCGGCCGGTGATTTCCGAATGAAATTCCCCGCTTAAACGGGAGTTTCGATAACGTTGAAACGCGGTGTCAGGACGACGTCCATCGGAGAAAAGGTGCGACGAGGAGCTGCTGTCCGGGTATTCGGAGCCACGTGCTATGGACGGATCTACGCTTCGTAAGTGGGTATTGATAAACCGTTGTGAAGCGCTAATTGATCGTTTCACTGTTATTAACACCATGGAATCTATCGTATTAATTTTGGAAATTCGCTAGATGTCTTTTCGTTGACTGCTTAAGAAGTACATAATCAGATTATATTGCCAACTATTTAAGGATACACTTACGATTGTCCAAGCAAACTAAATCATAAAAATGATGACTGGGACTGCTACTGATTCCTATGTCGTCTTTTTGAGAAACAGAGTCCTCTTCTGAGATGATACATTGCCGCGTTTGTTCGTCGAATTCAACGCTCCTGCAAAAGTATTTCTCCGCTCTCAGACAAAGTGCTTGACATTCATCCAGAGTAAGATTCGTGTAAATATCGACTTCAAATGGTCCCCGGAGACGCTTGTTCTCCTCTTTAACGAACACCGTTAATCCGTCGCAACGACGTTCAGCTGAAGTACACAAAATTTCTTATATATTAACAATAAACAACGTTACTTAAAATCCAAATATTCGAATTTTCAGGATTTCTGACCATTCAGACAAGTATTTTCCAAGTAATCAGAGTTCGGATCGTCTTCCAGTAGTTCAGGATGAGTTCTTCTAGTGAAACGACTCAAAGCACAGCTCCTCAACGCAGTATCATAGGTTGCAGATCGACAAATAAAGCTGAATTCGTTTAGACATCTTTGCAAGAGAAGAATGCAGACGAAAGGTAATTTATTTTACAGACTGTTTAACTCTTTAATGAATTCAAGTATATACGCTTTACCTGTCCTCGCAGTCCGTCCTATTTGCTGCGCTAACTTCTTTAATATCCGTCAATGGTAGCTTTAATTTCTTCCTTGGATGTCTCTCAAACACATAACGCCTATTGGGACATTCCCTTTCTATCCTGTCAGCTTCGCAAAAAAATACAATTGTATTTAGCATAATTGATAAATGATTGAAAGCAATTGTCGAACACTTACAACCGAGACAAACTTCCGTGAAATGAACGCTGTTTGGTACCAACATCAGATTCCCGATACCTTCTGGTTGAGCCTGCTCCCTTGTTAAATAACAAGTACTCTCCTCGTATTCTGCAGCTCCACTGAAAGACGCTATTCTGCTTCCAGGTTGAAAATCGAAGCTGGTACAGGCACGAACCAGGTTGTTCGTCGCCGTTCTGTCTCGTAGACATAGTTCCTGACATTTTTCTAAAACTCTAAAGGGTGGTGCCGAGTCTCTCACCTAAGATGAGCGATAATTACAGGTACAATTTTGATTATACAATTTAATTTGCCATTAAAACTAAGAGATATTGCTCGTACCACATCGTCGTCGAAACCCTGAAGCTGCTGATCCGGAAGTCTCTCATAAACGACTCGACCTAAACCACCATTACAGGTTGTTTGACCTGGGAACACCAAGTAATTCTTTCGAAATTCACAGTAGCTTTAAATTATTATTTCGAAGCAATATTATTTTACATAGAAAAAGAAGATAAACCTATTTCCCTTTTGTAGAGAGCATAAAATAGATACATAATTTTCTTGCATGCAGTTAGCTACGCGTTCAATGGACGAGATTTCTATTATTATTCCGCGAACAGATTATTATTTCCTGTTCCCTCGAAAAATCAGGTTATTTCCTTTGGACAGCAGCATCAAGTACCGATTTTATCATCGTTACGTTTTTCGTGCCATAAGTGGCACAATAGTGACACAATGGGACGAAACGTAATTTCGCAAGCGCGCAAGTGACATCACTCTCGCGTTCTGCATTCCATCATTAATTTGCACGGTCGCGATTCTCATAAGTATGATCGTTTACGAATTCACAAAAGGAATTTTTCAGAGCATACAGATGGAGTTTATCAAATCAAAAAGAGGAAGTCTTATTTCGTGCTGGATTGTTAAACAATCGAATAAGTTATCATTGACTTACCATTGACCACTACTCTCAGAGTAGCAAGGAGAGAAATTGATTGCAGTAAGTTCGATATATTAGTCTTCTTCATTTTCATTTATTGCAATTCACCATTAGGCAGTCATTCCAATAAACAATGAATATTCTGAAAGCAAACAGTCATAAATGAGAAAGTCCTGGATCATTAAATTTCAATAATTCTATACATATAGATCCTCTTCTTCGTGCAAGTACTTAAATGGTCCTTCATTTCCAATCAATAATTACTGGATTCAATGACCATTGAAACTTTAATGATCCTCCAAAGGTAATCTCTTCTCATTTTTTTTTTTTTTCTTTTCACCCTTGTCCTCTTTCTCTCATTAAATAAGTAATCATTCGATCGAAACAATGTCCCTGTGATTTTAGTTCGAACGAAGCCGAAGCACGCAAGCCAGTTACGATAATCAAGCAGATAATGGACAAGTAATAATGTAATGCTTGAAAGTTGGAAACACGGTCCGTTGCTTTTACGGGCGTGTGCTGGTCCTTTGCCCTCGTGTATGTACACACACACACACATTCGGAGAAAAAGGTTCATGGGGGTGCGAGCATGTGGAGGTGTTCAGGGTGAGTGCAGCTCAGGTATTCCGTAAAACCTTGCGTTGAAACGTGTACGAATACAAAATGAGCTCATTTTCTATGTCATGATCTCCTGTGACTTCAAAGCTATTTTTTACAGGAGATTAAAATAAAAAGAAGATGGTTGTATAAATTAACCCCTTTGATCCAGGGCCTCGTACATCCATGAAAATTGGATTAGAAATATATGACGATACCTTATTAACGTGTAAGTAGTAAACAGTTTGTAATTATCAAAGGAATGCATCAATTTACAAATGATCAATTATAACAGATGTACCTGTACGATAAAGGGCAATGTTGTACGCGTGTCTCGCGGAAGCGCTGCTTATTAATTACGTTATGGTTTATCGCCTCGATAATTGTAGTCGCCTGTTCAAAGAGGATGGAACGTGTTCAGTGATTAACGTTACGGTTGATGAGAGAAAATTACAGATCTGGTCATTCGAGTACCGATAACGCCACGTTTAAATGATATTGGTATTACAAGCTCTTCCGTTCTCAAGTTTAGAAACTTGATTCTTTTTAACAACCTTGTTATGAACCGCACAACAAAGTTATTATCGTGATGCCTTGAAACGTAGATGATACACGGATAACAGTGTTGCGCGTTTCAAAGAGTTTTTAGAATTCTTCAATCGCGTGATATTAATGCTTGCTGGAAGTACGCCAAACAATGGAAAATTATAATTATTCATTGTATACCTATTATAAGTTTGATTGTTAGATAGAATAATCCTGTAATTTATTTCTTCAATATTTTTCAAATTGTGCTATTAACTACAGCGGGGGTTTTTATATGAACGAGTGATTAATAAAAAATCCAAATTATATTATTAAATAATATTACTAATACTTACAAATTTGATGACAGGTTTACACGGATCTTCAAGCCCACCACTAGATGTTCTTCCGTTCAATGTCGAAGGCCTCGGAAGAAACGATCTTCAACCGTCTACTGTTAAAAAAAAAAAGATGATATAATCCCAGTAAAAAGTCACCAGAACCGACCATCCAACGCGAATGGCACCTGTAATCAAACTGGCGGTCAAAATCAACGCAAACTGAAAATAATGGATAACACCTGACAAACAGGTAGGGGAAGAGATGGCGATGGAAGAATCGTTTCGATGAATGATTCTCGTATAGACAGGCCATAGGGGGCAGAAGAGATAACAAACCGGTGGTACCCAGGCGCGGTGGGATCCCCACGTCCGATTTCTGGCCTTGTGCTCACCGGAAGTAGCTCCATTGTGTCCGGTTTCCGTGGGGCCATCCGGGAAAACGTTCGACGTGCGTGTAAACGCCAACACCATCGGTTCTCAAGCTTCGCCGTCTCACGATCCTTTTGAAATAATTAATCAATTGTACTCTTCTCATCGATTCTCATAATTTTTTTTATAAATTACAGATCTCAGAAGGGATGGTACCAAGCTGTAGATACTTTTGTAAAGGAAGATTGAAGTTTGGGGATGATTATGAGTGTGTATGGCATCGAAGACCCCCCGGGGATACTAGTGTTGCAACGTTTGAGAATCGGTGCACCAGAACACCGCCATATTGGGTTGATTGTGCCGATGGACGATCACTTGGTAGCGGAATCATGGATTAGAGATTCCTACCCGAGGTCAACTAGGATGACCAACGAGCTGGCTAGGTGGTTGTCGTGATATGAACACGGGCAGGATCGTTCGCACCTTTATTCCAGGCTATTTTTAACTCGAATTTATTTTTATTCAAATTTCGTGGTCACGAACAAGAGGGAATTAGCATCTCTCGATTTTGTAATCATTTTCTAGTGGTCTTTGTGGAAATTTCTCATTGTTGCTTTCAGAAATGTAGTTTATATAATGAACGACCTTTGCTTTTAACATACTGAATCTAATGAATAAGCTTAGTAAGTTTGATTAATTACAGTATGATAAGTTTTTATCCATAATAGCATTGTCATAGTCTTATGAATCGTGTTACAATGAAACGTTTGATTTTAAATATGAAAACTTCAGCGCGCCGTCGTGGTGCGCTTTCGACGTTCTAGTGCACTATATAAGCAAGTGCATCTAGATGCGATTTTCTTAGTGGAAGGATTGTCAAGCATTCGATAGTTTGGCATAGTCAGCTGATGGCAAAATGCAATTACATGTTTGCTGTGATACACAAAATTGATTGTATTTTGCCTGCGTAACCGTGAAATTTCCCGAAAGTGATCGGCTTACTAGTTACTCGTATTTGAATTTCTCAAAAGAGTTTAGGTGAGAATGATCATTATTATATTAATATTAGAAGCGATTATATGACCACTTATTGATTTGCGATAAATTCATGGTGCATCATAAGTTAACGGGAATTAATACACTGTCCAAAGATTCATGACCGCATTTTAATTATTAACGTACGTTCAATATTGATGCACGCTATTCATTGATTTTCAAGATTTATTTATTGCCGAGATTAAGAACTTTGCGTGGCCATGAAATTTGTTTAAAATATAAAAAGAAATTTAAAGTAACATATTATTTTACAGATAGACATACAAGGACTTTTATATACATACAGCTGGAGGGATACTAGAAGAACAAGATGCCTCTAAGCGCAGGTAAATACAGATTTATGCATATCTTTATTATGAAACTTTCAATTTATGGTTTCTTAATATATGCATATTGCTTACTTTTCAGACATATCAACAGCGCTCCATTTATTGGAGCATGTTCAAGAAAGAGTGGAAGACTGTGATGATCCTAAGCTACAAATGCATACAACTCAAGACATAAAATCATTGATATCTCTTTTGGAAGATCCAGTATTTCGCAGTATAGTAACAATCCAAGACTCTCTTATTGAATTAAACAATCAGTTGGGACAACATCCATCTATTATCCCTGGAGATTTTGACATTAACATCAGTGGGCAATTGGAACTTTCTGTTCCAAGTACACCGGTGCAACCACTTGGATCAAATGTGTACCAAGATTTATATCAAGACAGCAGTGAACTGGAAGATCAAAGAGTTCCTGTTGCACCATTAGTGCATAGCAGCAGCGAGGACACTAGTGCTCAGGTAAAATCTTTCTTCAATTAAGTATTATTTAACTACTGCCTGGAGCATATTATTAAATTCTTATTTTGTTACAGGTGACAAGTCCAAGTCTAGTTTCTGAAGTTATGGGAATGCCACCCATTACAACAACAACATATGCTAAAGAATTTAAGAAAGTTATTGAAGCAGCAGCAAGAGGCCGGCAAATATTTACTGTGCAGGTTGGTTCTTTACCTACAAGTACATTTTATATCATTCACAAACTCAGCTCACATAAATTTGTTTTCTGTTTCAAGCTGTACAAACCAGAGGGCACCAGTTTAGGATTCAGTGTTGTTGGGCTACGTAGCAAGGATAAAGGAGAACTTGGTATATTCCTGCAGGAGATACAACCAAATGGCATAGCAGGGTGGTAAGGCAACTCTTCACTTGTAATACAAACTGTGAATGAAATCAGCTAATAAAAATCAGCGAAAAATATGATTTCATTCACTTTAAATTATCAGCATGCATTAGCACGTAGAATAGACTGCTTAAATACAATTTAAACGGTGAGATTAACATCGAGCCGCTTCTAAGAATGCAACATTTATTTTTTTTTTTTCGTTTACGTAATCTTCGAACAGATAGTATCATAAAATGCAGATTACGCAAGCAATGATACATTTGAACGGTAAATGCACTTCTCGCGCTTAATGTTTCATAACGTTTTAAAGCGGAAATTTCATTTTATAAACGAAGAAGATTTAAGCAGACGTAAATTCCATAAAACCGAAGTAGTTCCACATGTTTCCTCTTAACTCGTAAACCTCGTTTTAATCTCCGGCGTAACTTTACGTTAAAAGAAAGAAAATAAGCTAGATAAAACAGGTTTTTTTTGGCTCTCGTTGGATCCTCTAGCTCCGTTGGCTCTCCCTAGGCGATTGTCCCAGGATTCTCTTGGAATTCCCTCCGGATTTTTGCAAAGTCGAAAAGGAAATGGTGGGAGGCTCCTTTCAATCTTATCCAAAGGGAGCCTACGTTGCATCCAAGTGTACACATTAAACTTGATCCAGTTTCTGAAAGTCGCCGTTTCTTGGCACACCCTGTGAACACGGTGCGTTGATCGGCTGGTCGGTCGCACGCATGCCCGGTTACCTCTGTCCGGAAGCTTCGCCACCGTGGAGAAAGCGATGCTTTCGAAAAAGAGCCTCCCACTTTCTGCCGAGCAGTCTTCGACCGATCCCCGTGGAGAAAGGTTGCGGTTATCGTGCTCTTACTCCCACGAACACGTTCGTTGTATTATGGTGGTCAATTTCTGTTATCATTTTTTAGCCAACGGCTAAACATCTCTCTTTTCAATCCCTGAGATTCTCTGTGGTCGTTCGTGTTCTTTTTGGCTCGCTGTTAGATATGCGGCTCGTTCAACCCGGTTCCTCTCGGTTCACTGGTTTGTTTGAGTTCATCGTACGGTTTTCGCGATGATCTTCTGATGTTCGACGAACCAGGACGAGGAAATATGTTGCAGTGAAGGCTGATTCGTGGCCTCGTTCGAGAAAATCTTCAGGTGGTACGTGTCACTGGTCTCTGTTGTTTCAATGAGTCTATTGTTTTCCTTTTATTTCTATTTTACGCGACGTTCAGTCGATTTTCGCGGCTCGTTTGAAGCTTTTTCGCGTGCAGAATACGTGTTACGGGAGTTGATTGAAGTATTTCATTTAGTCATTCTATGAAAGCACTGCTCCACCGTTTAATGCAATGGAGTTGGGATTTAGGGCATGTTTATTGTGCGATTGAGAATTTTGGAAATATAGGTCAGTTTGAATTTAGAAGGGCTTTTATGAAATCAGAGTTTTAGGTTTTGGGAAAAGATGTTAGATATTTTTATTCCAGTTTTTAGGAAAGTGAACGTCGATAGAAATATTTCAGAGTAAATTAGTACGTTTAACGAAGATTAGTAAAATGTATTTTTCGACGATGAAAATAAAGGAAAATGTTATTGGAAGTGTAATCTGGATGAAAATTTATCCGGATGACGCTCAACCCTTTTTTTACGTCGGTTGAGGGGTCACCCATTGCATAAAAATAGTATGCTTCAGACGAGTAGCAAGTTCGTTATTTTCTCGTAGCCTCGGCTTTAATATATTCGTAATTATCTGATGTAATATTTAGGTAAGGATTGAAGAGACGGACCATCCTCTAGAGCAGACAATTTCGCGAGAAGAATCTTTCAAATTAATGACTAATTCGATTAAAATTAAACTACGAAATTCATCATTTTTGATTTTCTAAAATTTTCTTCGCACGCCCTCCAATATTTTCATAAACGATTTATAAATATCCCTTATTTATTTTAACAAAGATATTGTGATGAATTGCATGCCAAGTATCGCGTACTTTTTTTTTTTTTTTTTCAAAGAAAATCAATGAAATTCTTTTGAAGCCGACTACCATTGCTGCTCAATGTTTTCACGAACAATTACAAATAGCTAACAATGTATTTCATTCACGACAAAACAAATTAACATTTGCACAAGCATACACGTGCCACATTCCCAACATCGTACACTCTCTTTTCCAAAGAAAATCGATAAAATTCTTTGAAACAGAGTTTCATTGTTGTTCAGCAGGTCTGCGAACTATTATATCTAAATAATCAGCAATATATTTCATTTACAACTAGACAAATTAAAGCTGATAAGAAATTACCCCTTTTTTATTTTGACAAATAAACTTGCAGCTGGCAGATTGGGGAAATTTAGTATATCTCCTACGATTGAGAGATGCATCGCTCGGTAAGGATAAGTGGAAAAAGGTGTAAAATCGCGTGTTTTTATCGAGCTGCCACGATTCTGCGGGAAAACGCGGTGTGTGCACATACCTCGAAGGTAAAACTGGGTTAGATCGTCCGTAGGTGTAGGCGTGATCGATCTCAGATTCGAATTCAACGCGAAATTATTCTGCTTTCTGGATTATTCATGCCGGTCGGTTGCCGATTCAATTCCCAACAACGTTACACGATCGATGCCTTCATGCTTTTTCAATTTTTCAACAATATTTATTTATTTATTTGTAGATTGCACGGCTATAAACCCAGTACCCGAGATGAATTAGAAATTATACAACGGGAAAGCAAGTCCGTTCTATATGAAGAATGAAATTTTTTCTGAAATTTCTTGAGGAAGCGTGGAAATATATCTGCTTGAGGATTTCTTGTTCGATTTTGAAAATGATGAATGCACTAGAAACTGCAGAGAAATGTAGTTCCTTTGTTGTTGATTAAAAAGCCTGTCTGACTAGATACTCTCTGTTTTCCCTGTACTTCTCTGTCTCTTATTTTTCCTTTCCTATATTTCCTTTTTCCTTTTTGGGTTTCTCTTACTCGAATCGATAGCATTTTATTCTATTTTTTGGGAATATTTCACAGGTCATTTATATTGATTTATTTAAACCTTTCAAGGATATCTACCTCGTATCAAATGAAAATTAAGTTCCATAAAACACAGGAGTATCTCCCATTAACATTGCCAGCAAACAAGAAACTGTTGACCGCGTTCGATATTAAATCCCGCAGAAGAGTTGAATTAATTCAATTAAAAGAATAATTTTCGAGTTCGCTGAATTGAACGAGCGCTCGTTATCAAAAGCCGTTTCCTCCGTATCAATTCAATTGATATCCCGCTATGTTCTCTCATCGTGAATGCGCTTCATTTTTATTTTTTTTTTTATTTTTTTTTATTTCCCCTCTTGATATTTGACTCTCTTGGATTCCTCTCCAGATACATACCGACATCTTCAATTATTTCGCCAATTTGCAAGTTGTCGGCGAATGCTGTCCGATTCGTTTGCCTCGTTAAAGAAAGAGGCAAACGTTGTCGGAGTCCAAAGAGTATATGTACACGGGTATGGGTTCGAGCACACACAATAGAGATTGCTATCCTCGATATCTTGGTCTCACCAAGTCACCACGCTTCTACACTTCATTCGTTCCAAATGCGACCACGACAAATTTTACCTACGGGTAAACAGACGTTGATGTAATCGGAATTCTTTCTTTTCATTTTGGCCCTTCAGTTTCGGAGTTCAGAAGAAAATTGAAAAACTTGCGAAATTGCAGAGGACGAGTTATGCTATGAAATGCTAAGAAATTTCAGACAATCAGTCGATAGGAATAGAGAGAAAAAAAGGGGTGCGTTTACCCCGTGGCAATCGTTGCGGTGCACGCTTCTTTCCGTTTAAAGTGATATAGATACCACGTGTAGTACAATACCCAGCAGAGGAATTATTGCCAGGGATAATGTTGTGTTCCTGACACGTTTTATCACGCCACGTTGCTACGTCGTAACTTGAAATTGATTAACCCTTAACTCGTTGCGTAGCCGTCACCGAGAGCCAGATCAATACGAGCCACTCGTCTTCTCGTCCGTTTCAAAGAACAAAGTGTCTTCTTTTAAGCAAGAAACAGTTGGTTCGTCTCTCCTTTTCATCGTGACGAAATAAGAAGCTCGTTCCGTAATAGTCGTGATTTTCATCGAGTCCTTTCCTGGACAATGTCCTCTATACTTTTCTTTTTAGAAGTCCAATTGTTCTTTGATATCGAGGGGAAATCAATTGTGTCACGGACAATGCTTTTTTCAATTCGAGTAAAAATTCAATAAGTCCAAGATTTAAGTCAGAAATATCAAACAGGAGCAAAACCATCCCCTGTAATCTTCGATCAATGACTTGGAGGATCACCGGTACAAATTCATCTCGAAATATTCAGATGGTATAGCAGCCATAAAAATGTTTTCTCCCCATTGAAAATCTTATCACGTTATCCGATGGCATTTGTGAAAGGCGGAGCCCCGCTTCGAAGCCCCGTGAACAAGCTTGAAACGATCGAGTGTGTCGCAGTGAGAGGGGAAAAATCGCGTAGTAATTACGAGAACGAATGGATCTCATCGGTCTCTCGTACGATCAACACCCCCTCGAATGAAAGGTGGATCAAAGGGAATCGGAAGTTACGACTGTGACCTCTGGTTGCTTGGTAAACTGTGACAATTTGTAATGTCGTTTGTTCCAAACACCTTTTCAAAAATAAGGTCTCTCGTATCAGTTTAGATATAGTTAGCACACTTGTAAACTTGTAAATGGGAAACAACAGCAAGTTTAATAATTCCATTACCCGTGTAATTCGATATTCTTCTCTTTCCCAATTGATTTAACGGTGTAATAACTGGATACACCGGTACAAGTTCCGTCTCTGTGTGTGTGTGTGTGTCTGTCACGATTCCAGCATTGTATACACAGGCTAAATATTGCAGTCGGTTCTAATTGTTTCTCCTACTAATTGTTAGGACGTTTCCTGCGATTTCTCGTCCCATGTTTTGCCTGTTAATGTCAACATTTCGGGATAAAGTTATTGTTGAACTTTCTGGGAAATTCTGGTATTAACAGTTCCTTACCAGTGTTTAGAAGAAAATCATCTGAATCGTGAAAGCTCCAAGACAGCAGACACGTATGAAAAATGTCGAGCTCTTGGCTATTAATTTTCATTTTTGAAAAAGTTTAAAAATAACCCCGTACCGAATAGGATTACTCCCTTAAAGTAAACGAATGTTTATCATTTCTTTTCTTATTTCCCGTTTTTTTTCATGAAGGTAAATGGTGTATCCTGATAAATAATTCGTCGCCCTTTTAATGCCACATTTATCCTTTCTTCCCCTGTGTAAACGGCAGGCCGAAGGAAAGGAGGATCGAGCCCTCGTTGTCACCGTAATTCCACATCAGGATCAGATGTTTCCTCGTGTATTTTCAGTCGTCGCTTTTCACCGACCCTTTCCACTGTCTAGCTAATGCAATTTTAACGAGGCACAAAGTCGGTCATATCGTGTCATGACTCGATGCTTGATGGCTCGTGCAACGGTACGAGCTAGTATCCCCTTTGAACAGCACAACCAACGCTCGATATTTTCTACCCCTAGCTACTTCGACATGGATCGATTCTCTCAACTTCCGGTCGGGAAAATCGACACTTTCGATTACTGGCCACAGACGTCAGTTCCTGTCCTCCTGTCTCGCATACTTCCCTTGTACCTGATGATCGACGTTCACGTTTCCCCGAGGATATACATTTTTAATTGCAAATTATTGGTACAAAAATAAAATAGGACTGGAAATTATAGTCGAGCGTCGAACGTTATTTCTGTAGCCAGGGGTTGTTTTTAGCAAATAGTTCTCAAAACTTTCGGCGTAACCAAAGTAGATTTACGATCTTTGGCATGGCAATGAGCGATTAAGTGGTCGCGGTATTTTTTCCTCCTACGATTACAGGAATTAATTTATGTGAACGGTGACTCATGCTAATCATTATTGCCAAGACCCTTTTATTACGTAATCATCAATTGTTCTCGAGTTTCTAAGGGTTCTCGTAAACGACACCCGCATAAACTGTTTCATTCAAAGTACTTGCGTAATCGGGCTACCATTCTGCACAACAGGGACGGCTGTTGTGTAAGTTCATTTATTTTATTCATCGAACACTCTGGACTGTTACGAAAAACGAATACTTTAAGAATTCTTATGAAAAAAAAAAAAAAAAAAAAAAAAAAGAGAGAGAGAGAAGAAATGTAAATCGAGGGGAGGAAGTTAAAAGTGTTACATTAACAGGATGATTTCCCAGAGGTGTACTAATTGTACGCGACAAGCAGGAAGAAGACGATGGAATAGGCTGTTGAATGAGTCCAGCCGTGCAAGTATCGCTAACTCTCTTGAACTTAAGCTAATAATGTAATTCTACGTGGAATCCCCGATGGAGAGATATAACAAGCTTTCAGATTAACCATTTCAACGCGGACTGAATATTTTATTCGATTTCAATTGATCTCGTTAAAGATACATCGACGCTATTCCGAAGTAATTTGACGTTAATAGCAAACTTTTATCCAAGTAAGATAATTTTCTTCATTTTTCTGGGAAAATAGTTTGAGATTTAGGATATCGTAAATTCAATGGAACAGCTGTGAAACGATCGGAAGGATCAAACTTTTTATAATAGAAAATCTCGAGCACCCGTGACGCGGTCCTAAATTAATAATTTAAAGCAAAGATCATATTCAAGAAAAAACTAATAATCTGTATTAACGTAGATACATCAAAAGATTTTTCCTTACTTAATACCACCTTGATCGTTCATCCTCGATAAAGGAAGATCGTTTATTTTTTACCCGTTTGACCCATAATCGTTGATGAAACAACAAGAGAAACAGTAAGAAGCTAGTGGTATGCGATGGTAGAAGCAAAAGAAGGAAGTGTAGGGGTGGGTATACTTGGGTGGGGTGGAAAGAGGGTGAGAGAGATTCGTTATTGATTCGAACTCGACACAGCTTGGTGTACAGTCGTAGCAGACTGTATCGTCAATGTACAGAATCGACTTACACAAACGTGGGGACAGAAATGTGCCCTCGGTACGATGGCTGATGGATGATCGCAGCTTGTATCGACAAACAATCTCTGGGAAATCCTGTTATGGTGGTGGGAAGCAACAGTATCCGATGGAATGACGCAAACGGGCCTTGTAAACCGGCATTTCGTGGTCAAAGTTATTATACTTTCTTCGGAAAGAACACGATATTTAAAATTTTAAATGATGCAGCTCGCAATATGATATAATTATAATTAATTTTAAAACTTTCCTTATATTTAAAAACAATTTCTCAATTAAAAGTTTTCCTTTGATGCATGAAAATTGGAAAACACACGGCAACTCTTTGAAGTTTCAGAAATAAATTGGAATTTTTTAAATTTCCCCCGACATTAGCCGGTATAAAAGAATGCATCAAAATCATATATATATATATATATGTGTGTGTTAAATAAATTAAGTCCGAAACAAAGTGTAATATAAGTTATTAAAATTCATTCGATGTTTTATAAAATTGAAAAGTTTCAAAGCCATTTGCTTTAAAATAAAATCGAATTCTCTCGCCTCGAGCAATTTCCTTGATATCAGCCTCTCGGTTTACGAATTATTAAAACAGAGGAAGAAAGGAAAAATAGGCGTGTCCTTTCTACTATACAGGGTTGTGTTTTCTAACGGTGAAATATTAATGAAAAAATAGCGTTACCTTGTACGTTCCATTATTAAACTTTCACGTCGTTCTTGGGGATCCTTTTAGAAAAAGGAAAATTACTTCTTAACGCGTTCACTGCCACATTATCCTTACGCGGCTGCTACAGTAGCCGCTCGATAATTCTCTGCTTTCGGGGCTGTCGAGGCATATTTTCATACGCAAACTGGCAATCGGTGTATATCAGTCATCTATAAATAATTTCATAGAGAGAGAGAGAGAGAGAGAGAGAAAATTGAATTATATTTCATTGTGAATTATTCTGTTAGCCTGCAATTTATTTTCGATATGAAACTTTGAAATTAAATGTACGCGTGCAGAATCAATTTTAGTATATTCCTTTTGCATCTGTAATAGAGAAAGTATTAATTTATAGCGTTTGAAAAGTAATATTAACACATTGACTGCGAATAAAAAGTTTTGAAATTTATACGCTTGGCCTGTTGAGATTTTCATTCAGAGTTTGAATTGCTGTTATCGGAGTACTCTTCTGCACGAACATTGCATTATTCGAACCCTTTTTTCTTCTATCACATCCTACTCAGCTTCTATATGAAGCGGAAACATTTTGTATGCATAGGTTTGATTGTAGCACCACGTAATATAGGCTGATTTGCATATATGAGCAAAGTTTACATAGCATCGTAATATCTTCGAGGGAGCTGTAGCGTTTGCTTTAAAAATTATTAATTTCTTGCATGTTAAATGGCAAAGTCTGACACGATTTGACAATATTTCGCTTCGTTTTCATCATCGTCTCAAAAAAAGAGAGAAAAAAAAATCTGTCTTAAGACGTCTTCATTGAACTGAATAATTTCATAGCCGCTCATTGTTCGGCTTTTAAAGCGTGCAAGGTAGAGAACAAGTTCGCTCACTGGTGTACAATAAATCTTTTTTCAACCCTTATTCCCTCACACACGCTCCTTTTCATCCGTCTTCGCTCTCCCTTTTAAATATCCCCGTCTTTTCTACCCGTCTTTGCAGCTTCTTTCTCTTCGGTTACTGTTCCAATGGATGGGCTGCGTGGTCTCCACTCTGAACCTGCTCGTTGGACGATAAAATCTTCGCTACTTTTCATGGATGAACGAGGGATTCATACGCTGTCTCTAATAAATACTATCCTGAGGAAATTTTCAGAGATGGATCCATCAAATTTAACATTTCGAAATAGGAGAAAATAATGTTGATTAATGTTTCCTCTTCTCGAAAGAATAAAATAAATTTTCCTTTTTCATTCACTCTCTGTTTGCACAATCTCTTACATGCGTGTCTCAAAGAGGAGCTTAACAGATAGGTACTTCAATCCTTGTTCGAGCAAACATAGCTTCTCATTTACACTCGATTTCACTGCTTTCATTCATCAATGAAGTGTTTATACTGCACCGAATTAAACAGGAGTTTAACAATCTCAATGCTTCCTTTGTACCAAAAGAGAAGAACTTGCAAGTTCCTTTGATATCGATCAGAAATAACTTAAAGATGGATAGCTTTCTTGTATCGCAACAGTGGGATTTATTTACAGATGTCTGTGCTGTTTGAAGCGTTGAAATTTTCTGGAATTTCTCTACCAGCCTAAACTAGGTTATAGCTCAATAATAAAGCATACTTTGAATTATCGAGGAAACTTGGGTGAATGAAAATTCGATTGCATAATAAATTAAAGGTTACGGCTACGTATCGTGTTAATTCAGCTTTTACAGGGGATGGTTTAATTAACTTTTTATTAGGAATTTAATTTATCTCCTCTAGAATCAGAACCTTAACTTTCTTTAGATTTATTTAGCAGATTAAAAAATTAATCGTACCTATCGGAAAGCAACGAAATCACCTGCTCGGTATCATCGACTATCCTAAAATCGATAACCGAGCAGACGAACCAGTGGAAGGATATTTCTGACGAGTAAATTGCAAACAGTATGTCAATCAGGAAATTCGAAACAGTTCGGATCGGCATAACTTTGATGGAGGAAAATTTGGGGCACAGGTTAGCGTGATCGGTAGCGCGGGATATCGTTAGCTACGGTTCAGCCAGTGAAATTCGCTTTGGCGGAAATTAGGTAACGCAACCGCTATCGGGCCACTAAATACCCTTTTGCCGGGGTAAAGCTTTCACCTCTGCGAACGCTTGAGCGTGTGTACTCGACCGAACGAACCCATCGACGGATCGATCAATGAGGATAATGACGTTTTCGAGGATTTTCCAAAATACAATGCTCGTTTCTGTCGAGCCTGATGCTCCTCCTCTCTATTTTATCCCTTGCTTTTGATCTTTAAACTGCTTACAGAAAAATCCTTCCTAAAAAATTTATCCCTCCTTTTGAAAGATTGCTTGTCGATGAATTTGCTTTCAATGAACCTTCCTCAAAGCGAAAATTTATTTGGTAAGCGACGTGAAAATGTAATTGCAATTTTTTTTTTTTCCACAAGAAAATAAATCATCGACTAGAGCGACGTGGTTGGAAATGGTCCAAAAACAGCAACTTCTATCTTATCAGAAATCAGCTGACAGACTGTCTTGTCACTTTGATCTTCACTTTTTAACTTCAGATTTCATGATAGATTACAACCAACTGTATGAAACGAAGCAGAATCTCTGTTGCTGTCCAAACCATCTGTTATCTTTCTTTTTCATTCTGTGACATTTTGCCTTCTTTCAAAGTAAAAATACCAGCCACGTACAATATACATATATTATTGCGTGTATATTATCGTATCGCAATACCTATCTCGGTTACGAAAATATACTATAGCTACTTGTTACGGAGATTAAATAAAAAATACACGTATCAGATCGTTCTATAAAAGTTATTGCATTCGTGTTTTCTCGACAGAAAGCAAATTTGCATTAGACGGAAATGACACGCAAATGCAGTAGGTTTAACAATGACTGTCTCAATTAGCTGGGTTAATAGAATCTAATGGCCGAGAGAATGTATTAACGAATCGATTCGATGAAACTCTGCTTAATAGAAAACGGACGTGGTTGAGAGATTATCATGATTTAGTATCGGTACATGATATTACTATAAAAAAGAAAAGAAAAGAAACGAAAAGAAAATAAGAGAAAAGGGACTTTAATTTTCATTAAACCATGAACTGCTCTGTTTCAGTGATGGTCGATTGGTAGAAGGAGATCAGATATTGGCGATAGATGGACAGCCACTAGACTCGAACATCTCTCATGAGCAGGCAATCTCGATTCTTCAGAAGGCACGTGGTCTGGTTGAGTTGGTCGTAGCAAGAAGCGCCCAAGGTAATTGAAATTCAATTTTTTCCTCTATTAAAATATAATTTGTTCAACGCGTTGAACGCTTATGGCAACGAGCACCGCCTATATCAAGTTAACTATCAGGTAATTTAACTTGTTTAGAAATTTCAAATATCATTACCGGTGGCCAAAGTAGATATATCAAACTATAGTTTCGAACAACTTTGCGATGTAAAAGTATCCCTGTGTTTGCCAAACACTAAACTAGATTAGCTGCGGTGTGCACGAATTTTCTGCTCGTCGAAGCAGAGCAGAAGAAAACTTTTGTTTTATCATTTCGAACTTGTTAAAGAAATACGATACTAACCGTTTGACAGACGTTGGGAGCTCTTTGCCAACGGATGAATTATCCGGAGCATCGAGTTCGACAGCGGCCGCGGGAGCAGGTGTGTCCATCATCGGCGGCGTTGTCGGCGGGACAACGAACCAGGCGAGCTCCGACAAGGATCAATCGGTCTCAACCTCGTCCATCGTTACACCAGCTGCCACCTCCAAGTCCAGTCAGCCAGCTAGCACAACCTCGGCAGCTACACCTACACCTACACCACCGACATCGACCCCGGTACCTGGGGGCCTCGTTGTCGAAAGGAGCCCCTCCGCCGTCAGCGACGCCTCCAAGAGTGGCTCTGACATGGTGGTAAATATCCATAAATCACGCAACCCTATTCACGGTTAACCCCTAATGGGTTAATGAAAAATTTGAGAAAAATCCTCATCACCGTCTTCGCAATAGCGAAGCCCCCTTTCGCTCAAACGATCCCTGAAAAAATTGCAATAGATATTTACCGACACGGGATCCTCCAGGCGAAAGCCCAAACCTTTCCCTCGGGTCAATGATATTCTCGTCAATAGTATCATCCACGCGAACGTTGCTTTGGCAAACACGGACGGCTCCTTAATGTTCCAGCTAGCTCGAGTTTCGTTGAAAGGTTGCCACTCGACGCGAAGGAGACATCGCTCTTCTTCCTGACTCCTTTGTGTCTCCCTTTTCACAACCCCTTTGTCGACGAAAAAAAGCATTCGAGATAGGTGCCGATATAAATTGTCAATCGCTCGTCATTATAATTGGCCTGATTTCGATACAACGCTCCAAGATTCGTCGTGTTTCTTCATCGTGACGAAGAAATCTCTTTGCTTATCATCAGCCGACAGGAACACCGACCGCTACGCCGGAAATAGAATTATTGGCAGCATTTTACCGGAGATGGCAGGATGACCATATTTTTCATCGCAGATTTGTCGAGACTCCTCGCAGAGGCACGATAATGATCGCATTATTTCAAAAGGATGGGCCAATTTTTCTTTTAAGGCTGGATTTTTTATCTGACCAGGAGATTTTTCATCTTCTATCTCCTTGATGGAGGGAACGGAAGCAGCTGTTTAATCTATCATTTCTCATCGTTAGTTCAATTTTAGAATCGAAGTATCTCAATACCGTGTTAAACAATCAATTATATTGAAAATTCTAAAAATTTCGTCTCTCAAGTGGAAATTGATTGGACGGTACTGTTCGAATTTCTCCTGCCAGTCGAGTAATGAAAATAAAAGGGAAAGCAATAAGGCAGCAGCTCGTAAATCTTTTTCTCTGGCGATAATGAGAATCGGAATGGTGGTGGATAGAACGAAAATCGTGGTTGTAGGTATAAAGAGCAATTTAGCCAGGAGCGATTCGTATTCTCCACGGATCGTGGTTTCGATCGTCCGAAAATATGCTGGCTATTATGATTTTCAATGGCGTTTGAATATTAACCAGACCATCGGGATAAATCATTGTCAATTTCCACGACAATTTCGAAGCAACTGTACGCGTGTTTTGCTTGCGTCAACTGTTGTTTGCTCGTTTCGAAACCACCAATCGCGTTATCTTATTATGAATGTTGAATGACATTAATTGTGATTCTCTGTTTCGTCGCTAATTATGGTGTTCGATTAATACTATAGAATTCAACTGCGTTCACGAAAATTAGGGTAATTGATCTCTCATAACTAGAATCTTGTTGGAAATATTTAAACGAGCAGGTGGGTAGATAATACAATTTTTCAGAAATAATTCATTTTAACGAACAGAAAATACCCATTTTAGGGAAGGCACGTTCGAGCCGCTTAATAGCATCGTAACGTTATGAAATTTATTAAATTATCGGTTCAGCAGAAGCAGGCCTCACTTGGCTAGGCTGAAAATTATCGGTTTCTTTCGAGCAACTTCGTTATTGGTGTCAACAGTAATTAACACCTCGATTTGGTGTTAATTGCTCGACACGAGTCTCGCGTAGCTCGACATAATTCTTTCTACTTTTCGAAGTAAGGCCTATAAATAGAAGGAAAATATTTTTAGGGCCTGATACTTCAGTTTACAATCAACAAATGGATTTCTTTGTGAAAAACTTTTCAATCTTTCTCTGGAAGAAACACGAAGGTGTAATTATTGGCCGGTGAAAAGGAAGGATGCCTTTGGTATTTAAATTGCTCTAAATCGTGCCAATAATCTGTCGTGGCTTTTAGAAGAAACCACGAATAATAAGCATTGCTTTCCTTGTTGTCGAGGGAGAAAAAAGCGTCGAGATTTCCTCGAGCTAAGTTTTCGATAATTGGTTTGCTTCGAACAAATGAAAACGGAGACTTGATAAAGTAGGTTAAAACGAGCATTTCTACTCTGAATTGACCAAGAAAAAATCATTGCGTGGCTTTCGAGGAGGTGAAATGAAAATGGAAATATGTACATTGTCAAATGTACGTTGTTAGAATGATTTTTTCCTCTCGGGTATTCGTTTTTGCCTTTCCTGGTTTTAACGAGAACTATTGACCCATATCTCTGCTCCCTTGTAATCGCCTTGGTTCTTAGCTCGTCGCAGGCTCGAGCGATAATTAGAAAAGTTTGTCGCGTTAATTACGATGTTTATACACGGAACGTCGGGGAAAAAAAATTGCATTTGTGACGGATATCACGGAGATTGCTCATGTAAATTCTCGGAATTTTATCTACATAAAATGTTTCTGGAAACTGGAACAGATTTCGATTCATTTTCTGAATGGAAGATTGATTGAAAACTCTTCTCTCTCTTTTTTTTGTGTGCGTTTCATCGCAAACGACGAGTTAAATTGCTACGCTTTCAGCATATTAATAAACGTTAGAGAACAAAATTTCCGTGTTCCAGATTTCAGATTTCAGATTTCAAGTTGCTGCTTTCTGATTTCACGTTTCAAAGTTGAAATTGCAAAATCATACTTTTTCCTACTGAAAAATGAAAAAAATGATCAACTCACCTATTCATTGTTGCTCCTATTATTTCTCTGTTTCAGCTGAACACGGAGTGGGCACAAGTTGAAGTAATAAATCTCATCAACGATGGCAGCGGTCTTGGATTCGGAATCGTTGGTGGACGAAGCACAGGTGTCGTCGTCAAAACGATCCTTCCTGGGGGTGTCGCCGATCGGGTAAATTTCTTTCTTTCCTGAAACCTGTAGAAATGAAAAAATTTCCATTTGCAAAATTCAAGAGACAGAGGAAATGAACGAAGCGCAAATGTTCTCTCTGGTTTCGCGATGAATCCGTGAATTAATAGACGTCGATTGGTGGTGCGATTTGCAGGATAATCGGCTGCAGAGCGGGGACCATATATTGCAAATCGGAGATGTCAATCTGCGGGGAATGGGAAGCGAACAGGTCGCGGCGGTTTTGCGACAATCCGGCACACATGTACGCCTTGTTGTCGCGCGACCTGTGGAGCCCACCTCGCCGGACTACCAGGTATTCCATCCCCATTTAATAAATAAATAAATAAAAAAAAAAAAAAAAAAAAAAATGAAAGATTGAAATTCTAATTCAATGGATGTTTTCCCCTTGAAAAGTTCACGAAACAATTTGGAGATAAACAATGCCATTCGATTAAGATAAAAAAGAACGGAATCCTCATCTCCCTCTCCTCGCCTTTCTTACTTTTCGAAGTCTAATGAAATAGCTTGATCGAAACTCGCGTTAATTAAATGGGCAGCAGAGCGTTTTCATTAAATTATCGGAACTCGGACTGTTTGCCCGGTAACTGCTTTTATAATTGGACGCTCCATAACTTCCGGATGCATTATTAACTAGCGAACACTTTCAAATTACCGTTTTTTCACCTACTTTGTCTACTATCTAATATTTCAAACGAAACTGACTGTAAAAAAATATAGACAATACCCTTTGTCCATAGGAATTTCTTCTTTTCCTCTTTCTTTAATTGGGTTCCACCTATTACTCATAGCTTCGGACTCCAGATTCTAATCGGATTTTAATGGAATGTTGCATTTCAGGCACTCGGCAGCCACGCTCCGATCGTACCAACGAAGATTCTGGGTGACCCCGATGAGCTGGATCGCCACTTGGTGCACAGCGTGCCGGAGACGTACAACATGCGCCACGTCCAGGGTGATGCCACCTACGACAACGGCTACATGTACTCTCAGGAATCCGACGTTGAAATGCACGTGAGTATTGCCGATATGATTGATCCTGAAACAGAAAAACAATCGTATTAGTTTTGAAAGATAAATTTAAATTCATATCGGTATTATCAGTAATAGAAGGGCATTTCGCCAGATGCGAATTGCATTTAAGTTGTAATTTTCGATTCGTAGGCAAGACCAGGTCTCATCATGGACGTAGTACGCAATCCAATGCCAATTGGAGCGATGCCAGTGATACCGACGGTTCCGGTGCAGATTCCGGAACTTCCGGTCCTCACCATGGACACCATCGACGTTAATTCACTGCCAGAAATGGAACGTTTCACCGTTGAGCTTAAAAAGGACATTTACGGTCTTGGGATCACTATTGCTGGATACGTATGCGAGAAAGGTAAACCCATCGAGTAAATTAGGTTTCCAGTTCTAACAGCTCTACAAGATTCCATGGTGTTTTCACAGAGGAACTGTCTGGTATTTTCGTGAAGAGCATCAGCGAGGGTAGCGCGGCGGACTTGAGCAACAAGATCCAAATAAACGACAGGATAGTCGAGGTGGATGGCCATTCATTACAGGGTTACTCGAATCACGAAGCTGTAGAGGTGTTAAGACGCACCGGGCAAACAGTAGTTTTATGCCTGGAGAGATATCTACGTGGACCAAAATACGAACAGCTTCAACAAGCAATCGCGGCCAGTGAACTGAGACCACCTCAACCAAGTTCCCCCTCTATTACGAGCCTACCAAGTTTCCCCATTAGCGCTGTAAGAATAAGAAATTAACTTCAACTTGTCCTTATCCTCTTTATTAATTCATTCGTTTACAGTTTAATGTCCGCCACGTATAATTATTCACACGTTGCGTCTTTAATTATTCTGTTACAGGATGGAGAAACAACCACTGAAATAGAACCGGAAGGAGAATCGCATACGACTGTGGACAGTGCGGTTTTGCAGGAAGGAGGCGAACGCGAAAGAGTCTCAGAGGAACTGGACGATGCGGCCAACGTGGAAGCTTTATTGAGCGACCCATCTAGTGAGCTTACACCCCAAATTCGAGCTGCTATTAAGGCCAAATGGCAGAAAATCGTCGGTCCAGATATAGAGATCGTGGTATGTAAAGGGGAAAAGTCCTCCACTTAATCTTGGAAGAACCTAGAGAAAATCCAGGAAGACCCTAATTTAGTTTCTAACAAAAATGTTCATTGTCTATCCTGAACAGGTAGCACAGTTGAAAAAATTCACAGAAGGTAGCGGTCTTGGAATAAGTTTAGAAGGTACAGTCGACGTGGAGAACGGGCAGGAAGTGAGACCTCATCATTACATAAGATCGATCCTTCCGGAAGGACCCGTGGGCCAGAATGGAACACTACGTTCCGGGGACGAATTGCTCGAGGTAATGTATCACTTTACTTATCTAGTACAGGAACTACTTCAAACATTAATTTTCCGTGTTAATTAACGCCCTCAGCACGATATTCATCCTGTGCCAACACAAACTTCGGTGTTGGCTTACTTCATCGATCAATGACTTTGTCTTCTATCCTCTACTTATTTACATTATAATTTTAATTAGAATGCTAATTTCTAGTTGCTTCTATGTTTTTCACTGCTCCACTTTTTTGAAAAATATTATTCAAGTAGGAATTATGTATTATGCAAATTTTATACCTACTATTCTATGTAAATTTCATGAATGGAAATTGCAAAAGGAATTTCTAAATTAATGTAGTCCATTAATAGAGCTTTAGTCTACGGTACAGAGAAATGAATGAGAAGCTTAATAAGGATAACGCTGCTGTACGTCCTCCATAAGCATTCGAGCAAACGATAACGGTGCCTAATATAGCTTAACTTTCTTAATTAGACAAGAATCACGACTCTTTGTGAGATTTAGAAGCCAGGCTAGAAAACAAGGTATAAAAAGTGTTTGTTTTCTATTTTATTTTTTAAAGGTGAATGGATATCGGTTGCTAGGCATCAATCATATGGAAGTAGTTAGCGTGCTCAAAGAATTACCTATTCATGTTCGAATGGTTTGTGGGAGGAACATCGCCTCGCAGGATCCTTTGTGCCCCATCGACACTGCTCAACACCAGGCTGCATTCCAAACTAGAGTAGGTACTCTAGAAATGAATTAAAGGGTACCAGGCATCGATACTGTCTACAACAGTCGTAACTGCTGTGCTTCCAAAATTTGTTTTACAGAGCATTCTTGGGGGATCCCTGCAAAATCTTTTACCAACGATGGATCGTTTGGTTAAAGCCAAATCCGATGGTTCCTTAGCATCAACAACGACTACAGCCACGGTTACGGATGCTAGTTTGAACAAGATGAAATCGCGTTCCTTGGAACCGTTGACCGGCCTCGCGATGTGGAGTTCCGAACCACAGATCATTGAACTGGTAAAGGGAGAACGGGGCCTTGGGTTCTCGATATTGGATTATCAGGTATTCCTCCTTAAACTTATGAGAATCTACAATCTATTAAAGATCCGAGGAAAGTGTGCTGTAGCCTCCAGGTAGGAAACAATTAAGTTAATCAAGTTTATCCGTTTGGTGTTCCAGGATCCAATGAACCCCAACGAAACTGTGATAGTAATAAGATCGCTGGTGCCTGGAGGCGTGGCTCAGGTGGACGGGCAATTAATACCTGGCGATCGGCTTCTGTTCGTGAACGACATAGCCCTGGAGAATGCGACGCTCGATCAAGCGGTGCAAGCGTTGAAGGGTGCACCAAAGGGCACCGTTCGCATCGGTGTGGCCAAGCCGTTGCCCATCCCAGACAGTATTGTCCAGGTGAGCGATCAGGAGGATCAGATCGAACCGAGCGTCGATAGGGATAACGAGACGGCCGCGTGTTCGATTATGGATAGCCATAAACAGAGGCGAGAATATTTCAGGGAGCGTAAAGTGAACGTGACCGAACCTCCTCATCATATGGATTTGATCGAGGGATTAAAACATCAGCACAATCTTGTCAAATCAGAGAGTTTCTAACTGGGCTTCTTTCATTCTCTTCGAAACAATTATTCAGCCTCTGTTTCAATGGACTCTCGCTTCCTCGCGATTCGCGTGTCTTCGAGACGATCGACTGTAATCGTGGCTAGACGTTCGTACGATCGATCGATCGCATTTTTCTCCTAGCTTCTCTCGGTTTTCTTTCGTCTTCTTACTTTCTCGCGTTAATTTGGGATCAAAGAAGAAGGTTCGAAGGTTCCTGGAGGGTCAATGAACTTTTTAGGACCATTTTCTCGCGAGTTTTACATTCGTTATTGATTCTTAACACGTTCTGTGCTGTGTATTCAGATGGACCAAGGATACTATTTCATTTAAAAGAATCTTTTTAATTTATCTTCTTTTATGAGAGAACTAGGTCTCGTAAATTTGCAGTTAATTACCCAATGGAGTTGGAGCAATTACAGTATTTCATGTAGTACGTTGCATTGAACGTGTTAATCAGTTTTTAATGTTTCAAAGAGTACTTAATTTAACTCATCAAGTATGTATTAACGATACTGAGCAAGTACTTACTTAGAATATATTTTTAGTGATAGAAAAACGCTCAAGTATAGTTTTATTAGAAAATAGTTTTGTTATTTTAAACTTTAAAGGAACCAGAGGAGTTGAATTTGTCATCATTTGATATATTATCATTGGGATAAGTTAATTTTTCGTTAAAGTCCCTATTGTTAGATTTCTGTTTCGATCGGTTCACAGGCTACCGTTCAGCTTGCGGCGTTTACGAAGTTTGATATACAATTACGGCACAAAATCTTCTTAATCGATGCTATAATTATTGAATTTATACAGTGGTAAAAGAGATCATGATTTTGTAAAATAATTCATTATTTTTTCCAACATTATGATACAATCTAACCACTGTACAAAGTGGGTATTTGTAGCATTTCGATTAAGACCGTAAAACTGACTTCTTTTTCTCTTTTTAAAGGACGATATAAGACTGCTTGTTGCTGACCAGCACAAAAATTATTACCTAATTTTATTGTCTTCGATAGATATATTTTAGCGTGTTGTAGACAGTTGATCTTTATACAACATTTACTGCGGCAATTACGATATTTTTTTTGCGTGTGAAAACATAATTGATAAGCTGATTGATGAAACTTTTACAGCGTGTATGAATAATAGATAATAAATAGGGTGCCGTACAGGTTGTTATTTTTCTTTTTTGTTTATCATCCATCAGAACCCTCGTTTCCCTTCCTTATTATCTTTTCTTTACTTTTTATTTTTATAGTCTTATTACGTTCACCTCTTTTTTTAGTTCTTATTTGTGTTGTTTTTTTGAGTTAATATTATTATGAATTTTTAAGGAGAATAAATAGAAAACTATCATAAGGGTGATCAGCGACCTGCGTTGTAAATTTAAGTTTCGTCAAATTACTGAAAATTATACGACTGCCACGATTGCTCGCGTGAATTATTCAATCAACGAGCATTGATCTTTGACTTGAGACAAAAATTTGAAGGGAAGAAGAATTGTTCGTGTTACAAGTTCACTTGAAGGTCCGAGTTATCGATCGCTGAAAGGAAGACCCTTACTCTGTGGCACAGAACTCGGAATACCAAGTTAGAAACTTAACACTTTAACGGCCAGTGACTTTGATACTTCGCTTTTGTCTCATTTTATCAGATCTCTGTGGATATTGATAATTTTGTAGCTCGTCAATGTGGTAGGCAGGGATAGAGAAGGGTGGGAAATACAACATAAATCTTTGTGTCATTAAAAGAGAAAAGAAATGTACGCGTGAAGTAGGGCTGTAAAACTGGAATTTTTTCCTAACAACCCCTCTGTGAAGATAGGGTCGTGTGAAATCTAAATTGTGCTATTATCGCGGATGAATTAAAAACGAGCAACCATCGGGAGTGATAAGTAAGTACCGAATCAAACACGATTGTAATAGTGAATGAAAGTTGCCTGGTAGAGTAGCTGAACAGAACGAATTATTCTTCTTTCATTATCCTGTGCAAACTTAGCCTCGTTCGACTCACAGAAAACATAACACACAGTCACACCTGTAGTCGGAATCGTAACATAGTTATGCCTCTTTAGGTGGCTATCATTTCTACCTCTTTAACGCTTAATCGTAGGATTTATTTATCATTTAAATATTTTACTCTACGTAGTATAGTATTGCTTCTATAGCTGGCAAGACGTGCCACTTACAGAGGCACTTAATTTACCTATCTTTGTTTTAGAAATTTTTAGTTTTTTCCTATTCTTGTTTTCCTTTATTGTGTATCTTACATTTGCGAAGATGAAAAGAGAGAAGGGGAGAATGTTAAAATTTGATTTTTTTGTTTTATTTTATAAAGCCATAAAAATAAGAAAGAAAGAAAAAATAGCGATAACTCGTGTAGCGAGAAGCCCTTCGAGGTCTTGAAAAGAAAAGAAAAAAAAAAGCGAACAACCGATAGTAATTGAATTAAAAGGCAAAAAAAAGACAATGGCAAGTAGAAACAACCATCGAACGATTTATTCGTCCATGATGTCTCTCTTTGTCTCTCTTGATTATCCACCCCTATTGTACCTGTATTTCTCTTTTTTCCCGTCTAGAATACTACCCTTTCACCTATCGTAGTGTTATACTACTAGAATTCCACTATTGTCTATTAGCGATGGGATTGATTGCCTTTTTTAATATTTTAAAGCTCTGAAATTAATGTGTCTAGAAATAAGTTCGTTGTAATAGCGAACAAGGGTGAAATCCCATCGCTACCGTCTACTACTTACTGGCACCTTTCTTCACTATTATCAAAAGGCTGTTCTCGCGTCTGAGGATCAATACGTTTATCACCACTGTTACTACCAAACACGAGGACACTGTAGTGTATACGAATTATACCGTGGTATTACTCTTCTCGACTAGTCGTCCAACGAGCAAACGTAGAAAAGCCTTAACTCGATTCCTAGCTGGATACCTGCCCATTTTCTTACGTAACATTACAGTCGATTCTCCTGCAGACCTCCTTTTCTTTCTTCTACCGCGAGTTCGCGAGTGCGTATAGTTGGTGGAAACGATGTAGTTACGCGATCGTGAAATTTTTATTATTACGTGTCTCTGATCAATTAGGATGGCGATAGTGGTTCGTTACTTGTGAGAGTGTGAATCGTGATTTTCTATACAGTGGCTGCAGTTAACGATCACATTGTTCAGGGGAAATGAAAATTACCAATGAAGGTGTATGTACTTTGTTTCGAGGAACTTACGAAATTTTACAGTGACCTTTTTACAGTGTTACTGTAAAACTTTGAAGAATTTCCAATATTTACAGTGTATATTTCATTTTTTAAACAACCTCTACATTTATCAGTTTCTGGGATATTTTCCACCGACTACATTGTTTCCACCGACTATACGTGCGTAATGCGATGCGTTTAAAGCGGAGTCTCGAAGGCACGCGATTCTAATTAATTAATTACGAACACACCGGTCATCTTCATACTTCATTATCGTTCAAACAGTCTAAGAAAAAAAAGATGAGAATGTTCCAAATTTTTCGAAATTATCCTATACTATATTCGGTATTCAAAGAGTTCGCATTAGGAGGGAATGCTCGCGTCGCGATTTCTTTTTTTTTTCTTTTTTTTTTCTTTCTATTGCTTGAATTGTTGTCAATTGTTTAAGATTTGTTGTCGCGCGTTCCCGCTACTAATTCGGCTATTTCATTTTTCATTTTCAGGGCAATGCTTAAACGTCCAGACCGGAAGCAAGTTCGATCACAATTTGCCGCAGTTAACCGACCAAAGAACGAACGAACAGAATTAATTAAGAGATTATCTATATCTATATACAATATACATACACACAGTCATATATTATCTATATACAATGTGCTCGTTTATGACCGTTTTAATAATAACAATGATAATTCATATCCGAGAGCAATGACCAATCATGATGTAACATTATACATGGGTGTTTTTCTTTTGCCTAAAACACGTGTTCTTCGTACAAATACCCTTCAATTAATTCCCCCAATTTAATATGTTATCGTTTTAAAACAGCGTGGAATTATTATATTTTCACGTTTGTTAGAATACTCTATAATTTATGAAAAATTTTTCGATTCGAATTTTATAATCAATAGGTAAGTTTTAAAGGATTTTTCGAAGGAAAAAAAAAGACAACTGTAAATTGAAAGTTGCTATGCCAATCTATCGTACTAGTCCTATATGAATTAACTCGTCGAAACTGAACAGGAATGTGGCTATTCGATGAAAAAGGTGAGAATAAAAGAAGAAGTCTTGTTTGACTCGTGATACTCTTCGTCTAATGAAAATGCTGTTCTTTTTTCGTTTTTATCCGAGGGGATGTCGGCTTCCATGGGGACAAAGAGACCAAGATCGAAGCATTGTTAAGAGATAAGACTGTTTAAGTAGGCAATATCCCTTTGAACCTGCTCTCTTCTCGCTGATACTCTTTCTTCAACCCTTTGTTCACCTCTAATATACCAATTTACAAGTGTTTGATTTTGGAAAAATTAATTTTTGGTATCGAAGGGTTGAAAATACATCTGTACAGTTTGTACGTGTACATAGAATTGCTTTCGAAATCTTGTATCTCCCTCTTGGTGTCCTAAGGTGTTTGTATTCTTAAACGATAGTTTTTTAATTGATTGGGGAAACACGAAAATTTTGGGTCTAATTTTGACAGCATAGTAAAATAAATGAAAAAATACGTGAAGTAGCTTTAGTTAAATAAGAGGACAGGTTGCACCGAGTTGCAGCGTGTCTGATAAGAGTAGTGCCAATTATCCAAAGCACTAATGTATTTGTTCACTTTATCGCCTTATCGATACACGCTAGATGATAAGAGTAAATTAGCCCATTCGCAGGAAATAAAAAAATGAAGGGATAAAATGGGTGTAGTACAAATAGCGATGTAAATAGTAGTTAGGAAAAAATTTTTCTATAAATGTTTTCAACTTGTTGCTTCAGTCTAACTCTCTGCGTAAATACTTGGAACTATTTTTGTACCATAATTTCCAGTTTTACTGCTCGTTGAGTGCGTATTTTCCGCTTTTGAACAAAGATGCTGCCAATGATTGAATTAATTACCCATATGAAAATTTTGCTTCCAACTATTTCTAATCGTTAATCGTTGGCGGTATCTTCACACCCCCGATTCTATCGTCTTACCTGAATATATTATTAAATTTCGAGGCTAGCTACTGTATCGTCTTGAGAGTAGCGCTTTTGTACCCCGATTTTTCGCGATTTCTCCCTCCCTGTATCGCGATCGAGGACCGCTAGACAATTATAATCGTCAATGATGTTAATCGTTTCATTTTTCTCGGTTCTTTTATGTCCCGATGGCCGATCCGACGGCAGAGGGTGCCACCGATTTGTCCCGTAAGGCGCAGCAAAAGCTTCCCCAACGAAAGCGAAACTACCGATCATGCAGCCGAGCTCGAAGATTTCCTCTCTTCAAGATCAGGTATCTAGGGTCGTCTTCCTATTTCCTTTAGCAAACACCACATTATTTAATTCCATTGTTCAGGAGTAACAGAACTGTCGATGGACAAACCGGAAAGCGAGGAAGAAGACGAGCATTGGAAGGACGCATCTCCGCATACACCAACCTGCAGTCCGACCAAGCGTCCCCCAAAATCACTTCACGGTCTGAAATCATCGAAAACCGTGGAAGTGGAGGTTCACGAGTTCCAGGCCACCACTCCTCTCCACGAAAAGGACGTGATCATACTGGAGAGTGGTGCCACGCCGCCAAGTCGGAAGTTGGCCATGAAATACAGTCAGGACGTGGCTCCGAAGGTGAAATTAAAGGAAGAAACTGAATCGTCAAAGGAAAAAGTGCCTGAAACAGTAACTCAATTGCCCAAACCAACCGATCAACGTTCTGTCGCTGAACGAAGAAGAAGTTTGAGACGCATGGACTCCGAAGATCGGATGTCGACGTCCAGGGAGACCTTGAACAAGTCGGACCTGGCTGACAAAGGCGCGAGGAAGAAGATCTTCAAGAAGAAAGACACGGATCGCGAGAGGAGATCTTTTAGAAGGAAGACCGAAGAAGCTGTCGAGTCGCCGGATGGTAGAGCGGAACCAGAGGATTCCAGGAAGAGGTGGGAGGTTGAAGAGGTCGTAACTAGATCTAGGGAGGAGAGGAAGAGCCTCAGGGAGCAGGAGTGTATCGACAGGGTGACGGAGTTCCTGACGAAGCACAGTGTCCTTTGCTATTCCGATTCAGCTCCAGGCACTGTGCCGGAAGTCACCCCACGCGAGACCCTACAACGTCCATCCACTTTAAAAGAACCCGAAGAAACACCTAGTCAAGTGCAACCATCGGAAGAATTGTCCAAGAAACTGAGCGAAGATGGAATTCAGAGGTTAAAGACTCCTGACGAACCTGCGAAGACACCTTCCTCCATCGAATCTGAAAAACCTGTAGCTACTCCAACAATTCCAAGTAGGACAGCTTTGGACAAACCTGTAGGTGGTACAGAGGACACAAAGACCTTGGTAACTAGTCCAGAGACAGAAACAGCACCGGTCAAACGAAAGAGTTCAATGCGCAAGAAACCAGCCATCTTCTCCAGGGAATCTTCCAGGGAATCTCTTTTGGACGACGCTAAAAAGGAGGTCAGAATACAAGAAAACGTGGAGGAGATCTTCTTTGAGGATGTGAGCGAACAGGTGTCTGGGGTATTGCCGGAAGTGCAGCTGGTGAAGGCGAGAATCATCACTGCGGAAGAAGCAGTGGCCAACAGAGTAGACGAGCCTCAGACTAGGATCGAAATCCACTCGCCACCGGAAGTGGCCACTGTTCCTGACTCTGTCAGAGTGAAAAGTGGCCGGGTACCTTCACCGGAAACTGTGAACATGTCCCATTTGCAGTTGGTCAGCCTGGCTAAGTCCACGTCCGAGAATACCTTAGTGGAAACTGATAAGAACGAAGACAACAAAGTGTCGGTGAGAAATATCAAGACTGAGATCCTGCTGGATTTGTCCAAAGTCACGGACGTTAACGACGAGACGGAGAACTCTGTTGATGAAGAGAGGAAGGAGCGGAGGTTGAGCAGGACAGGAAGCGAGGGCTCTAAGAGGGCTGCACTGAGGGCACAGGCGAAGCCGAAGGAACGAGATGGATTTAAGATCGGGAGTTTGGCTCAACCCGACGAACCGCAACTGACGATCCTTTTGGAAAATGCCGCCATTCAGAGAAGGAAGAAACTGACGGAGGGAAGAGAGGACAGCGTGGCTGGAGAACAGCAAACTAAAAGGTAAGCGGTTGCTAATGAAATCGCACGTATTTTTAATGCAAAGGGAAATATTAATTTTTGAAAGCAGGATACGAATTAATAGATTGCCTTTTCGCGTACAGCCACATTGATCTAAATAATCTGGAAAAAGGCTTCGAATGTCGATTAATGGACATTGTTATTTCCTATGCAGCTTACCGTCTGGATTACACGATCGTTCGTCGAAACCCCGAGAAACGCGCACAATTGGTTGGAAATGTAGGTCGACTGGAATACCATACAGTGTTTCGCGACCCGAAAATTCGATAACCACCACCCCTTTCGTCTTTTTACCGTTCGATCGCGAGGGGGAACTAAAATAGGCCCCGCTAATCAATCGTTTTTCTTCTTGACATTAAACGTCTCGAACCTCTTTCCCCTTCTATCTTCAATCCTACCCTTTCGAACCTTCTTCTCTTTAAATGTCGAAAGCTATCGAGTTAAAGAACGAATTTTACGATTTCTAGCATTATTTCCGACGTACTTTACACGCTGTTTGTTTTATGCCGAACTTTATGGGTTAAGGAAATCTTTCTTAGACCGGTGGATGTTTTAGAATCAGTGATTCTCGTAACATTGTATTTCTCTTTATTCAGGAAATTATTGCTGGACTACTTATATGATTTTGCTCGCAGGAAACACTGATTATTCTTCATTTATCTGCGGTAGACCGCGTTTCTTCGTAAGATGGGTGTTCGACTCATCTTTGGAATTCCCCATAAATAATAATCCTTTAATTTGCTAAAAAGAAATTCTTCAATATAAAATCAGTCTACTTTTAACTGTACGAAAAAAATCAGGTCTCTTAAATCTGACCGCGATACATCTTCGCCAATCTTTCACGAAACACTCGAGAAAAGAGATTCAAACGAAAGAAGTAAGAATAAAAGGCAAAGAAAACACGGAGCTCGGAAGCAGGTGAAAAGAAGACGGATCGGGCGAGGTAGTAGATGGCAGGAAAGTGGGTTAAAGGAAATAGACAGCGTCGCTGCAGTAAACCGGAAACCAAGCACGGAATATAAATATAGAAAAATGCAGCCATCGGGCAATAGACGAGCTCGGTAGACGAGACGATAAAAGATAAGGACGAGGTGGTACGAACCGCAGAACGATGGCGAAAAGAAGAGAAAAAGAAAGACTACGAATACCATCGAAACAGACAGAGAAACGTTATAGCTAAAGGCAGTCAAAGGAACAAAGACGCGTTTCTATAGGATTTTTCAAAAAATCATTCCCTACATTTCGAAATTTCGATCGAAGTCACCTCCACTCAGATTAATGATCTCCCTGATCTGTCCTAGCTGTAAAATATGTTGCGATTGAATGCCTTCTCAAGAGAAATCAACAACCCTATCACTGAAACGCTCTATAGAGAGCATCAGCAGTTAAACGAAGACGAGCAGAGTGATCGAAGGAAAGAAGGAGAAAAAGCTTTGCCGCAACGAAGCTGGTCGGTCGGTACTTGCTCCCACGCAGTTTTGCAAAGCTTTCCTAACTCGAACTCGCGTGGATTCGCGCGCACAGAAACGGGGAAATCTTTCTGTCTGTGTATGCACTCGTAGGGGAGTACTCCTCGAGGTGGTTGCTCGCGATTAGTCGTGATTCGGACCGCCTAGCCTGATGTTCTTCATCGCGATATACAACGTGTAACACGTTGCAATCAGTGTGCGTTTGTTATATGTATATGCATTTGTGGTTGCCAGTGTGTGAATGCGCGTGCACGAGCCACGTTTCGTCTACACGCGGAGCGGACTGTGTTGTTTATTAGATCAGAGTAAGCCAGTTTGCAGTGACGCACGGCCGGCCAGAGACACGACAGTGAACACCTTGGCTTCGTTGTGCAACGTGACAGAGGTAGCTCTTCTTCAGCATTTTTTTATTTTTTTATTTTTTTTGTTTTGTTTATTGATTGATTGATTTATTTATTTATTTATTTGTCGTTGAATTGCAGTGATTCGTAGTGAATGTTTAACAATTAACTCTTTGATTAAAGAGCGGAGAATTAAAATGTTCCTGTTGTGTACTGAAGTCGAAACAATTTTACTAATTAATCAATTTTATTGATTATTGATTACCAAGTAGAATCCTAAATTATTCGAAAAATGAGAGGAATACGGAAAGAATCCTGAAATATAGTTGCGCAGTGTGATTGGCTTAAAATTTGAAACACGTGAGTTGTTCGAGTGTTGATGCGATTTGGGGTATTATTCAAGAGGCTTGATAATTTAATATTGGCAAATTTCACGTGTTCCGCTAGAATCATTAGTATTTTCTGTTTTATCGCACATTATATTTCGTTGCTTTGAGAAAGCAATTCAAACGCGAAAGGAAAATAATCTGATTTAGCGTGCGATTATAATTTCCCCGGTTTCGTATAGGTATCGATCGCGGTATTTTTTGACGATGACTAATCGTCATCGATAAATCGATCATCGGGGAATCTCGAATCTCGACTCGAGACATGCTTTTAATTCGTCGAAAAACAAACATCTTCCCGCGAGATCAAACATAGTGTCCATCGTGAATAATATTTGATAGAAATCATATTCGGACAGATTTCGTCAAAAACATACCTCCTTATTATTTTATTAACCAACTGATAAATAATCTATAGATTTTTTAAGAACTTTCATCATTTATTTTTGAAACTGGAGGTTTGTAAAAATTAGAATCATTCTTCTTGGAAAGAAATCGAGAAACGAGGAGGAATATGCCGTAAAATGTTAAAAATTTATCCAAGAGGAACCTCGTGATACCATTACTATAAATAAAGCACTTATATCATAAACTTCAGGCATAAAATATACGTTCTCTTAGAAAAGCTAATTCCACCGTGTATTCAAACACGACCATTTGATTGACTTACATATTCACGTCACATTAAAAAAAAACTTCAATTCGCGTTTAATCTTCTGAATGAAAAATAGCTTGCTAAAGAGTATGTATTAAAATGTGCCATTTAACCATTGATTTTCACAATTTCCCGGTTGAAGAATTGGCAGGTATGTATATGGTTAAAAAAATAGCCTGAGATTCTTCCGTTTATCGTTCGGGAAAATGTATGGGCAAAAATTCCTACGACAAAACTGACAATAATGTGATTGTTAGAGCGCATTAAAACTCCATTATATAAGAATTACACACGGAGGGAACGTAACCGGTACACATTCGCCGGACATTAAGCAGTGTTATTCGTGTGAATCGACTTGTTCGAAGTCGTAGAAAGCCTTTGCAATGGAAAATTAGAGCGGAATTGGCTTCTTTTGTCGCCAATTCGCGATATAATCGAGCAAGTTCAAGTATCAAAAATTTTGGAGTAATTAGGATTTTAGAATCTTAGAATATTAGGAAATTTTTTGCCATTCGACGAGCTCATCATCGAGCAATCGAATAACCGCAGCACGGCGTTAATCAGAAAAAAAAAAAAAAAAGAAGTAAACCGAGCGATCGCCAGAATTAATGGGTCACCACGGAAGACCCTTGCATTCGCTGCTTTAGCGGATTCTTCTAGATCGAGGGAGAAGCCCTCCGCGCCGCTCATTACGAGCCTGAGGAGAGTTCGCTTCATTAGTCGCCACCATTCAATCTCTTTTTCCTCATTACTCTTCTTATTCTGACTCGCATTTCCTGTTTCTATCGAAGGCCAGAGGAGGCTAGCCCGAGGCTAGCGGACCAGCAAGTCGAGCTTCCTTCGAAGGACCGGGAAGCTGAAGATAAAGGAGAGGTAGGAGATTATGAGAGAATCCCGTATCAACAGAAGCATCCTCCGGAGGAATCTTCGTTCAAACCCGAAGAAGACAGGCTAATCAGCAAGGAGCATTCCCTCGAGTATCAAAGTCAAACGCTAGAGAGTCAATCGGATCGTCTGTTGCACGGAGTGCAGCTCTCCAGTTCGGTGGAGGAGTTGCTCAGGACCGTACCGGACAGTTGGCCTGGTCAGTTGGAAAAAAGGCTCGAGGAAGCGGAGCGTAGCTTCAAGGAGACCCAGTATTCGCCCAAGGAGAAGCTCGACGCCGAGACCCAGACCGAGCAAGAGACAAAAAGTACCCAGTGTAGCCCCGAACAGAGTAGGATAAGTCCTTCGGAAGTATCCAAGGACAGTCCACTGCACGTGGTCAGAGGATACTACCAGAGCCCTAGAAGAGAGGTACAGACCCAGACCCAGGGCGAGAGTAAAAGCGTCCAGTGTTGCCTGGACGAGTTAGGCAGTCTTTCCAAGACCCCAGACCTCGACGACTCATTCGACAGTCCGTCGAAATCGGAGAAGGAGTCCAAGAGCATCCAGTGCATCCCTAAGGACTTTTCTAGCCCTGACAAAGACAGCGTCGATCGAGAGAAAACTCTTCCAAGTCCGCGAAAAGAGGTCGAGGTACAGACCTACCAGGAGTCGAAAGCTATCCAGTGCAGCGATGACGAGCTTCTAGAAGCTGATCAACTCGAAGACGACTACACTGCGCGGCCAGTGCTTCCGAGCCAGAAGGCCGAGAGTTCGGCCTCTTCGAGTTCTGGATCACCCTGCAAGTTCTCGGCTGTGGTGTTTGTCGAGGAACGGCTCGATATGACGGTGACACAAAGGGATCACGAGGGGAACGTTAGCTGGTCGAAACATTGGGGTCCAGAGAGGCTGGTGGAGATCTTCAGGGAGCCGAAAACCAGCCTCGGGCTGAGCATCGTTGGTGGAAAGGTACGTGGTGTTGCACGGTTAAAAATAAAAGTTCGTGGTGGAGCGCGTGGGCGTAGACGTGTTTGGCTTTCGGACGTGTAGGGAGAGTTTCTGGGTTAACTAAGCCCTTGCAATGGATTCTGATTTCTTTATACGAGTTTTCCAAGATTTTCTATCTTTTTATAGAAGTCTAATCGTAAGTACCTTGTTCCACTTTTTCCAAGTAAACTTTATGAAAATTCTAGAAACACTTGGGGTGCGATTTTATCTGATTTTTCGAAAATGTTTTTAATGCCATTCTTCGCTGGTACGACATCAAACATACTCTCCTTCTGGTTTCATTAATTGCTCGGCTAACGATGTCGTGTACCGAGCTACTAATGGCACCACGTCGATGGCATTGCTTGTTAATTACAAGCAAGTACTACAGCACTGTAAGTGTAAGTGCATTAACGTTGCGATTGCCTTCGAGACGTCTAGCTAAGTGTCTAACGTAACAAAGTTTAATTATTTTCAAGTGACAGGAACTTAAAATATTATATACAATATTTCTTCAAAGAAGCTGAAGACGATGACAATGAATTTTTTTATTATAAAACAACAAGATATTTTTATCTATTTCCAGCAAGTAGTTTGAAAATTCTTCTTGAAAGATCAATATAACCATAGAACTGGTGTTACGTAATATCAATTACACCTTCTGGATAATTTTAGAGAATAAACGTGCACAGGCCACTGGCCTACAAAAATTTATTTTTTTTTCTTCCAAGTAGAACGTTAGTAAGATGGTATATGCTTCGAAGAATGTGTTACAAAGAACAGACTTTACACCTATAACACAAAGGTCAAAGATCGTCACGTTCATGGTCATTTTATCAAAGAGAATTGTACAGCAAATACAACCTTTGTATTTCCATTGTATTCGTTAAGTAGAATGTAATTTTGATTGTTCAACTTTGTTCGAGGCTGGTTGAAATGTGTTTCAGGTCGACCTGCACAATGGCAGCTCTAGTAAATCACAAAACATATCTGGGATATTCATTAAGAACGTAATACCGAACAGTCCGGCGGGAAGAACCGGTGAATTGAAGGTATAAGTATTCTTATTAGGTTGTAAAAGTAATAAATTTTACAAAATGTCAAAGCGTCGAAGTTTGGAAAATGAAAATGAAATTTTAATTGTTACGTCGACGATCCATCATCCCGGGGAAAAAAATAAATACCTATTAATAACTTTTGCAGACAATTTGTTATTAACAAATGATACGTTATTCTAGATCGGTGATCGAATAATAGAGGTCGATGGCGTGGACCTGCGACATAGTACGCATGAACGCGCAGTCGAGGTGATACAAGCAGCCGGAAATCCTGTTCGTCTTCTCGTCCAGTCTTTGGTGCACCTGGTGAGACCTCGCCACGACCAGGAATATCTTTTCACTTTCCCAAACTTTCAAAGATTTAATGCACACGCTTCGCAATTAATGCCCTATTCATTTTTTATTTTATTAACTGCAAATAGAAACAAAACTACAAAAATCTAATATTTTTCCAATTTCCAACTCCTATCTGTTTCCTTCTTTTTTTCATTCGTTTAACTAGGCGAGAGTTTCGTGCAGCACATTCTATCAATTTAACTCTAACCTTGTTATCCTGCACCTTTAAACGCTTTCATCTCGTTCGTTGTTTAATTATTTCCACGGTATTTTCTTGGTTTCATGATTGTTAAATATTTCAAGCACAAAAAAATGTTAATGCACCTTTTATTTGCAACGAGATCTCTGCTTTTTGCACCTTTTAATTGCAAAGATATATGAATAATTTCTTTTCAGAGATACCTAAATTGACAAATTGGATTTCTAAAGAGTACTAACTGAATTTCATGTTAGAAAATTGTAAATGTTTTTACTCTAACACGAGACCGTCGTAGGTGTAGCGAATTGCAACCAGTTTTGTGTCATGTTTCTAGTTGTAATCTGGTACGGAACAGCTGCGATATACACAGACTGACGCGTGTAAAATTCACGAGTGGCGTTAATTCCATCTCTTGTTTTTTCGAACGAGAAGTTTTTTTTTTTGGTGCAACAACTTTCAACAACTTTCAAATGATTTATCAAAGGAAATTATAGATTGAAAAAGAGTAATCAAGCCAGAATCATCTTAGGTATCGATCAGTTCGTGGCTTTCTCATCACCAGTTGAACTTATCCTATACAAACAACTTCTAATGTTTGTTGGATAACGCTTGTACACAATTTTCATGGTGAAACATCCGTAGAAAGCCGGATTTCCAAACGTCAGATAAGCTACTAGAATCCTTCATAAGTTTCAATATCGAATACAATCCTCGACGACACTATAGAATTTTCCAAAGAAATGTCACTATTTCCCGCCAAAAATTCCACTTTCCTCTCGAATTTTAACAAGGACTCCATCGAATCCATATGAAATTAAAGAGACGAGGGAGAAGGGTGTACGAGGGTGAGAAAGCTGGTGACAGACATAACGGGACCAACGACAAAAAAAGAGACACGTGGGTACAGCCATTATCGGAACATCCAGTGTACGGTGCATCGAGGTCGAACTTTCCAATAAAGCCGGGGGCATGTGGGGTGCGAAGGGGATAGAAACGGCGTGAAAGGCGGTACAGAACGAGAATCATGCAAATCAGAGCGAAGAAAGGGTGTACCAGGAACAGGAATCGGTGGAAATGCTTTTGTTTTCATCGGTTTCGGGTTTCAACCGGGTTGCGTGTTGATTGGAGGCTTGCTAGGGGATGATTTAACACCTTGCGTGTTACTTTTGTTTGCTCGATAGAAGGGTGTTTCGCGGGTAATATTTATTTTTCAAAAGATTAAACATTCTGAAACAAAACTCACCCTTCGACGCGAACGAAGCATCTCTCTGATTTTTCTCTCCGTATCGGAATGAAAATGAAATTCTGAGAATATAGAGTGAATCGTTGTGAAAATTGGACGCGACTGAAGGATCGAGAGGGTATAGAATAAAGAGGATGCAGAATGGCGTTGGTTGGAAGGAGGAGAGAGAGTTGGTAGCAGGATAGAAGGGGGATGGTTCGCGATCGGCAATGAGTCGGGGATGCTGCGGTTTGTCGGAAAGTGTGGATTACGTCGTTGCAACGTCCATCACCGACACCATGGGCCATCGACACCCCTTCCAGCTGCACCAACCCCCTCTGATCAACGTCGTCCACCTTCTCTCTCGCTCGTGTTATATCGACGGGCGCAGTTTCATACACGAAACCGGCTGGTAGACGTTGCTTCCCTCGATACCGTCGCGATGCATCGTCTCTTTGGACGTAAATTCGTCTCATTCGTAGTACGTTACCTCCTACAACCACACATACACGCACACTACCAATTTTCTCTTCGTCCAATTAATTTTGGAGAACCTGCTTTCTTTTTTTTCCTCTCTCTCTCTCTCTCTCTCTCTCTCTCTTCATTTTGGATGAGTGATTTTTGTTGGTTTACTTCTGAAGAAGGTTCTTGGTTCTTTTGATAGTGCTGAAGGATTTTGGAGAACATTTGGAGGATTTGTATACACAACTGAATAAAGTAAGAGACACGTGTTTTTCTTTTCTGTTTTTCATTTTGAGAGTTTTATAAGCAAAATTCTCTGGAATCAAAGGGGAAAAATAGTTCTTTAATTCCCTAATTACTCAAGAAGACAATTTTATGTTTTAAACTTGAGTTATAGCAACTCAATAAAAATGAAAGAAAGAAAAAGTAGGATACGTGTCTCTTATTTCTGGTTGCTCTACTTTTCGCAAGATTTATTATTACAGCTTGCAAACTCTGTCCTCCTTGAACAGACCAGTTTTATTAAACACGCGATCTATGTTCTCTAAACCGGACCATTTGTTTATCATAACTATAATTTCGGTCTACAATGTTTTAAACAGTCAAATTTACAGTCACAATATTTTGGCCACGAAAAGCAATGGACTCGTGTGTGTGATTTATTAAACGTATATGGTGTACTTTGTTATAATTTCGGTGATTTATCAACTCGTTTTATACTGACTTTTTATTTGAACATAAGTAAATTCCTCTATTCGTAGGTAGACCCTTAATTTTTAATCAACGTCTTATTTAAGCGATTCACAGATCCTTGAGCCCAGTCAGTGAAATGGAACTTGCCTCGAATGATCAATTAAAATAAAGTTGTATTAATAGATCGTGAAAATAAATAGATAATCGATGAAGATTCGTGTCGGTGAAACGAATGTGGTCTGAAAAGTCTATTGATCAGTCGAAGCAATTCAATGCAAGTCTCGTACACTTATTAATCACATTTCTAAGAGCGTATCACTCGCTTCGACGACGACGACGATCGAACTCCTATTGATTGTGCTTTTTTTAATAGACACTCAATAGGAAATAGTGACGAGTCAATTAGCATTTTTCAAATTAGACATTTCGGAATGTTTGAAATGTTCCAATGATCAAATTGCTCGTAAATCTACGTGACAAAGAGAATGAAATGGCCATCGCTAAACGAACGGATTCCGGAAGTTCCGCTTCGCCACACGTGGCTCCGAAATAGCACCTGGGATCTATTGAAAGTTCTCTAGCGAGTGATCCGCTCATTTACGCTTTTCGCTCCGTCGAAGGATATTTAAGTGGATCGATTGTGTTTGCAGAACAACGAGAACGACACGGATGGCCAGGTGGACGAGGCAGGAAGATTGACAAGGAAACACAGCGGTAGGAGCCGATCCGGAGCACCCACGGGATCTTTTGGACAGAGAACGTCTCCTGTCAGATCCACCACGCCGGAAGCGACACAGGTGGGTCGTTCTTTTTTTATATTTATAAATAATTCTCAAGAATACCACTCCATTCTTGTCACAATTGAATTGAAAATTTCAACCGAATAGAGCAACAAACGAGCAGTAATTGAATCGAACGGTGCAATTAGCTAATGGCTGGGAGAGAAAATAGGCGAAAGGAAAAGAGGGAAGTTTGTTCGATACCGAGGTGCGAGGAAAAGCGCGGGAATCGGACGTGTTCGATTGTGTTCGATGTAAATTAATTCGGTCAACGGAATCGATTGTTATGACTTCGGGTCGACGCGACGGGAGAGCCCGTGAAAAGTGGATGATTCTGTTTTCGGTCCGTTTCGTTAGCGATGGGTTAAAATACGCTTGGAATATCACAGCAATATTGTTTGAAAATTTCCAAGGCTATTAAATTATTATATCTATCAAAGAGCAATACGATTGAACATTTTTATAAAAAAGACTGAATCGCTAAAGAATTTTTCGAAAAAAGATATTGAACAGTTAAGATATCGACACGCGAGCACTGTGTTAACAATTTTAGAAAATCTGATCGTTTCGCGGAATTAATATACGTAAAAGACGTATTTTTGCTCGTCGATTCGATATAGAACGATGCTGGTGGCAATTGATCGAATATCTAAGTTTGTTCTGGCTGCCAACAAATGTATTCTAAAACGATCAACGCGTGTTTTCTCGTGTTCGAAACGTGTCGAAGGAAGTTGCAACATTTAGATGTTTGAAGGCTGTCGATCGGTTTACAGGTGTTGATTTTTATAACATTTCTTACAATGCTGTTTAACCCCACCGGACTGACTGAAATAATTATACATAAATTTTGAATAATTTATTATAAATGTATAATTATTTTATTGCGATAGGGTTCCGAATACGGAGATAAACAAAGTAGCTCGAGATCAGATTTCAGAAGGCAAAGTACAAGAGCCTCAGATGGCGCTGGATCCAGTTCGCGAAGGTAAATTAATTAGCTAATTAATTAATTAATAGCTTTAAATACGAGTAATTGAAATAAACGATCGTATAGATCCTCCATGAAAAAGTCAATTCGAAAGAAGGCGCCGTCACCGCCTACCAATCCCGGTATTTTACGAGAAGTGAGCGAAGAGAAGGAGGACCACCATGTCTCGAAACCGGAAGAACCCCCAAGACGGAAGTATTCTTCGGATGAGAGCTCGGAAGAAGACACGCGCGAGCTCGAGGGAAACGTTTACACGAAGGCTGGCGTGGAGGTACTAAAATAATTGAAGAGAAACTTTTCTTATCTTTTGAAAAACGTTCTTTCCTAGATCTCGAGGAAAAGTGCTGGGAACGTGAAGCGTAGCAAAGCGGAAATCGAAGCGGATCCTGAACAGGAAGACGAGTTCGGTTATACGCACAGTACGTAAATTATTAAATTAATATCCTACTAAAAATTAATTGATTCTCGTTACAGTGAAAGTGCAAAAGAAATACCATTCGATGGGGCACAAAGTGTTGATGGTCAAAGTGGAAAAGGACAGACGTGGTTTGGGTATTTCGTTAGCAGGACACAAGGATCGAAACCGGATGGCAGTGTTCATTTGTGGCCTTAATCCAAGGGGTTCAGCTCACAAAGGGGGCGAGCTTGTTGTCGGTGATGAAATACTCGAGGTGCGTATTTTCCAATTTATTTTCCTTTCTTTCTATCTCTGCTTCACATTTATCTGTTCTGATGTACGCTAATTACGTTTGAATATCTTTAGGTAAATGGCCGCGTATTACAAGGACGGTGCCATTTGAACGCATCCGCCATGATTAAAGGCATGGCTGGTACGACCTTCAAAATTGTCGTTTTACGGTAACGTCATACTGTTTCTGTTCGTGTATTTCGACACCTCTGATGAAATTAATTGAAATTGTATAACCCTGTGATCGCAGGAGGAGCGCGGCCCTTGACGATATCGCCGTGAAGCCAATTGTTCAATTTCCTCCATCGCTGGAAGAGGTAAGCCCGTCGTAGATGAACAATCGTAAAGATGTTTCTTACAAGAATATTATTTCTTGTTGTAGAACACGTTCAACCAGTACAAAGGTGTGCGGAATATACCGGTGAAAAAGGCAAGTTTTACCCAAAAAACAGAGGGATACTGATCGAGCCTTACGATTACTACACGTAGGTCTTTCTATGTGTAGGGTCAGTATGGACTGGGCATAATGATCATTGAAGGAAAACACGCTGAGGTTGGCCAAGGTATATTCATCTCCGATATACAAGAAGGCAGTGCTGCTGAACAGGTGATTCTTTCTTTATCAGACAACACACTAGTTAAAACGTGTCACGAATGCTAATCGTTAGATACCGATAAACTTATTTCCCGTGTCATTGAAAATGAAAAACTGTGTCATTCTCCTTCTTTATTGCGTTTTACAGGCTGGCTTGCAAGTTGGTGATATGATACTTGCTGTTAATATGGACTGTCTACTTGGTTCGACGTACGACGAGGTACGTAATAGTATTTAATATTAAAAGTTTACGAACGGAATTGTAATTTTAATTGTTCAACATTAATATTACCTTTCTTTATTCAAAGGCTACGAGTTTGTTGAAGAAAGCAGAGGGTGTAGTTACTCTAACAGTATGCAATCCTAATCAAAGCAAAGTAGCAAAAGAAGAGGAAGACAGGGCAAAGGGCATCATTCCCGAGGAAGCACGTAAGTAATATATTATCGTCGATTATCATTTGAACGTCGTTTAAAAATGATATAATCTTTTTATTAATTTCTCTGTGTTCCAGCATCAGCACCAGCACCCAAAGAGCCAGAAAAACCAAAAGAACCTGAACCACCAAAGGATCCAAAGGATTGCAAGATTGAAACCGGAAAAGACACAACGATAGAGTTCCAGAAAGAGAAGGATAAAGGCATTGGATTCACCATAACTGGTGGTTCTGACACACCATTGGTAATATTCCTTTTTATAAAAGCGAGCTATGAAAAAGATTTGCATTTTTATAATTTCATTTTAGAAAAAAGTGTTCATCCTCGAAGTGTTTCCCGATGGAGCAGCGGGGAAAGATGGACGATTACAGTCCGGAGATGAAATACTGGACATGTGCAGCAAAAGTTTCAAGGAGATCGAGTACGATAAAGCTCATGCTACTGTTTTGAAACTCTCAGGAACCGTATGCATCCTTTTCCTTAAATAATATTCAGTAGGATGCTGCTTTAACTACTATAAAAATGTTCTATTTGAATTTCTAGATCACGATGATCGTGCATCGGCAAGAGAAACCAGAAGAGGAAATAGAAGTGGAGCTGCAAAAGAAGTCTGGTAAAGGAGCTGGTCTCTGTTTGACAGGATATAAAAGTGGAAAAGGAGCATACGTGTCGGACTTGGTAATACTTTGTGGCATTCTTACGAAGGTTTACAAAAAAAATCAGCTATAAGAAAATTCGATACGCTCTTTTTAGCTACCTGGTGGTAGCGCTTTGGAGTGTGGAAAGATTTGCAAAGGGGATCGAGTGGTAGCAGTTGGTGGAACGGATGTTCGCGAAGCTCCTGTGGAAGATATCGCGGTCCACGTGAAAGTTTCAAATCCGGTGCAATTGAAACTGGCTAGGTTCAAATCCGCTAAACAATGACAGGTAAATATCTTTATTTCAAAAATTCCTCTCTCATCCTTCAATTATTGTTCATTGGATCGTTTTCTTTAATTTTCAGGGTTCTGCAGGCGGAACTCTGAAAGCGGATGTGAAAAGGACGATACCCTTTAGACACCACGGTCTCTAGTGTGATATGACTATACCAAAGTAACTATAAATAATACATAAACACTATTTGCTATTAAGTATCGTGATCCAATCTCGCCAATGCAACCCAAGCCGTAATTTCTTAGCGAGTTTTTCAAGCCACGTGACATCCTGGCACTCTAAATCTAGGGATTTTTCAGCGCCCTTTTCTATAGCGAACACGGGCGAGATGTCGTAAATAATCGTCGCTCGCAAAAGATTCCGTCTGTCACGATCAACATCCGGCGAGTACATTTTATGTAGAATTAATGATACACAGAGTATTTATGCAGTTAGATCTATACAGATTGTTTCGTATGTACATCAAATGGTATTGCGCCATTTATTACGAAACAGCCTATACATTGTAATAACCACGCGTTACGATGAACGATCTTAAAGAAAAAGAAAAAGAAAAAGAAGCTCTAAGATTCGAAGAGAAAATAAAAGGAAAAAAGGAAAAAAGGAAAAAAGGAATTTGCTATACGTAGAGCCTCTTTCTCTCGTGAATACCGTGCCACCATCTCTTCATAGAAAACAGAAAGAATCTTGCTTCTACGATTTCGTATCCCTTACGTTTAAACTAGACGAGTTTAGAATTCTTAGGGAAACACAGAACGTGAGTTTCAGATAAAAGAAGAGATTTCAACCTTCTTTAGAAAAAGGAAAACGCGATCGACTCGAAGGATGAGAGGGCTTGTTGATTGCGTGTAGTTCAATTTATCCTATTATCCTAGTCCTTAGCGTAGATTTTCAAAAGGAAGTTAGAGGAGGAGACACGGAGAGCAGAGTTTATTTAATTAATAAACTAGAATCATTAATCTTGTAAACTATGCATTGGTCCAGAGGATGGTCCATTTTAAATTAAAGTTTGAAGAAATTTTAACCAGTTATTAAAAAGTAACCGTAATTTAACTGAAATTACTATCTTAATTTTTTTATCGTTGAGAAAGCTTTGAAATGGGTCATCCCAGAAAGCACCATAAAAATTAGCTGTCCATTGTTCGTTGCTTTTGATTTCGATACACGACATCGAATTGAGATATCGAGGCCAGGTTCAAGGTAGCCAACGAAATAGCGAGCGAAATAGCGAAGATCAAGATTCGTAATTGTTTTATTCAAACACGTTGCAGAAACTGAAAGATTGATTGTAAAATGGCGTAAACGTTTCGAAGAGTGAATCCTTTTGTTCATGATCGAATGTAACGAATGAATGAATGCGAGAAAAGGAGAGAATTTAGAAAAAAATGCTTAGAGCTAATATTTGCAGACTAATTAGCCGGAGTACTTCCGGTACTCTAAACGCCTTCGAAATTCGGGGAGCAATACAATCGAGCCACTTTTACAGTCAACGACTCGAATTACTATTATTAATTATTATTATTATTATTATTATTATTAATTATCAGTATCGTCATCATTATTATTATTATTATTATTATTGTAATTCTTGTTATCGCAGACACTGTCATTCTAGCGCGGCACTATCGAAGGTTACGAGGTGAAAATTGATTATATATTATATTATATAGCGCGGACAAAACAGATCGAAATCTATTAAAAGCATTTATTGCAAAGTTCCAATAAAATGTGTTTTACTTTTTATACACGTTCCTCCATTGTAATTTTCCTGAAAGATAAGTTTCCTTTCATTCTCAGTTTCCATTTGAAATTTCACATACACGATTACTCTAATTATCACCTGAATTTATTAAAAATATATTTCATCCCTTTCCTCCAATATCTGTCAATCTACGTCAAAATGATAATTAACTCGTGTCAAATTGAAGTGAAACCGTACGGCGTACGGTAATTTCCATCGAACCAGATATTAATTTACAACGCATCAAATGTCTGTTCATTAATGTCGAAATATCAATTAATTTCCAATGGACTCGGAGCTCTCTCAATTATAACAGATACAAATTTACCAATTTGTTAGAGAACAATGGGGTTAAACTAAACACCGAAATTATTCATATCGAAACGCTGAATATTTATGAACGTGTACACTTTCAGTATCGACTTTCATTCAAAGGTAAGACGGAATTATAATGTCCACTATCCGAAATGTCATTGTCCGTTTTCCTATCGAAGGCCCATTTTTGCCTGTGCTCTCCTTTCCCGCCAAACTTACTTAAGAAATCGTATTTACCGACTCGTGTACCAAGATGGTCGATGCCCAGATCAGAAACTATACGAGGGGAATGGCCAGGAAGAGGAGGGGAAGTCCGTTCTGGACTTGGCCATCTCTGTTCAAAGTGGACCAAAGAAATCGTTTATTGGTATGAAAAGTGGGTTACTAGCACGGTGCTTCGCAAAGTGCATGATTAATTAACCATAAAAAAACGAACGCATTTATAGTTCGGTATGCATACAAAGCGTGATGTATTTTGATGATAAGTTTTATGCATATTAAAATCGATTTCAACATTTTATTTTTTTTTTTTCCAGAAATTTCCATCGGTTCCCCTATAAAACCCGTTCAAGGTTTTGTTTAGCAATAGTCTATCTTGACGATGCAGTTATCTTCCCATAAAAATCGAATCTTACATCACCTCAAATTTTCAGTTTAATATTTTGAACGACGCGTAAAAAGTCTAAGGCATAAATTAAGAAAAATTAAAGGATAATATCCCTAATAATTGCAATTATACTTTTGACATAGCAATTAACGCGGTTAAACACCATCGCAATCGTATCATCGTTCTGTCGCAACATTCCCATTTTATTTTTTTATTTTTTCGAAACTCTTAACGAAATCAACGTTTCTCTGTCTAACAAATTAATCTAGCCTAGCATCATTTCATCGAGATCTATCCTTTATCGTTTTATCTTCCGTTTCCGGTGACCGCGAAGTCGCAGAATCGAACGGCGCGGCGCGGCGTGTTGAAAGAGCACGCTTCTGTGTCGAAACGAAAACGGACACGGATCGCTTGGCCGTTTCACGAGCCACTCAACATTTCTTTTTCTTTTTTTCATTTTTGCCAAGTGCGAACAGTCACGATTGCACCGGCTGATTCACGGATCTCACGATGGTGAACTTGACACACGGACAGTTTCTCAGGCGAGAAAGAGGGAAAGGAGGAAAGCCGACGAATTCGCGGTCGATGATCAACGATTAGTTTTATAGAAAATTCAAAGCAGACGTTTCATTAGCCGATCCGCATGTGAGCTGATTTCACTGAACCTTACACTTGAACAAATGTTACTCGGTGTCAAGGGTCTAATAACGCGATAGAAAGTAACAACTTTTATATTTATAGAACGAGATATAATAAAAATGATGATATCTGAGGATTAAATTTCTTCCTGTAGCAAAGTTCAGCGTGGGATTTTTTCAAATCATTATCAAAACCAGAAACGAACTAATTCCGATGCAACTGGTTTGCATTTTTCCCATGATTCGTCTGGTTCGTTACTTTCTTCCTGCTTTTCCAGGTACTGAAACCGGTCGAGACCCTGCCCGCTGACATAATTAGCAGGCTGACAGAAAAAACGGGCAACTATTATCGGCGCGATTACGAAAATATGCTCGTAAATTAAGGTAGATCGTGCATAACGGTGCTGAATTATCTTCGCCTTCCAGATCTTTGCCGTAATCACGGATAAATGAAAACAGACAATAAAATATTGACTGAACGTAAATCGATGCAATTTTTTTGACCCACTTAAATGAAATAATTAACTTCCGATTAACCAGAAATATGTATGGAAATTTGCGAGGTAGAAGGAAAGATAAATTCACCATCTAGAAGAGATGGGAAAAGGGGGGCACAGGTTATGACATAATTGCTTAAGAAAGTTCAGATCGCGAATGTACGAGAAGTAGTTCACTCGCGTTAGAAGCTGACTACTTCCGCTTATTCTTCTCTTTTCTTTTCAACATGGATCGAATTCCATTTCAATTTCCACTGTGAAAAATATGATTAAAATGAAAAGGTGTTTCGCTAACAGCTATAGGGTGAATCTAGGACGGAGGAAAACTGAACCTCTGACAGGAAGTTCGCTAGCTGGGACCGTCTGGATGAGGACATGTATGATTCACGGACAACGAGCACGCCCTTAACTCTGCAGTAGCTTAAACAACAGAAGAAGCTAAGGTGGAAAAAGTAACAAAGTTCTAGCAAAACGTCAGTTACACCGTCTAACAAAAACTAGTAATCAGTGGATGATGTATTACAGAACAATTTTCTAATTATAATCTAATTACTCTCAGATGAAGAATGAAAGTTCTTGCAGTACATTAAACATAAAATAAAATAAAAAAAAATAAAAAATTTACTAAACAAATATGATGGTTCACCATTTGAATATCCACAATTAATGATCGAAATGATCCCGAGATATGCATCAAAGGAAAATCACGTCCGATCTATGGATGATTCGTAGGTACACGCGATTCCGTCACGGCGCACGCAACGCGTTACAACTTTCCACGCCAGCTGGAAAGCACGCACCGATTCGAACGGCGGTTCTGTTTTCGTAGCAAGTAATAGTGAAGTCGATTCACGGAATAAGAAGGGTCAGTCGAAGCCTACTTTCTTCCTCTGAATCGTCTCGAAGAGGGGAAACCACGTCGACTTAGCGCGTAGACCTTCAACAGAGAAGCTGGCCCCGTCTCCTCGTTGCGTTGGTCAGCCAGTTGTGTGCCAGTCTTACCTACCCAGTGAACGAATCCTCAAGATCAATCCTGTGACAACTTTATTCTTCGACCACGCGTTCTATTGTTCCATACATATATGTATAGTTCTACCGGAAGGTTTTATTCGATTGGTGAAATTTTCTAAAGAGTTTTCATCGATAATCGCTGCTTCTACACCAGAGCTGACCTGATCGATACGAGAAGAGTTTTCGTGTTTGGTGAACCGTGAACCCTTGGACATCTACGCTTCGAACCGAGTAAGTATCTTCTCTTAAAGTTTAGAGGAAATTCGAGAATGTTCACTGGGATCGTGCGAAGAAAGTTATGCTCCATACAACTTGAAGAATTTTTTTCTTTTTGCTTCGAGGATTTTGGTTTAAAATTGGTGGCTGATATTTTTCTACTTGAAAGGAAAATACATATTTTTACTATCCTTCTTTCATTTTATAAGAATTATAGGGACCTAGTTTGATTTTTATATAAAAAATTTATGACTGCTCTTGTTTTTCTGCTCTACTGAAAAGTAACGAAAATGGGCTCGTTATAGATTTCGTGTTGATTTAATTTCATTTGTAGGATTTTCTTCTAATCCAATATCCTCCTTCTTTTAAAACACCCTCTGCATACCTCTTTAACAGTAAAAGGGTTAAATATATAAAGAAAGAGCATGAATCGTGGTCATTTATTTGAAATGACTCTGAGCGAGTTACATGTCGGAAGAAAAATGGCGAAGATGAAACAACACGAGAAGTTTGGCGAACGAATTGATGGCCCGAGGCTCTCTTGCTCGATAATATTACGCTTTATATCGATAAATAACACGAGGCTACCGGAAACTCTGTTCTCTCTGGCTTCGTATGGTCATCTAGGTTGTGCCGAGCCAACGTTACACATTTCTCTCTGTCCTGTCGCGTGTTACTCGCTCCACGGAAATGTTTACCACGTTGAAATATCAAGCTTTATTTGCTCGCTTATAATGTCAGAATTAAACGATAATTGGCTGGATTTTTTGCGCTGGAAATTTTATGATACACGATATTTATGATATTTTATTCGCGAGTTTGCCTTCATTTTTTACCATTTAATGAGCGGACTAAATGTAACTATTAATTGAGGATAATTCATCATTTGCTAACACGTATGTACGTCGCGATACCTTTGATTAAGTCGAAAATTGGGATTACGCAAATGGAGCCAGTCTCTCGTGATTATTATTGTGATTAACAAATCGTTTCGCTTATTACGCCTATATTTCCCTGACAAATCTCCCGCAATTACGTCCGTGTGATTGTGAACGAGCAAACGACGATTCCGTGGAACGATAACAGAAAGAATGAAATTAACCGTGAGAAAGACATTGTAAATGCAATTAATTAGTGTAATTTAACTTTCACTTGTAGAAAAATAGCTGAGATTCTTTTCTGCGAACTAGCATGCGTTATCAACGATCCAAATAAAATTTTTTCATTTAATTGATTCTTCTCTTGGTAAATTTCTAAATTGGAAGGATCGATACCTACGATCTGGTGGGATTCGTTCATTTTTTGTAAAGAGCATACAGAATTTCAAGTAGGAAAGAGAAAAAGACTACCGCCAAGGGGATTAAAAGATGAAATTCGTCGTTCGCAAATAAATTGGTAGCTTTTCAATTGGCACGAATAGATCGGAAGCGCGTGTTGTTATTATTAACGTATCGGTGAAGACCGTTTGCAGGAGAAGAACGTTTGGAATCGATGCTTTCATCCTCGGAACGAGTTTGCGCTTTACTGGACCGTTTCCGGTTGTTTATGGTATTACTCTTGTACCACGCTTGACGGTGAACCGATGTCTTTACGAGCAATGGCGATGAAAATTCGACCGCAAGAATTCCACATAGAACCCGAAACTAGCTATTCAATTTTATAGTTATCGAATCGCGATAAAGTCTAATGGAAAAGTTTATCATCTACATTAAAATTAAATTATGATCTATTACTAGCGCGATCGTCCAGAATTTAAAAAAAATTTTACGTTTATCAAAAAGGGGGAAAAATTCGTATGTGCGTCGACCTAATTGCTGACGAGCTTCTAGGTGAAATTCAATTGTACCCTAGGTTTTTCGATGAATACCTACTCCATCGATACCCTTCACGTTCTACTCTAATTAAGCAATTAAAATCGACAGGAATCGGTGTCGAGTCACTTGTTTATAGCAGGGATCGAGCGATTTTTCATGGAAGCACTTGCTGCTTCTCTTTAACTCTTTCCCTTATCGACTTTCCGTCTATCAGACAGTTATTTCTAACAGATTAAGTGTTTACAAGTTTTTACAAGCTTTGCGAGCAAAATTATTCACGCAAAAAAAAAAACATTTCGAAATTTCCTCTTGCTGAATAAAAGCAGCGGTCCCATTTCATCCGTTATAATAACCAGCATATCACCGTCAGAACTCGGAAAATAGCGAATTCGCTAAAAATCCCACGAGAGTTTCATTCATTCCGCTCAGACACGCGACGAAAAAATTCTACTCCTCGAAACAATCAAAAACTCGCGGACCCGTTCGCGTAAAAGCAAGACGTCGAAACTCGCCGCATGCTCGTTAACACGCTCACACGTGTGCACGAGTTTTATATATTTTTTCTTTTTCTTTCTTCGCTCTTTCTCTCTCTCTTTCTTTTAAACCTCGTGAAAATTCAGAGCCGCGAGCCGACACGCCGTGCTTAGAAACTGCAACCGCGAAAGCAGAGGTGGGGCCGAGAAATTGCTTCTGCTCCTTAAAGCGGGGAAAGTTTTTTTTTTATTCTTCTTCTCTGTCGAACACGTTTGCGACTCGTGTATCCTGTGACGTGATCAACGGATCAAAAACGAGCAGTCTACCAGCACTTCCGGTATGATAACTTTGTTCATTAACCCCCGGAGAGCTGATGGCTTAACAGTTTCGCAGGGGCTCTTACACCGGGTCAGTGTAGGATCATTTGTATCTGTTTGTCGCGAGGAACGTGTCTTTACTTACATCCGCCTGACGATGGAAAATTTGTAGAAGAAAAAGCATAGCTTCCTTTACAAGCGCTATGTATGCAAAATTATATAGGTGGTTTGTTCCTTTTGTGTAATTCAAGCGTTTACGTGGAATGTTTCAGATGATATGATAGACGTTGATTGATCTCTACCACCTTTCCTTTTTTTTTCAATGGGAAAAGAAATTTGTCATCTATAAGGAAGTTCGTGTACAGAAATTGCTGTTATAGTTTCACAGTAATTGGCACTTCATAGAGATACTTTACTTTTTCATTGAAACACGCATAACGCATGAAAATATGATGGGTGTTTCAATTGAAGAGCGTTGATGGGTGTTAATATGCATAGCTTAATGTGCCAGACATCGTTCGGTCTATCGCTTTACGGATCGTGCATTGAATGAAAAACAATACTCGTCGAGAACGAAGGGAAAGTTATGACGAATTTAAGTTGTTGCCTATATAGAAACTTGTTACGAACTGATTAGTCTTTCCGTGCGCAAGTTTCTTAGCGTCTCGTTCGTCTGTGTCTGTTTTTTCGTTTTTGTCTTTTTTCGAGCGATTTCATTTGCCTTCAGTGGAACAGTTAACGATTTGTCTTATTGTCTGATAGGAGAATGAAACAAGATAGGTCTGTCTGGAAGTTTCATCTATTGTATCAGTATAGCAAACGAAATGTCATTTTAGTAGGAGTTTCTGAAGGCTCTGTTTGCTATTATCGTCGTTTACAATGTCGGGCTGATTGTACGTGAAAACTCTGGATAATTTGTTTCGTTAAATATTCGTCTGTGATAAGCCCAAATTGATTTATGTTGATGGACGGATATAAAATTTGCACCTTGCACCAACACGTAATTCCTATGGGTCATGCTTTCACTTTCCCATAACCGGCTAGTACCCATTTATATTATTTTACCGGGTCATCCATTTTATATTGACTATTAAGGTGAAAGTATCTAAATTCCTCGGAAAAACCTTGGAAATTTTATCTCGCAAACTATTCATGCGATCCCCTTTTCCATTTCAAAATGACCTGTAACTCGTTAAGTAACATCGTTGCCCTGATTTTCTGTTAATTATTGTTTCCTCGGCGAAGCTAACGAATTCCTTTTACGCGTGTCTCAGTTAATCATGAAAAAGGAGTTATCTCGACCGAAGCATCGAACGATCCTCGTCATTGTTGCAAAATAAGGCCTAGAACCAGTCGACTAATCCGCGCGTAAGGTCTTGAGAAAACGACGCTTTTCAACGTGATTGCATCACACCACGAGTATGCTATTAGTTAACCAGGTTCGTGTTTTGAAAAAAGAGCGTGTGTGCTCGCGAGTGAACAGAAACACCAGAACCAGAACCTTTCCCAAGGAAGTTGGAAGGATATTTGCGTTAGAATTTCTGCCAACTGGTTCTATGCGGTTGAACGAACTCGTATACGCGCGTGTTAATTAATCTTCTCTAGTCTTCTTTTCAATAAGCAGGTTTTATCGATCGTGCGTTTGCATATTCCGAATCGTAGGTTGTGCAACGTGGATCGATTTTGACAAGCAGCTCCACGAGGCAATGCATGTACTGTTAGGTAACTATCCCGTAAAGTTCTGTAGTTAGTAATTGACAATTAATGCGTAGACGTGGATACATGTACGCGGCGCGGTGGTTGCAAGTGGAAAGCGAAAGGCCGAGGGAAACAGAGCATAACCGTATCGTGAGATCGTGAACGCGATTCGTTGAAAACCGGGCCCTGAATGTTATCGTGCATTGGCCCGTGATACAGCCTTTTTTTCCGAACCCCCTTTCCAAAGAAACCCGGAAATATTTTCCTCCCTCCATATTTCCGCGATAGCAACTACTCGAGACACCTTGCCATTTTATAGTTTAAACATTTCTTGATAAAACACGTGTTCCTTCTCACGAGACGCTATGTTATACACGACAGAAGAAGAAGAAGAAGAAGAAGAAGAAGCAGTATAATCTTCTATCGTGAACAAATGACTGAAATAAATCGAAAATGTCAAGCCGAATCAGAATATAAAGTAAGCCTGAAAAATATTCACAATCTGCATTACAAATGCAATTCACGCGGTTATCCTTAACAAATCGGCTCTTTTGCTCGTTTTGCCTTAGCCAGTTAAGAAACTTCGGTTTCACGCTCATTCAAGCCTCCGACAAGGAGAATGTCGCGAGCTGGAAAAATTGCTACAGTTTAACCCCGAGTTTCTGCTCTTTAAACATCACGGCTTTGCAATTTCGTTTCGCAAAACTAGGCGAAAAATAAATAATTTCGTTTATTCGAAATTATGTAAAATTTTTTTTTATATTCCGAGATCTGCAATTTCGATGTAGAAGCGGAAAAACATTTGAAGAGTTAATTACTACGTGAGCACACCGTGCAAAAACTTAACGAAGATAATTGGAAAAATCCTACCTGTCGTTGAGTTCGTATCTACCGTTGCGTTGAAGAAATCTCCGATTCATCAAGATATCCAAGACACGCACTCCTGCTGCTTATTCGATTTCCTGTTGTACGCCCACGTTTCTACCCCTAATTCGATTTTATAGCTCTGCAGTGGTTGCACGTTGCACCTTGAAATCGTCTGCTTGGTCAGATTATCTGTGTTTAATCGTATACTAACCCAAACCTCGTGTAATTATCCAATTTTTTACAATTAACCCTTTCACTTTATTTAAAAAAAAAAAAAAAAAAATGGAATCATTTCGAAAATAAATTATTAATGTAATTTCGCAGTATTTCTCGTTGTTGCAAGAATAATACAGCAATTCAAATGTTACCCCGTGCTAAAACTAAAACGAACACGCGAGTTGGCCATTATTGTGGTAAAAGTTTCAGTGAGAGGTGCTTGAGATTTTTTCAAAAGTAGTCGTCCTTCGTTACATTTACACGTGAACTCGTTACACGTTCCCAACTGCTCAGCAATTTCTTTTTCTTTCCTATGTATTTCCCCACGTGTTTTGTTTCATCCCGTTACTTATTATGTATGTACCAGAATTTTTAGCAAACTAATAGGATAACTTTTTTCATCGATTTTGGCCTTCGCTAACGATAAATCGATAAACTTGTTATTTTCCTGTCGATTGCCAGATGTTGCAGCGGAAATATCGCGCAATATGCTCGGAAAATTCAATTTCGCCCTCTCAAACGTACTATTTACTGATCTCTTATTAACACACCGAATGTCAGTGGGTTTACAAATTTAATACAATTAAATAATTAAAAGAGACAGAAAATTCTAAGTACCATTAATATTATAAAATTACATGAATATTTATAATCAATGAAATTCAACCAAAATAAATGACACAAGTTGAAACGCATGAAAATTCAGAAGATCGAGTAAAACGATTTCCAGTACTCTGGATTCGATCGTTCGTCATTCAAATTGCGCGCGAAATTGTACAACCGCACCGGAAACCATTGGAAAATTTAGCCGGAGGCTGCGTCACCCCTCCAGGGATAGGCTAATGCTTGTAATTAATTCAACTGGAATCTGCGTGAAATTTAAATGCACCTGCACTATTGATTTTTCGATTCGCCGGCAATTTTGACCGCTCAGGTGGCACCACCTTTGCGTACCTAAACTGTGCACATGCGTATCAATCTTGGTACCAATTCGTGTTCCAAATATTTCCTACCCTAACTCTACTAACTTGGAATTTTAATAAACCTTCTAATTTCTAATCTCCCATTAAATCTCAGAATGCCCTAGTTTAAATTTTTCACAAAAAATCTATTCATCAATCGTATTGTAGAGTTTACCATATGAAATTAGGGTGCAAGTTGAAAATGGTTTCTCGAGATGGAATGAATTACTTTAGGAAGGAAGTTGGAATGTGACCGCGCTCTTCGATATGAAGTGGATCGAAGCAATAGGGGACAGTGACGAAATGTGGAGCACAAGTAACCGTGCTGTCATCGGAAAGTTTGAAAGTAGTGCCATTTCTAAAGAGATGCTACGCACGGTGACTGTACACTCAAATAAATAATAGAAAGCACAATGTACTCTCTATTAAATAATAATATCCTAAAAGGACAACTTCCAACCAGCAATATAAATTCATTATCCGTTTAAACACTGTTACCGTTTTAATTTTCATTCGCCTGATCGTGAGTATCGCGTTTTTAATGGCACAAAGTTACACAGCACTTTGTAAACGACTATTAACGAAATTGCTACTCATAATCGATCAAATAAAAATTTTACAAATCATTAGCAACAGCTAATAATTACACGAAGATCGTTAAAAAACTCAATACCTTCGTAAAACTTATAACTACCGGATCGAACTGGTCGAACCAATTCGTTTTATGTAACAAGTTGATCGTTAACCACCTTTTGGTCTTCCTATCAATTCGTTCGGGAATGAAAAATCGTATAGTTGGGTGGTTTAATGGAATGCATAAAAATAACGCGTACCCAAGTGTACTCTCTAAAAATATACTACGTCGATTCGAAGCCAGTTCTACATTTCTCACCTGTTCCCCCCCAACTGCGAAAGGTGTACTTACGTGACAATCCGAGGCTAGAAAATTAATGAGAGAAAGTAGATTTTTTCGATGACGATAATTTATTCCTCGTACTCACGCCCTTGGTAATACCGTAGGAGAATTAATGATGCATTTATGGAGATAGTAACGGGGTAATTAGGGTCGTTTTACTCGGTAATCGCGACGAAATCACGGCTCATTGTCGCTTCGTTCAAAATAAAAACTGACAAAGATTACTTTTCCTTACATTTTCAACTTACTACTTTCTTCAGCAGATTCATCACTGTTCTACTTCTACCATCAGTTGGGCCATCAGTGACCCACGGTGTTCATCGCAAGAACAATTTTAATTAAATGAGAAACTGCATTTTTTGGTGCAAGTTTGCTCAACTATTCGCTTTCATAAACTTCTCCACTTTATACTTGGTACATAGGATGATTCATAGCAATCTTTCTGGATCTACCGATCGTTCAGTTTGTATCAAATGAAAAATTGAAAACATCGGGGTGGAAATTTCAGAAAATTACCGGTACTCGTAAAAAAGAGAAATTCTTCCGTCTTTCCGCGAGTTTCACTGTTGCTATGATTCAGAGAAATGACAAAATAGTACCGGAAATGAGGTGAACAGCAACGATAGACAACGCTTTCCATGCTTCCTTTCTCTGTTACATTTTTCCCGTACTATCTAGACAATTGAGGGTTGGCTCACTGAAATATGCTAATCTCAGCTCTAAATTCTCGTAATCAGCTAATTTGCTACCTGACGAACGCCATCCGGAATGCATTCTCTTTTAGAGATGAAAATTTCTTTTTGCATATTAGCAATAAGATACCTTATGACGTAAATCTCACAAGAGAAAAATATATAAAAATTGTAGGAATTCCAATAATCTGTTTCAAAGTATTTTCCAATAGAATTGGAAATCTATACGCTATTTTTAACAAATTTTTTGGCCAAAGGAAATTAATATTAAAACGTAAACCGATACATTTCGTTACAGAACGCGAACGTAAATGATCCCATGGTCTGTCACGATGCGGTCGGCACTAATCATGAATTGTAAGTATACTTTCTAACGATGCTACTGGAATCTCTAATTGATCAACGAAAGCGATTAACGTTTTCTATTACACTGGAATCTCAGGTGTCCTTGCGATGGGGTTGTTCACCTGTATCGATGCGATCACCGTATCGATTGACCGATCTGATAATAAACCGGTAAGTAAAACGAAAAGCCCTTTTTAAGTTGATGCAACCAAAAGGAGCTTCTCTTTTTCGCATGAAAGTCGAGCAAGGAAAACATTGTCCCTGTTGAAGCTTTAAAACTATTTTAAGCTAATGCACAAGATACACAACAGTTGATTGATGTATACATTAAACATCTCTTTCTTCTCTGGCTCTCGAGATGACGTAAATTTTTAGCCAATATTTGTTCAACTTCTTCGATCGATAAAGATTAGCAGGATTAAGATTTTCATATCGCTCAAAGTGAAATTAAATTAACGTTTTCCAAGTATCATTAATAGTAATTTTCTTTTAAATTCTTTAATTTTCATCTGTTCCACGTAACTGGAGCTACCGAAAGCTTTAACAGGATCACGTTTCTACAGCTAAGCATCAGATTTCCGAATGTAGGTCAGCGATTTAGTTTAAACTTTGCTCAGTTAACGTACATTATGTTAATAACGCGATAAAAGTTTGTAAGAAGATTTGTAATGTGATTTTTATTTTATTTTATTTTATTTTATTATCCGTATCAATGGTGATAAGTTATGAAACACAAAACTAGTTAAAATGATGTTTGAAAGGAAAAAAGAGATTTGCTATCGATAGATTTTAATTTCCTGGAAGGTAACGTCACATTCTCGTTAACGCAATATCAGACAACCTAAATCTACCTCTTATAGCGTAAGAATTCATAAAACGAGGCCTCGTTTCAGTATCCCTTTCGAGAAAGTTGGATCCCCACGATTCACAGAACGAACATAAACATCTCAATGAGTCACGGAACTCGAATCGATTGTAACTTCCGTTCTGTCGATGACAGAAGAAAAACATCGAAAGATAAAACAGGATCTGTTTCCCAAAGGACTCGTTTTTTCATTCTATTTTCTCGTTTCCGTCGCTTTGTGTTTTCATCCTGTTTTCTCCCATAGAATTGTTTTCTTCCGTGTTACGTTTCGAAACACTAGATACCTTTTCATAGAAATGAAAACTTGCCGAACACGCAAGTGTTTAAGCTGCTGCCTATTGATTCAGCGAACGGTACCCTTCAACCCTATTTACAGCCACCGACGCGATCATCGATGATCGCAAACGGATGGCGGCCACTGACCAACGGCTACGAAGAAACAATTGGCACAAACGTATCGCCATCGAGCGGTCTCGAGAGGAATGGACCGTTACACCCGGTTCTAGGTAAACTGCAGGAACACATGGCCACGTCGGAGAAGCTGAAACCGCAACGAAAGGGTAAACCGTCCTCCCATCACGACTACAATCCCCCAAGCATACTAGGAAGCTTCACGATGCTTCACGGTCATTCGGCCTTGAAAGCACGCGGCGAGCTACCGAACCACAATCATGCGAATAAACACGTCGCCTCGGAGACCCGAGACTACACCTTCCTGATCCCACCTCCGAAAGACGCCTACCGTTTCGAAATGGACCACCATAGGAAGCCGATTTTACGGGATAACTCCGGATACCTTCGTCAGCCACAATTCGGACCCCCAACCGGTCATCAACCACCCGACCCGATAAAGGCGGCCACATATTTCATCAAAAGTTACACCTCCACCACCAACATGCCCTCCTCGCCAGTGTCATCCCCGAAGAACAGACATTACGCGGATCCGTACGTTCCTCAGCTGCTCCAGCCTCCAAGGTACCAGGTGAAGCCATTCGAATCGCTGAAAGTGTCCAACAGCGCTAAGCCCTATTTCCAACCCCCTGGTACCGCGCTGGCTCCAGACTTTGGAAAGGATAAACGGCTTAGCGACTACGAGCACCGAGCCAACTACGATAAATTCCAACCGCCCTCCCATAATGATCACCTGATCAATCCTGCGAGCAGCGGAAACTTTTTCAGCCAAGTGAACCACCCTCCTCACTCCTACAAAACTTCCTACGAGAGGGACCCAGCCTTCCTGGTGCACGAGAGCCACGAAATCAGCTACATCACACCTCCTTCCATCTATAATGGATTCAATTTTAGACCCTCTTTGCCGTACGAGACCCTACTGCCGCCAGACGTCTACAGTTCCTCGACTCCATCGCCCACCACCCCAAGGGAGTCAAACAAATATCAGCAATCGGCTGATCTCGGTCAAGGACACGATTATAAACGACCTGGACATAACACCGCGACTAAACAGGTCGATGATAATGGAGGACACGGTGAGATTTTGCCCACCGCAGGGATTGGGAACACCTATTACGTGTCGGAACAACAGGATCTAACCCCGCCACCTCCATCTTGGCCCGCGCCAAAGAATAAATACACCTCAGACATCAACGAGGTTCTACCAAGAGTCAATCCTCCTTCGAAATTCAATCAGGAACCCATCGGATCCAATCAGATCCCTCAAGTTCCTAAAGTAGTGTACATCAAACCTCAGGCCCAAGCTCCTCAGTATTCAGGCTCTGTCCTACCGATTGATATTCGGCCAGAGAACAGCGAACCGGAGTACGAGACACCAGAGAGTATATCTCTGAAACACTTCAACGAGCAACAGTATCTTCTTCAGCAACAACTGTTGCAAAGAGATAGACAGAGGCTGGCTGAACAGGAGAGGCAACAACAGTTGGAGATTGAGAAACAGCAACAGGAGGAATTGAAGAAGAGGCAGGAAGAGCTGAGGCAGCTGTTGGAAGAACAAAAGGAAGAGGACGAGGCTAGATTGGCTGTCGAATCGGCGAAGAATCAATCGCAGCAACTGGCTAAAGTGACGGAGGAACAGGGTCCTTATTCGATCCAGCTGACGGAATACGAAATCCCGAAGGTAACCACCATTCCAACCGCGGTGATTACCGAGCAGACCGGTCTTGGAAAACTGCCAAAGGTTCAACAGTCTCAGGTAGGTCTTTCCAGGGAGGCTTTTTGCCAAGTGTTTGACCACCGTGGAAGTTCGGTAATAAATGGGGGATAGGTTACGGTCCGGGTGGTTATACTTCAGGGACAGTTTTCGAATAATAAATATGATGAGCGGTGTGGGCGTTACGAGGAGTTTTCATTTAATTTAAGAGAAAATTAGGTACCTTTTAGGCATATAAAAATCAATATTTGTCATTAATTACCAAGTTCACAACAAAGTTTCGAAATCCTTCCACAGGTAACTCAACCCAGCTACACCATCTCGGAGAGTCCTGCGGTGCCGAGTCAGCAGTATCAAGATCAATTAAGAAATCAACCAGAACAAGTCAATTATCGAGAGCCTCAAATTGATTTACGACCTCACAGGCCGCTGAAACCGTCACGCGATCAATATAGGCGAAGAAAGCCAAGCACCTCGGCATACGAGCCTGTACCAACAGAAGCTCCCGCCCAGCTTCCGGAAACCTCGCTGCCTATAACGTTGCACGCCGAAGAAGTACCCATTCAGACTACTGGCACCTTTGAAATCACCACCCTGCCGTCGGTAGTGACACAGAAGCCGAGAACCCGGAGACCGGGTGCGCCTCTGCGTCGAAGACGACCAACCACCACCACCACCACCACCACCCCAGAGCCAGTCACCGCAGCAGAAGACTATCTCAAGTACGACAGACCCGAAGAGGTGAAACACCATCTGGACCCATCTCGGAGAAGACGAATCAAGCCTACCCAGGCCACCTACGACGAGTCGGTGACCGAGAAGAAGGCTAACATAAGAAAGAGACCTGGGCACAGGAACAGGGTGAATCCAGGAGAGCCCTTCGAGGCTGAGATCGTCACAGAGATCGTTCATACACCGGTGAACACCTACAAAAGCGAAACTGAATCTCTCCAGAGCTACACCGACTACAATCAGTTCGTAACGAACCAGCCTAATGGTCAGCAATTTGATTACACCTCGCAAAAGTTTCTCCAGGTTGATGAGCAAGCAGAAGACACCACCCAGCCCATACCAGTAGAGTACTACACGGAATCTACCAGGACGAACGTGGAAGACGTTCTAAACAACGAGAATTATAATGAAAATAGCGGTCCGGTGACCAACATCCCCCTTGAAAACTTATTTGTTAGAACAGAAGGCAATTACTATGATAGAGCGACGGCGGTGTCATCCACCAGCGCCGGTGTCAGTTCCATCTCCAGCGTGACTACAACACCATCCACTACCACATCCACCGAACAATCCACGACCGAGGCGCCTCAGATAAGCACCTCCACCATCCGATCGCACAAGATCAGACCAATGAGATACGGAAACACAACCAGGCCGCGGTTCAGCATTAAAGACTACAAGAGTCGGTTGGACTACAAGAGCAGATTATCCCAAACGTCCAGCACAGAAGCGTCATCCACGCCTGCGCCGCACACTAAGCAGAGAGGAACCAGTATTAAATACCAGCAACAAAATGGCGACACGAATAGAGAAACTCCTGGAAGATACAAATACATGTCCAGGATGAACTACAGGTCAACTTCTCCTACACCATTGATATCCAAAGATCAAGAAACAGCAGTGGAAGAAGGTACCTCGTCCACTACAGAGAGGAGCAATCGTTTCGTGCCCAAAAGAAGACCAGTTAACGCGAACGTGTACAGGAGTAGGATATCCGGTACGACTAGTAATCCTAACAAGAACCAACATCAGTACGATAGTGAAAATCAGAAACCGAGCACAGCTCGGCCAGAGAACGTGTTCTCCTCGTCGGTCAGACGGCGACCCACGATGAAAAGCAGGTTACCCGCCCAAAAGGAGAGCTCGACCGTGGCGTACCACGCGAGAAAGGAAGCCGAAGCCACGGAAATGGCCGCGGAAGAGACCAGTTTCTATTCCGCCGTCACTACAATGGCCAGCACCCGAGTGGCCGCTAACGAGATCCCCGTTGAAAACGAGCAAACTGGCTCCACCGACGTTCCAGCCGTTGACGAAGACAAAAATGGGGACGAAAGTGAAATCAAGCCGAGTTTTCATGCTGAAAATGAACATCCACCTGGCGAACCGGTTGCCAGCAGCACGGCCAAAACCGTGCATGAGAATCGGTTAAAGGAAACCGCGGTCACCGACCAATATTCCTCGACGAAAACGGAAGTGACTACCGTGTCGAACGAAAATAAAGAAACTGCAAGCACGCTCGACGAAGAGGAATTGTTTGCCAAAGCGTCTCAAAGCGTAGCGGATCTGACCAGCTCCGCTTCGGCTTTGTATGATAAACCTGGCATGTTCAAAGCAGTCTCTCCTGAGAGCAGAGTCGTGGCCAACCATTTCAAGATACCCACTGACGAGCCCACTTTACCTATCGAAGCTTTCTTCCAGGAATTATCAAAGAAAAGCTAAGTTTCATGGTGTAAACGAATGGTTTGACGGTGATTCGTGTTTTTGGCTTACCTGCATGTCTGAAGCAGAATCGACTCTTCAGAAAAAACATGGGATGTTCGAAAAGGGAAATTAAAAGACAATTGAATTTTTGTATCTTCTTTTTTTTCTTTCGAAATACCTAATTGATTTTGGGGATGTGGATAATTTTTTTTTTGATAATTTAAGGAAAGACGAAGGGAATAGGTACCAAAAAATCTTGGAAGAAGCAGGTCGTTTGAGTAACGATTAAAAGAAAAGTAGGATAATTTTTCAAAGAAAATGAAATAATACGTGCAATAATTGCTCTATCCTGTGATGATGTTTCACCGTAAAATTTGAACAGCTTTACAGGGAATTTAAGATACCAAATGCATACATTCGAATTAGGATATTAACGATCCAAATTATCTTCATGCTATCCTAGTTGTACCTAAATGAACTAATTAATTTATTTGAAACGCGCCACGTACACTGAATCGTTCGATCGTATACCAAGGCATCCATTATTTTTCTAACAATTGGTGCTATGAAATGGGGAAAAAAAAATAATGGATGCTACGAGATATCTTTGTAAATATAAGTACTACTTTAGAGCGTTTATCTTATTCGATTTCAAGCAGATAAATACTCGTGATTAATATAAGAAATATTTTTAAGAATGAATAGAGATCATTGAACCTTTTCTATCGATGTCAAGTGTTTTCTACGATTCTCAGAAACCCTTTTCTAAAATTAAATAAAAATTGATTTAACTAAATCGAGAATCGTAGAAAATATATTTATGTATGTTGATGTATCCGTACGTGTAAGTAGTAAAATATCGAATAAGCTCGGTGCATCGTGTTATTTATATTGATTAAGCAAATTCATGTACACTGTAAATATATATATACATAATATATATATACAATAAATAGTATACATAAAATATGTTGTTATTTACATCGTCATAGCGATTAATCCAGCGAACGGGATATCCAGTATGTATGAAAAGGTAATAGGTCAAGTCGTGTCGAAAAAACACGGTGTCAAACATTCACAATTTAATTCACAATCCATTTAATTACGTCACGATGAATGGTTACATGTGTAGTAGTCATTCACGAGTAAAATACTAGTTTGAAAAGTATAATTCACCCCTTCTACTTTCATTGAAAACACACTAACAATAATTTTAATCGTTAACTCTTTCGCTATGATATAATTTAACCCAGCACGACAAAACGTTAGAAAAAGTAATAAACTTTTTGCTTTTGGGTCATGGTTGACCCATTAATTTCAGGAGGTTTTTTGTGCCAACACCTTACACAGGGTGTAGAAGCACTTCAAACCAAGTTTGCATCCTATATACCACTCTGAAGAGACTCGAGCTTCTTATACTTCCATATATCTTTCAAACCCACATTGTTTTTACAATCACGCTATGTTTCTTCCTCCAATTATGCTTCAAATTTTTTGCCTATTTTTCTATGGAATCGTTTGAATTAATAGCGAAAGAGTTAACACGCTAAACAAGACAAAATAGTACTTTACCCGAAATAGGGCTACCCGAGTCTCCTCTAAAGATCGACAATGAGTTCTTTCGTTTCACGGTTACAATGTGTGTATATATACACATATAGGTGTATAGGCCTACAGAGATTAATTCGATTGTACCTAATTTAGAATTACGCACAGGCCGTACATTGTTAACCCTCTATAAACCCACATCAAATTTATAACATTTGTGAAAATAAAAATAAAAAAAAAAAGAATAAATAAAAGCTATAAGTACCTTCTTCTTTGATGCCTTGTATGCTAATGTTAATATTTCTACATAGAAATTATATAAAAAAATATTGAACTTCATAACTATAGGTTACAGAGGGTTAATTAATTATTCACGTTGAAATATGTACGTCGTGTAAAACTCCTCTCCCATTTTGTAATTGACAATTAGTTTAACGCGCTTTTCTTTTTGTTTCGTTTATTTCTTTTCTTTTTTTTCTTTTTTTTCTTTTTTTTTTATTCAGTCATTCGAGGTACCGTTGTATATAATATATACGTATATATACATAACAATATTAAACTATCCAGACGAGAATAGGCACACTCATACCAAAAGTATTTACAATGCTAACCACAAAGTGGTAGAGCATGAAGTGGACGTTGCACAGCTACAGACGTTTCTGTACGCACACGAAAACGCAATTTTCTACAGATAGAAATTCATCGAAATCACTAGGATAATGATAAATGAAACCTGAGACACATCGATTCGCTTCGAGATGATCGCGAATTTATACTTTGGTCTACGAACGAATGTTGGTCCTTACAGGAAACTACGCAGGGGTAGTTTAGAAACTATAGGAACAACATAACGATAAGCTCCTTTCGTCTAGTTAATTTCCTATCATTAGACTGCGGATCTTTATACAATTAGAAATCAGAGACCTATTTTTTGCATAATCATCCCCAATCTTCAGTACCCCAATTGTAATTGGTATGTACTCCTAAAATTACACGATAAAATAAAATCGAAATCACACGAAAATATACAGGGGAGAAGATTTAGCACTATTAACAATCAGAAGACAATCATTAGTTAAAAAGATGTTAGAAAAAGGAAATTGCGGTACGACACGTGTGTTTGTATACGTATATGTATAAATTGTTCTCAGCATATTTATACACAGAATTTCTCGCTATAAATCGCTTATTTTATTTTAAACAGCACGACGTAACTAAAGCTGATGTTTTAAAGTACCCATAGTAAATACTATGCTTAACTATGCTTCAATCTTTCGGCTCGACCCTTTCAATTTCTTATTTAGAATTATTCTGGACATCGTTGTGGATACGAGCAATTATTTCTTCTTACCCTATTCGAAAGTAATCGTCAGAAAGCCAATTTGCAACTTAACGTATTGTCAATAGATGGATATTGAAATAATTGACAATATTTATATATCAATGGCCTGAGAACTCCATAACACATTTGGAATATTTAAAATATACAAGATGATTGTCTAAATATTCATTCGAGGCAAACTTTACTCATTAATTTTAATGATCGGAGGACTCCTTAACGAAAAATGAAATTACACTTTCGATTGACTCGAAAGAGAAAAAAAAAAAATCATTTGTATGAACGTGTTTTCACGTATACTAATTACGCGCCTACTGATTCGCGTATTGTAAAAGATCTATAAAGCCGAAAGATTAACACGCGATGTACTTCTAACACTTTCAAGCGGGTCATTCCTATTCTACGACCCTTTTTAGAATTTCCATGTGTGGCTTCGGCGTTGGTCCGCTTTTAGTACGTTATTATCACTTTGTTTTTCATTTTTTTAATATTTCTTTTTTTCTCCTATTATTTGCCTTGCAATCGTTTGCTTTTTAATGACACGTCGATCCACGTCGATCGTACCGGATGCACGGTCGAGGAGATCGAAGCTTAAAATCGATGATCTTCACGTCGAAATCGCGAGGCACGTACAATAAACGTCAACGTCGGAAATTACTGACGACGATTCGACGGCTAATTTCGTTGATTTCACTCGTTAGCCTCGATTTTCCCGGGATGATCGTTGTTAATGCCAGAAATGTGTGAAACGTTAGGTTGGTGCGAAAGGATCGTCGTATATTATCTTATTTTTCTTATCGAAGAGGAGATCTCGTATATTCGCGAAATAATGAATAAAAAAATTAATCACGTTGATATAATTGATTGATTCTATAGATAAGTTTCATTCAATTCCTTTGTTATACAATTCGATCGCTACGCTATATTTGTCAAAAAGACCTACCAAGCAGTGATTTTACCATATCTTTAACACATTGAGCTTATTATTGTGATAATATTTAGTCTGTTTTATTACCTAGAATTTATAGTACTTATTCTTAGACGATTTTTCCTTCCAAGTCGAAAATTAATCGAGGATCGTTTAAATTAAAAAGATATTAAGCTCGCTATAAATGTCACTTGTAATCCATAGACAAGTTAACATCAGCAGTCTTATTTCAAACACTTTTTCCTACAAATACGACAACACTTTTGCACCGACCCCATTACTTATACTCCTCTCTGTATCCTTCCATTATCGAAGACTCAAGAATCAATTACCCTAATTCTATGTCGAAAGCAAATATGCTTGAGGAATCACAAAACCATTAGATTATAGTTTAAGAAAATTTTCCTAAAAGAATTATCAATTGCCAATAAATGATTTTCGTTACCATGGCATGGGTAACTCCCGCGACAGTGGAAACGTTAATGATTAAGAGTAATTTCTATCACGAAGAAGACTCATTTTAACTCGAGTAACTCGAATCAAATGTAACAAGGCAAAAGGTTAAAGCGAGCTTCTAATACGCGGTCAAAAAGGTTCCCTATAGCGAGGAGAAGTCGCGTGTTGCGGTTTACCGCTGAAAGCACTATGAACTCAAGTTCTTTGGCTTCAATTTACTGCATCTCTCTCTGGATTTCTGGATCTTGTGTAAAAGCTGCGAGGACATTTCACGTATAGGGTGCCCCACCTGACACTTTCTATGAAACATACCTACAATTTTCAAAAGCCACACAGAATCTATTTATCTTTAGATATCTATTTACATAAAACTCATTTTCAATGGTACCATACAATTTTCCTTTCATAAATTCTTGTTAACGACCGGATCTTTTCATGATTTAAGACAATGACCAAAAATGACTCGATATTGGTTGGACCAGGATTAAAAAGAAAAGGAAGATAATTTAAAACATTAGAAAAATATGGTTTCAAATTTGTTGGGACACCCTCTACATAGTATTTATTAATTTCTGAACATCTTATGGTAATGCAATGAAAAGAAATTCAATTACTTGAAAATTTCTAAAATTTGGAAAAAATCTACGGTATCTTATAGTAAAGTTATCCCTTTACAAAAAAATCAAATATGCGATCAATGTCTGGCAGAGTTTTCATATAAAAATTCACCAAGATATTGCGATCCGTGAAATCGATCGGAGGAAAGCAGCAGTGAAAATTTTTTGCGAGCATTATTGGAACGAGAATTCTGGAACAACGAGCATTTGCATATTCAATGCATTTGCGGCTGGAGAGTTTGCAATTAAACTTTCTATGGAGCCGACAACATTACAAATATTGTTCCTTTCATCGTGCAAGTAGTATGAAAGGTACACCTGTCGAAACAACGAGAAGTCATTGAAAGAGAAAAAATCGTTTACCTTTTGGAAAAATTCTACAGATTGACCCATTTCGATTTGCACGTCAATTGAAAAAATTCAACTATACTCCGAGAACAATGCCGAACTGAAGCAAACTCAACTTCGTCAAATAAAAATTGGAGGAAATCATTAACTTTACAATCTCTGAAAATCTGCAAGTTTCCTTTTAAAGAAAACTGATTAACTATTTGTAAAATAAAAATTGAAGAAACTTGTTAACTTTGTAATCACTGTTTCTCAAGAATTAATTGACTATGAAATTAATTTTATATCGTAAAAGAAATATAAAGAAAATTATTGATTTTAAAATCATTGCTACTTAATTAGAATATTAAAACATCTAATGAAAATAAGTGATTGACTAATGCGAAATTCGATCGATTTCTAATTAAATTTTCTTTTTTCCTCGTGGAAAGGGATGCGTATGTATTTTAACGGAGAATTTAACCTGAGAAACTTATCCTTACAGCGGAAAAACAGGCAATTCCGAGGAAACTCGAATGCAGGAAGAGCTAAAGCGTTCGTTGAACTGATTTACGCCGTTTACTATCTTCCGACGAAACTTTTTCACCGACTGACAAGTTTTCAAAGTTCATTTGTACGACGAATTCTCCATCGGGCATTTGAAAAGACAACTTGGTTATTAGAAACATTATTACGAAAACACGGAAATGTCAGTGAAATTTCTCATGATTACGCTAATTACGAAAGTTCCTTTACAAACGTCGCCGTACGCACCAACTATGTAGATGCTATTATTTAGATGAATTTCTGAAATTAACATCGCAATTGTTGCTAGAATAATGGACACCCTTGAATGAAATGCCTTTGTGTCAACATGCATGAGAAAATGTAAATCAAGCATACTGTGAAGTTGTCAGAGAAATGTATGCGTTCCAAGATTTCAGAAATTTACAAATTTTAAATCCTTTGATAATTGTAAGAATACTTATTTTACAATATTCCAGAATTTCTATCTCGCGATATTACTCGTCCGAAATCCTTTGGATTAATTTCCTTTGTGGCAAATTTGCTCGCAGATATGAGAGATTTATCTATGTAGGACGTTTCATATTGAAATTTTATCGTCTCTCGTTTCGAGAATCCCGGAAACGCATCCACAAAAATTTCTCCCTTTTAAGAGACGGATGAGATAAATTACTTTTATCGGATGCGCGAGGTTTTCTCGGCAAGCAGCACGATTTAATCGAGCTAAACGAAAAACTCGATTACACGGTGACGTTGAACCGAGCAAAAAAGTTGCAACTACTTCTTCTTCTTCTTCATCGAGATTCCTTTTTCACCATTCGACTGGTGCTAATCTGTAAGCTTTTACTATCCGACTTTCATATTAAAAATTGCACTGACGTTACCTATACTTTTACGTCTAATTAAATTTTAATGGTCAAAGAGTTGTAATTAAAATTCTAGCGAGCAAAAGTAAATTGAGACGATACGAATTTCATATAGAAAAGAAATTCTAGAAATCAATTCAATGACATTGATAGGATCCTCTGAACAATGTTCACCAAGATGGGGAACTCGAACAGCAATATCGTTCGATGTTATTATTTAATGCTAGCACTATGGAACACCTTAGCGAGCGAGTTTCAAATAAAGGAACACCGTAAATCTGATCGATCGATGTACGATGGCACATATATACCGTTTACCAGATTGTATATAGATGATGGCACAGGTGCACGAAGGCATCACGATTAATTCGCCTGCATAATCGAAGAAGAACCGATATTGATCGAACACTGACGATGAATAACAAATTTATGAAAGTATTCGAGTAGCAGTATATTCACAGTTGCTATTACAAACATCTAATAGTAACACGATATCACTTACACTAATATATTGGATAATTTGTAATTCCCTTTCCACGAGTTTCAATACGAATCTTATTACAAATGAACGATCAATAGTAGAATTTTAATGAGGAAGAGATTATGCATTAAAATTCCATCGAAACGAAGGCAATAATGAATTTAATTATGACATAATAACTAAATACCAAATTTTCCTAAATATTACCAACCTTAATGATCAGACCTCATTATAGTCACAAGAAATGTATCAAAAATTCAATTACATCAAATGACATTATTCAAATTCTCCCCTCAACTTACAGTATAAATTTTCAATTCACTATGCACATATACATTTGAATAATCGCTAAAATAAATAAATCGCTCAAGCATTCGAAAGCTTTCATTAGAGATTTTACGCTAAAGAAGAAAAATACCCCCTGACGCATCTAATTGTAAGATATGAAATGACTTACTCTCTGGATCACATTTCGCACAATTTCCAATAAACTAACGCAAACGAAATTGGAATGCCTGTAAAGTCTGATATTCCTTGTTCTATCCGGTAGCATTAGGGCCGTGCGTAACGGAGTTGATAAATTTCCGAATGGTGATTAAGACAAGGAGTAAATCCTCGCTGCTTTCCGTTCGCTAGAGTCCGCTCGTTTAACGTCAATATCGAAACCCATCAGCCGAGGTTCGAAATGAAATTATTGATCCATTTTCGACTTCCGTTAACAGGGAACTTCAAAGCGGCTCTATTTACCTTTCACGCATCATTTAGAAAGGCTAAACGGAAACCACGAATTCGCGATAACTTCCTCTTTTCGAGGAGTAGAACATTGTACCCTTCAAGTAAATACTACGAATGAATGGTTTGGTTCGTTTTTTGGTCAAAGGGTGATGAATTTATAAAGGGTGGATGCAACGCGAATCGATCCTCATCACCTTGATTAATCGATGACTGAATCGTGTCGCATCCTTTATAGATGAGAAACACAAGTAACAAAATTGAAAACTACGAGTGAAATGTTTGGATATGGAAATAGTCAAAGTGATAATAGTTATTGATTCATCCCGTATAATAGAAAAGTTTGCGAGGATGTTATACGCACGATGTTTTGTACCTGCAATCGTTTCCACGTTAACATTTAGGAATTATTTAGAAATTGATATTGAAAAATCGTCGTTCAATTTCCGGTGAATTCGATTTTCTATTTGCACTATGTTCAGGATGTTAAAATAAATGGTTGAAAAGTTCACAAACTCATAGTACTATTTTCATCTAATAAACAATTTTTTTGATTTAGTAATATAAGTCACTCTATCTAGGTACCTATGTAGGTATACAGTACTAACTTATATTAATAAATCAAAAAAATATATAGACTATTTTAATCCAGTAATTACTTGTAAGCTTATAAATTTCTCAACCATTTCCTTTGAACACCAAGTATGCACCATAAATGGTGGTATTAAACGTACAACTACCATTAAACATTTCCCAACCAAACATCCCCGATAGTTGACCAAACTGTATCCTTACTTCTATATCCGAGCTAATTACGACGACAGACAAATGCTTGGTTAATCGATAGACTCAAATAATCAAGATTCCGCTGTATCATTAAAGTATAACTTTAACACTTTGAAAATGAACATCAACCGCAACCTTTCCACCATCCACACCTCGGAAAATCCGTTTCGCAACTAATTCGATCATCTCGATGATCTCGTTAATCCTCGAGCAGACGGTCAATTCGTAACCCGTTTCAGGTTATCGAACATTATCGCCAACAGTTTCGAAACTGTCCCTATGTACTGTATACTGTATACTATATATACATCCGTCGTTCAATTTGCCAACGGCTAAAGATCAAACGTGGATCGCGTTAACAGTGGAAGCATAATCCACGGCTGAGCCGTATGTCGCCAACGCGTCGGATCGAAACGCATTTCACGCGGTTGCCTTTCCAATTTCGCTAATTACGTTCTCGCCACCTTCTCGTCGATGCATTAAACCGCGATGCATTTCGCGCCGAAGAAAAGACAAGAAAAAGTGAAAAAAAGAAAAAGAAAAAAAAGTAAAAGTACTTACGTACCACGTGTACGCGATCGATCGTCCGTTTGACTCGGCTCGGATCGGTCTCTCTATTAAAGTCCCCCGGATATCTCGATGAACGTACGATTATCCGGTTCAACGGCTCGCGATCAGGTTAAATGTTCGATCACCTCGCTATACTTTTTTCGCTGCAAAACACCATCGTTACACGGCTAAAAGCGTGTGGTTATCGTTGATGTCCAACAATGGCCGTTGTTGGTTCGCTTGGCCAAGATGATGCTGCAAGCTCCTACAGGAGAGCCCACGTACTAGTTGTTATCGCCTAGACGAACGGAAGTCCGCACTAGGCTATGCCACTGTGATCACCCCTTCCGGTTCCGGGGACCAACAGTTGTCCGACAGCCAGCAGCCCACCACCACGGTCACGAATCCGATCAGCAGCGCTAAGAAGATGTACGCCTCTGCGTTCCCTAAGGAATCTGTACGGATGACACCGGATATGCCGTTTCATTTGAAGAGAAAATTCGTGTGACCCCATGCAACGAGCGGACGTGAGCGAGCAAGCGCATTCTAGGTTTTTCTCGGCTTCTTCTTTTTTTTTTTTTTTTTTTTTTTTTTCTTTGCTTTTTCTAGGGAAACGCGGAAGAAGAGGGTGCATGCGGAACATCAGCTGGGTTACGATGAATTTAATAAAAATGCATAATAAACTCATAAAAAGCTCCCCCCAAATTGACGTACTTTTAACAAAATAAAAAAATAGTGTCAACACTCTCGGTAGGTAAATTAAAACGCAAACGAGGTAAAAAAATGAATTTCAAATTCCCCGTGTTTCTCATAAATTTCGAGACGAGATAAAATCTCAAGTATTCGCTAGTAGAAGCTGGAACGCACCGATCTATGTGAAATTTGAAAGTGAAATCAGAATCTCGAATCACGAGAGAAAAGACGTGTACCGTTCATTCGTTTCATGAATTTTTCACGCCTCTTACGATATTATCATCGAAGCCTGCGACAGACTTGACAGATATTTCACTTGAAAAACGAATTTCAAATCAAATAACATCCGTCTCTGTTTTCTTACCTCATCAAAACTGGCAAATAGTCTGACGACAACCAGATATCGAAACATTTTCTCTATTTCTGACCTAATTTCATTGCTCCATGCGATATTGAATTGCTGTTTTATGTAACAAAAACGTATTTTCCTCGTGACGAAACCATCTGCGAAGACAGTTTATAGGATACTATTACAATAGAAGATTCTCCGACAGCTGTTACCATAGTCGTCTCATAAACTTGGAAACTTTTCCTCGAACACCAAACGAGATGAGAAATTGCTCGCGCTGATAAGCGAAAAACCTAATATTGACATCGAACTTTTCTACGATGCAACAATTTCATTACAACATTACACACGAATGTCGCAAGGATAAAAAGACACAAGTGCACAAGTGCAACGCATGATGCTTAAAATCAACACAGAGCTTCATCATTCACATGCACATTCATCAGACAAAAAGCAAAAGAGAAAAGAGCGAAATTTACCTAGAGGTCCCTTCGATTTCCATAGTCCCTTGATCAGCGTGGGGTCGCCGCGGCGCCAGTCGCGCCACCCTCGGCCCCGACGAGGCCAACCTGCCCCACCGCCACCGGCAGCACCGCCACCGGCTCCACGGCCGGTACTTCCCCCTGATATCCCAAAACCACCCCCAACTCCACCGGCGGCGCCGGTGCCAGAGCCAGAGGCACCACCGCCAGCAGCGCCTAGGGTGCCACTGCCAGCTATGCCACCGCCGGGGCCCGGGGTGCTCGGCGAGCCAGCCTGCGGCTGTCCATGGCCCCCCGCCCCACCACCGCCCTGTGGCAACGGCAATCCAGCCGCTTTTTTTATCCAAAGCAGCGTGAAAAAGTAACGAATTCTCATCAAATTTATTGCCGACCACCAAGGAGGGGAACGACGGTATCGATAAGGGTACTCGAGTTTCTCAGGAGTCTGTGATACACCGTGTACACACCTAACGATTTTATCAGATTTTTCAATTTTTCTTTATAACACATGGTTCAATTGTAACGAAAGCCTAAGGGTCGAGATAAGGGTGTCTAAGAAAAATCGTTAGGTCTACGCACAAGTGTGGTTTATCAGGGTAGAAGAGAGCAATTCGTGGTCGGGGAATCGTGCTCCTTTAATCACCGCCAGAGCCGGAAAATTTACTCGATCGCGGAAAGTTTCTTACGAACAGAATTTAAATCACATGCAAAGAGATCGTTATGCCTCATTTACTTGGACGATGGGTAGGATCTACGAATAAATTTACCGGCCCTTTGAATCTCTCAGTCAGTGCCAGTTGATTTGCATGCGGAATCGCTAAGAATATAAGAAGATAAAAAAAAAAAGGATCTATTCTGCAGTGTTTATAGAAATGAAATTAATTTCACCCGAAATTGTACACTTCATCGAAATTTTCACGGCACCTATAATGCATACCTGTTGATGGTCACACAAAAATATTAATTCTTTGTATTATACCAAAAAGGTAGAAAAAAGAAGGAAAAATAGATCAACGGATATTTTTCCATCAAAAACGGGATATCGTTTGAAAAAAAGAAAAGCATACACAGCTAAACTTTATCATCTCTATAAACTAAACCCATTTTCTATCGTTTGCACTAAAAAAGGATTGAAAACTTTCAAAATTTGATTTACTGTTTTTACGAACGTTTCGTAAATAAAAGCTGACCGATTTTCGCGGTTGTTTGTTTTTCAGAATGCAATCATTTATCCCATCTACCCTCTCATGATACAATTTTAAACAAAAATATATTAATAGACAATAAAAATAGATTTTTAACAGGTCTATTATAGAATTTTTGTTCTTGATGCGCTTTAAAATGATAATTTCAAACTTTCTTATCGCGCGGACACACTCTAGTCCACTGCAGTTTAAGCAGTGGTCCCATAGGGAAAACTTTACAGCTACTTTAAAACTTCCTTCCTTTAATTAAATTTTACGGAATGACTATTTCATGTGTAAAAAGATACCTTGACCACTTATAGCGGTAAATTATTTCGCCTTGTTAATTAGTGATTGTAATATCACGCTTACTTCCAATTGCGTACTAATTGTAAGTATTACTAATAGGACATGGTAAAGACTTACCGCATAAGCAGAGGAACAAAGTACTGGCAAGGAAGATCAACCCCATAACGTCATCAACAGCACGTTTCTGCGAATCTCATGTTACGCTGCACTATCGTCTTTCTTCTTCTCTGGTGAAACTCGATAATGCTAACTTAATCATCGGAAGAACGGCTTCTGAAAAAAGAAAATGTTTGCATGTTAACAAAATGGCGAGGTAATCGCACACGTGAAAGTGACGCGAAATCTGACACGAGCTGATAACGCAAAGACATTGTAAAACTAGCTTACAATTTGATTAATTAGTTGATCCCTTTGTTGATACGGAGCGATTAGTACCGAAACACTCATTATTTCTACTCAATTTTTCACGATTAACTTTCACGGATTACGCAACTCCATACACTACCGGTTCCCGCCATTAACTAACATGGAGGTTGGCGGCAAACGCAGCAGCCCCAGCTACCGGCGAGAATAATAAACTGAACGTTTCGTAGACGATTTATTGATAAGCTTATTACGCACTTCGAAATAAAATAATATCAAAGAAGACTTTATTTCACGTACCGACTGAATGAAATTATCTTTATATTTATCATTAGTTTGTGATACTTAAATAAAATTCTATTTCAAATGGCAATATTAAAGTCGATTCTAATATTGCGTATCGACTGATAGATCGCAACGCCATCACGTTCGCATGGCTAAATCCGAAAACTAAGCGCGCAAACCTGTTGACACTTGTCATCGGTGTGAGCATAAGTAATAAGGCAAAAATGTGAATGGAAGTACTGTAGTTTTTGTAGTTGCGTTGTGTTGATTAAAAACAAAGTGGACTTGCTGATACTGAATCATTCGCGACGTGCTATTCATAATGATTAAAAAGAAAAGATGACGGAACAAGTCTTCGCCACTGCTGATAAACTATCGAAAGTGATAAAGAATATACAGACATGTTTGCAGTGTATGATTTGGTAAGTTTATAATTAATATGTAAACGTTCATGATGCCTGTGTAATAATATCAAATGTTCATTACATAAATTATTAATATTTTCATCTTATAGGTTCATGTCTTAGTAGAGGTTATGTTTCATTACGTTCTCGATCATTTTTTAAATTACATTGTATTTGTTATGAAATAAATATATTGAGTTTATCTTGTCCGTAACTTGCTTTGATTTTATAATTTTATTTACAAAATTAATATCATGTGAATTTTAAGTTATTATGTAATAATACTCTGTCTGTTTAGTATATAGTATTGAAATTTCCTAGTTGTAATTAAGATATGATTAATAAAATACATTTATTATACAAGGTGCAATTATTTGTAAAATATATTACTTTATACGTAACAACCGATATCTGCATTACCAAATGTAATTGTATTTTTCCAATTAGACTCAAGTGTCGCTCAAAGGAATTAAAGTAACTTAAGCATTTTAATTTCATTGTACATAGATCATCATCCATATTCCAAAACTCATTGCACTGCCCCTCAGCTTTCTCATAATTTATTCCCTTTGCTATAGCTTGAAGCACAGGTGTGTAAGGGATTAGATGCTTTTATCTTTCAGTTTGCATACTATATCTAAGCCTGTGAAAACCCTTTGCGGACATCGATTTTGCAACACTTGCATCCAGACAGTGTTGCAAAACAAAAATGCATCCTGTCCGCTATGCAATTCTGCCCTCCATCGACGTGCTATTTCGACAGACGAGGACATGAAAACGTACATAGACCGGCTGGATCGATTGATCGAAGCCATTAAAATAGACTCTGGCATTGATAGTAAGTAACTTGATTGATCACTATCTTATCACGTTTATGATAGTCATCTTATCGCGTTGATGTAATAAAATATTAATAAATAATCGAGGTAAAATCACCTAAAATATTATGTTAAGATCTTAAAAGAGCAATAAATTCAGATTGAAAATTTAATCCTACACCCACCAGATTTATATTATTTTTAATTAAATGTTCCGTGAAATGGAAACGGATAGATAACATTGAAGAAATAATAAATAGAAAAAGAATGTATCGGGAGAGCAATAAATTTCTCGTGTTGCACCAGAGCAATAGATTTGAAGGGAGCTAACATTTTTCCCCCTATAAACTTTTTCTCCGTTCGATAAGAAAAACATGAAGCTTTAAAGGTAGAGCAAGCCGGGTGCATCTATCACAACATCATGTTCACTCGGGGTCAGCTATTCGTTCCCCGGAGTGAAGAAGCTGCACTTTCAAAAATTTAACTCTCACTGTTCTTTGAGGTTCCTATGTTTTACCAAAGGCATTCGAAAGCTCAATTTTTTATCCCCTCGTAACGTTCTATCGAATACAGAGAACGTTTAACGTGTCTCTATCATTTTTTTTTTTTTTTTTTTTTTTTTTATTCGATGACGTTTGTTAAAAATATCAAACGCTTCCGTTTTCGATATGTAGTTATCAAAGACACTTTTTAATTTAATTTCCATATACCACAAAAAATTCCACTCCGTCATTCTTCATTTTTTAAATAAAAAAGCTAATATTTGAAAGTAAAATTTTTCATCACATTCACAGACGCTAATGTATTTATAAAATGAAATAATACCTTGCGAAGAAAATAATCAAACAAATGCAACTTCGAAGTCTCTTCCTTCATAATATACGGAACTGCAATGTATAGGTCAATTTCCTGATGTTCTTCTCAATGGCTAACTCTCAACTCCGACTTTTTCCCAAATGCATTCTCGTGCTTGCAGCCTGAAGCACGCGCGCGCGCATTTCCATGAAACCAAATAAAACTTCTTGAAACTAACCGCGGATGGACACTTCACGAGCTAAAAAGGATCCAGAAACGTAGACAGCTGTCTATGTAAAAGTTTCAAATAAAATGCTATCCTTCTGTGCAAACACCTGAGACTTTAACAGAATTGAAACGAAACGCTCGAATAGGATATGAAAAATTTGAAAATTAATTGAATTAGAATTGCAAGTTTCATTTTTCATAAAAATTTCATTTAAAGAATCTACGAACTTTTACAGTATCCTCTTACTTGGACAAACCACGAAACACCAAAGAGAGTCACTCTCCAATCACCGCCGATTATCATTACGAAGAAAACGTTCAACCAAGTTGTTCCGGCATGAATCGAATATCGAAAAACCACGAGGAACCTCGCACATATTCTAAGAAAAAGAGAAAGAATTTCGAAAATAATGATATCCTGAAGTTTCTGTCTAAATACAGCCTCTCTGGTGTCGAACCTCTATCCGCTGAAACTACGAACGATGATCAAAATCTGCCTGAAAAGGATGAGAATTCCAAGGTGCACAGTTGGTTAAATGCATTGCCAGAAACCGAGGCTTTTGATGATCCTGATAAAATCATTCCCGAACATCCCGCTGAGTGCAATCTCGACGATACCTTGGCTATGTCTGTATCACAGGGCTGCAAAGACAACAAACTGGAAGATTACGAGGCTGAAGAGCAGCAACAACGTCAAAGCCCTTTGAGGAGATCCTTGTCAAACAACCAGGACAAGGATAATGAGGAAGAGAGGGGTCTTTCTAGGTCCTCCGAAACGAGGAATCATGGCTCCAAGGTGAAATTGCCTGACGAACAGGCAAATTCAAGGCCAACTACATCCGGAATCACGAAATCGAGCGAAGAATGCAAAGAAAGATCGACCGACGTTCAGAGGACGTCTCCCTGCGACATGTTACCCTCGATGAAGAGGAACTGGTCCTCGGTCGCTCAGTTTGGCAAAGAGATGCGCACAAAGAAGAAGAAAAAGCTGAAATCTTTGAACGTCAGCAAATCGCGATCACACGAAGAGACTACAGTGGATGAAGGAGCGAGCAAATTAAGAGAGCCGAAGGATGCGAGAAGAGAAAAGGAATCCAGAGTACCTTCAGGCGTTTTCAAGGATCACTTCAAAGAAAAGGATCTTCCAAGACGGAAGAGCGTAGAGAGTCGTGAAGACCCTGAAGCAGCCACAAGTATGGTCAGAAGTGTTATAGATCTTCGTAACCTGGAGAAGAGTCTGCCCAACGTCGAAGAAAGAAGAAAACGCGTAGAAGAAAGCATCGAAAGATCCAATACGCCCATCAACATCACTAGAGTTACTACAGACCGATCTGATCTTGATAAAACTCTACCAAACGACGAAGAGAAAAACGCAGAACGTTTGGAGAATTCTACTGTAGAGGAGTCCTCTTTCATCGTGTTGGAAGAAGGTGAGCAGGTTCGTATACGAAATTTGGACAGTCATCGGATGAACGACATCATCGGCATTGCGGCAGATGACGTCGAGACTCGTCCCGACTCGACTGGCAATAAAGATCAAATGGAAAGTACGCTACCTCTGAAGAAGCGACGCAATATGTCTCACACGCCACCGTCCAAGTTGCCTATCGAAGCAGTCCCCAATAAAATGACCACTGATCGATCGCTATCTAACACCATGAACGAGTCCACCTCTAAATGTCAATCTGTAACGAGTCGGACCTCGAATCGTGGTAGATTGTCCTTAATCAACCATAATACCGATCGCAGGTCCAACGATTCTTCGCCTTCGAACGGTGCTTCGCGATTATCAGATGCCAAACGCGATCTGAACCGACAGATTGATGAAGGTCTTAACAATAATGCTTCCAAAAGAACTATGGAAGACAACAGACAAGAGGACAGGTCTCATCCCATCAGAATAGAAAAACACAAAGGAGACAGGTCTCTGGTGTCGTTTAAAAAGTTAGGCAAGATTTTCAAGTACGGTAAAAAACGCACTAAATTTTTATATCTGGGATCAACTCGGCGCGAATCGTTATTAAGTTTCAATGTAGAGAGTAAGTACAAGAAACCGTGTAACTTTGTAGATTATTTTAACACGCCGTGTTACCAGAATATAAAATTAGAAACCACGTTTGGTAGTAGTATACATGTTACTGTAAACGATTCAATGATGGTAACAGAAGATAATATTAAAGACCTAACTGTGCCAGAGGCAGAACCTTTAACGAAGACTAAGGACGTATCTGAAGAAGCTACCGTAAAACAAAATAATCCCAAAGAAACTGTCCCAGCTATCAATAACGTTCAGAAACCTTGCACCTTGGATGTAGTGATTGTCTCCAATGACGAAAATGATGAACAGCCTCACTCACTCGTTGTATCACCCTCTCAGAACGCAATGTCCAAAAGCACAGTCAAACTAATGTCTCCCTCGAACGATTCTCAGCTGAGGTACTTGTCCTTCGACTCACCCAGCAGCTTTGTTGAAAAAACCTCCAGGTGCGATCGCATCGAAGCTGTTAAAGTCACCGATCACAATAGGGATAACTTGTTAGAGGTAAAAGGAGAACATTCCAAAGCCCTGATTCGCAAAACATCCGGGAATTCCGACAATGATTCGCATTGCGACTTAGCCGCCAAGAGGAAGAGATCAAAAAAGATGTCTACCGATGAAGAAGGTGATGGTTCTAAATCTGATTGCAGTTTCTCGTCAAAAACTACCTGTATCAGGGGCTCGAAAAAGTTAACGACTCGCAGCAAGGACGAGAATGTCCTGTCCAAATCTAGTACTAAATGTGCAGATGTTGTGTCACTCGATTCTGATTCAGACACATCAAATTCTCATTTAGAAAAGTACAAGAAGGTGTACAAAAGAATAATGTCACCAGCCCGTTCTGACACAGGTTCTTCTAATCTTTCAGTAAAAAACAGGAAGGATTCGACTGATTCCCCTCCAGCAAAGCGGAAGCGAACAGCATCTCCGGATTCCGACTACGAGGTCCAGTTAGAATCCTTGGTAAATGGTTGGTGCGAGGACTTGAACATCTCTGATTGTGAGAAGAAGAAGAGCATGTCGAAGGCAGCTCGTGCGAAGCCTGCTCAAGTATACAAACCTCTTTCAGCATCCAACTCGGCGAATATAGCTAACATTCATTCCTCGCAGCCGAGACACCTGTCCGAGTTTGCCTCCAAATTGGCTACCGAAGAATGGGACAAAGTGGTCCAAGTGGACCAGGATTCACCTGACTTCGGCGCGACCATCGACAAGATCCAGAATATTCGAAACAGCGCTACAACTTCCGTAAATGGAGATAGTAAAAAGGCAGACACGAGGGAAGCGACCATTACGGATAATTTTAACGAGCTGAACTTTGATACCAACGCGTTCGATGATTACTTGGAGGCGCACGAGATTAAAACAGCGTTTAATCGTGACGAACCTGGTGTCACCGGAAGTTCGAGTGCGCGTTCGTTGAACAAGAACGTTATGCTGGCACATCGATCTAGTAGTTCGGATAAGGAGAATAAATGTATAGGAAAAAGGATGTTGTACGGATGCGATAGCGATGATGATGTCACTATGATAAAGGATAACAAGAGTAACGATAAAATGAAAGCATTAGAATCAACTAGCGAGCAGGTGAAGAGGATCAGCGGGACAGATAAATCATCCATGCGTAATTCGACGACTTCTGATCATGAGAAACCTGCTGTTGGGCTGCAGGGAAATGTGGATGACGATGATTTGACGATGAAAGAGGTGGATTATGAACAAGACTCACTCATGAACGTCACGGAACATGATTTGTTGATTAAACAATTTGAAGAGGATTTGTTTGGAAAACCTCTTTTTTCGAGCGATTCGTCTAGATTGAAGGGACAGGAGCAAAAGACGCCGCAGAAGACGAATAATAGGAATAAGGTCTGTTTTCTTTTCCTTTTGTAAATTTAAATATAATCTTCTCTGCATCACAATAACGTCTCGATCCAGGCTGATTTTTCCATACCGTGTTTCAATCGTCATGATCGCTTTAAACTGTTCATTTATAAATCAGAATTCAATAGTTCGTGAAACTAATGAAAATTTATAAATCAGAATTCAATAGCTCGCGAAACTAATGAAAATTTATAAATCAGAATTCAATTGCTCGTGAAACTAATGAAAATTTCATTAGTCGATTAACATTTAGGTCTATAATTACACGGTCCTATTTATCTGCTGACATTTATTATACGATGCATAATCGTCTATTCGTCTGCTTATGAGATAAACAAAAACGAACATCCTTATCTTACTAGATAAGCATTCTCAAAGACTTGTTCTGCTTTGAAATATCCAGGACACCGAACACTCGGCCGACGAAGACGACATTGTCGAGAACACTCCTGACACAAAGACAAAGAAGTAAGTAAAACGACCCTTCCATTCGTTGCTTCCATTCTTTTGCAAACCATTTTCTAGCACACACAAATATTCTTCAATCGATAGAGCTATTAGTATACTAGAGACATAAATATAGATTCTCCCTGAAGAATATAAAAATAATATGAAAACTAATTTACATCAACAGTTCGATCCGAGAAGGTTCGGTGATATCATCGTCAACAAGAAGTACCATACCAAGTACTCCGTGCAGCAGGAAAAGCATCCATCCTTTATACCAAAGTACTCCAAAAGTTCAACAATCATCGTCAAGGATCGAATGCAACTCCGCGATAAAGCCAGCACCGATAAACAACGAGTCATCGCTTAGACGTATGAAGACTACACTGGGAATTATGAACAATTCGAAAACGCGAAAATTATGTTTCGTGTGCAGTAGTTTGATACTTTCGCAAGTGGAACAGGTGAAAAAACTAGCGCGAATGATGAACGCTAAGTATCTGACTCAGTTCGAAGAAGAGGTGACACACGTGATCGTGAAGGTGGACGAAGGGAACAATGGAGCGAGTAAAACCCTTAAGTATCTTCAAGGTATCGCGCACGGGAAGTGGATCGTCAGCTACCAATGGGTGATTGATTCCTTGAAGGAGAGGAAATTAGTAAACGAAGAACGTTACGAGGCGGTTGATTGCCTTACTTTAGAGCCCGGACCGCGAAATTCGCGATTAAGGCAGAAGGGTCTGTTCGAAGGATTCGCTTTCCTGTGTAAAGGACCCTACGCTGACGTCTCTGTTGAACAATATCAGGTAAAATTTCTTGGATAAATTTTCATCGATGTAAATAGTCTAGTCGTGGTAGCATTGAATAATAATTCTGATAGAATTCGATAGTAATCTTCTCAGTAGTTCTTAAGGAAGTCTTAGTAACCGAGCGATGCATTTTATTTACGTTTTTCCTGCTATCCAATCTTGCCGCGCTATTTAAACTTGAATCGCTGCCAAGTCGTACAACTTGAAAAATACATTCTCCTTCAGAACTTGCTACGAGCCGCTGGTGCTACGGTACTAGACTCCTTGAATGATCTAACCGCGGAAAAGAGTAAGCTGAAGATCATCATGATACAGGCGGACATTCACGACTACGAGACTATCAGTAAGTCCATTATTTTCTTTTGCAATTATGCGAAGAGCGAATCAAATTACATATGTGTAGGCGATACAATTCAAACTTGTTCTTTTTGCAGTGAAATGGTACCAAAAGGCAGGCGCTGTTCCTATTGTCCATGAGTGGGTGGTGCAGTGTATCAGTCAATACAAATTGGTATCATTCTATCCGTATCTTCAAGAATTATCAACTGTGGAAGTTCTAGCACTTGGATTTCCGGATTTCCTAGTCGAAGGAGAACCTGACGAAGATTCTGATATCACCTCTAACATGTCGATGTGATGAATTATTAATTGTCTTCCTATTTATTCAAGTTACCATTCAAGTTCGCTAAAACAGCGACCCAGAAACATTGTATAATTTCATCTATATAATTTCTGAAATCGAGTATCGCTAACAGAGAGAATTTTTGTTTCTGCAGAGAGATTGCTTGTTTATTTTACACGTGTTGGAGTCGAACCGTGAACGGTAAAAGTGTTCTATGTAATTGATTAATGTGTACTGCAGTTGCTAACGATTTCAAAGGCAATTTGATTTTTGTTTTTGGAAATTTTGTTTCAAGTCAAAACAATTTTTCCCGTGAAGCTGGACTTCAATTTGCAATCGAATTTTTATTAGTTATCGAGTTGTAAAATACTCGTGTAATTGTCTTTATTTGTTTGCGATATACGAGTAAGTGAAAATAGAAACAAAAATTGTACAGTTCTTGAAACATTAAATTGCATAATTTTTGTTATTGTTACTAACTTAATATTTACGTTTCGTGCCATACTGTGATCCATATATCAAAAAATATATTCTGTATTAAAAAATTGTGGCTACCAGTTTGAGCCACACCCTTAATATTTTATTTCTATATCTGACTCGCCTGAATCGATGTGTTACGTGTATCATTACGCTCAAGGGCAACTTAGGCTTCTTTTGGTTAAGTATGGAGAGAGAAGTCTCATTCACCATATGCCTTTGATCTTTGGAGAACTCTGGGAGAGCCTAGGCCCTAGGGAGATCCTAACTTAGAATCTCTAGCCTGGGACTCGAAGAACATGAACAAATAAAACGAGTAATGAAACACTTCTCCCCCTACAATTTCTTTTAAGTAAAAGAAGTTTAAGCACGCAGCTATACGTGAAAGAAGAGGAAATTTTTCTAGATGTCCGCCTATGAGTTTAATTAAAATGATACATGTTAAATAGAGCCAAACATACATCTTGTATGTTATATTTCCTTCGCCATAGTGATTAAGGGTTGAAATCAGAGGACACCTTGAAAGGTTGCCTTATTAGAGGCGTGCAATATCATCGTCTCATTATCATTACCATCATCATTATCATTATGGGTGGGATCACAGAGGCTGCGTGTTGCGAAGGGGCATTCGGACCACTACTCACGTATTCACCGAGAGACACGCGAACGATATTGATTTGCCCGGGACCACCTGTAGCCAACATTCCCGGCTCGCACACCACCACACACCGGTGGTTATGAATCTCGTTCCAATTGCCACCAAGTGAGGAGAAATAATCACTGTGGTGTGTTCAAAGTGCCTTACACATATACCCATATGTAACTTTGACACAAGAAAATCAGAGATGTATCCGTTTTTTAGAAATACTAGCTCTATTCTGGCGGTCAACATAAATTGGTGCTCTTTTATATAAAACACAAAATATTGTGACTTGAAATTTCGTATATCGCCTTATGTTGTTTGTCATGTTAGGCGACAAGTGTCATATCAGACGAAACTTTATGGTTGTCACAAGTGTAACAGCGATCTCCCATGAGAAATTGTATGCGTATCGAGAAAAAAAAGCAAATTTCTTCACACAAGTTTAATATTTGTTTTTGTAAAATGAATCAGTAGATTATAAGATGATTCGGTTTACGTTAATCGAATGGATGATAATTATTTTTGTACATTTCTAATGCGCTTATTAAATTTGCTATATGTTTAATTAATTATTGTTTTATTCAATAGAACCTACGTAACATTGCAGTAACATTGTTCAAAATTTCTGAATTTGCAGGATCAAACTTCACCTATTTCATTTTCCCCTCAGCTTACACTGCTGTATGTTTGCGAATCGTTCGCAATTGTGCATAGTATCGAACGTCTCCATTGTAGTTTCTCCCTTGTACACGAGCCAATGTACACGAATCACGTCCATTTATATTCTACCGAGTACAATCTTGATACATTCGCGAACATGTCAACAGTAGCCTCTCTTAAAACGCTAACTTATGGATTCCTTGGCGAATCGGAAATTCTATCGACAGTTTCTTTGCTGTTTGATTATCTATCCACGAATGGGGTGGACCACCCCCTCTGTTACGTTCGTTATTACTAATGTAATAAAAATTCTTCCATCGTGAAAATTTTCCTCGTGTTTGAACATTTATTTAAATAAAAGAAGAAGAGGAAGAAGAACAGAAGGAAAATGGAAAAATTCATTTTAGTTTAAATTTCTTCTTAAGGAAAAAAACGAAGACTATTTATTCAACCCAATAATTTGTGTATGGTGTTCTTGATGTACTTTAAACAGCAAAGTACAAAGTACACTAAAGAACGAAGTATGTACACGTACGACAATAAGACGAGTAACTATTGTCTTTTCGTTCGTGCAACTTTTTCCAAGACACGTACCCGCGCTACACGAAGGACAACAAAAGCCTCGAAAGGTTGGCTCTGTTATTTATTCAAGAATCGCTTACACGATTTCGCACTCGGTCCACTAATTGCTTCCGCTGGCATCAGCATGCACGCGCAAGTGTATTTTCACCGTTTCCCGAGTGTCCAGCGTCGGCTATCTTTAACCCGTTTAACCTGCAGCCAATAATCGACCAACTCCACCAATATTTCGTTCATCCTGATTATCATTTCATCCTATTGATCCTCCTACAAAATTATACATGAGACCATCTGCGAGACTAATTGAACGTGTTCCGCTAATCCGATAAAATTTGCCTATCATATTAATCCACTTGATGATCTATAGTATACATATGGGGGATGATTAAGTTTTTCTAGGAAAAATACTACTTGAAAGGATTACATTAATTTTTTTTCCATTTTTCCATTAATATCCTCAAAACTATTTCAATCGAATAACAAGCTATAAAATTTCTATTCAGAATCAAGTTTATTAGAGGTTTAATTTTCCTAGCTTTATTCTCTCAGCGAAATAAATGGCACATTGTTTCGAAACGGATAAGCGTCTTAACAAAATGTTTTCACTGGAACAACGTAATAACGTAGCTGTTAGTGGTAGTGGTGGTAATGTTTATAGCTGTTCACGAGATATTATATTATATTTGCAGGAGCGTGTACGCGCGGATGAAAGAGCAGGAATAACGATACGCGTGGTGGTCGGTTTCCGTTCCAATTTCCATTTCCAATTTCACCGTGCCAATTTTTCCCCCGAATATGCGGGCCCGAGTCGTTGCTCTAAATTAATTGAAACGCGGTAATAAAACAAGTGGTAGTGCTTCCGACGCGATGGTGAAAATCGATCCTGTTAACCGCGACACGCGATAGAACCCTGTTACATCCTGTCGGAAACGCGATGAAAAGCTTCTTGATCCGTGCAAGACTGGATTAAAACGATCATTCGAGTGACAGGATGGATTTATATTACAACCCATTTCTTTTATTTCGTTTGAAAATTTATACAATATGCAAAGTAAGGAAGAACTTTATATGCCTTGTTTTAGATGGCATCCTATATATTCTTTAAATGTTTTTCGCATGCAAGCGACAGATTATTCTTTTTTCTTTCCATTTCTTTTACTTTTCTGCTTGCCACGAACACGCTGTGCGGTGCGGTGCGGTACCGTGCCGTACTTTTCTTTTATTTTAATTTTGTGTTTCGTACGAGCTTCCATGGATAAAATATGAAATAATTGAACGTAGAAAAGTAGAAAAATGTTTTTCGTATAAATCTGACGGTAGCAAAGGAAAAACCTTTTGAAATGAAAAATTTTATTTCCGTTGCAGTAACCGGGAGAGCTTGTAATAGGGTTGAAAATAAAAAAAATATTACACTCCTCATCTATCGAAAATGTGTAGATTTCGGATTAGTCTGACGATGTTTTATTGTTATAATCAAAGATGTTAATCTACTCGATAATGGTTCAATATCTTTCGTGTAAGTGTGGATAAAGGAGGCGTGAAAATCGCCCGAAGCCAAGGAATAATATAATAGGAGAACATAAAAGTAGAGGTGAGTCGACGTTAAAAGGATCGGAAAGATCCGAAAATGGCGTCTGTGGTCAGATAGGGTGTAAACAGTTGAAAAAAGAACTTTCATGAATTGTGAAAGGAACGAATTTCAAAGGAACGATCCCTTTTTAGAGCGGCTACTGGGAGAAGTTATGAAAATACGGGACGAGATGTGACCGCTATTCATCGGCCGGTAATCTCGTTAAAGTTATTAAAATCCAAGCGAATGGGTGGATTTAATTTTTTGCGAGAAAAATTATTTCTTTCGCCTTCTTTTTTCGCCGCTACGTAATTTGTATGGCGCGCGAGACTCTTCTAGTTTCATTTAATCGTGGATAATGGAAACGAAGACGCTTTTCACTAATTACCAAGATGAATAAGAAACTTTAAATGAAAGATACATAACCGGTGATGCGTTCCGTGCAAAAACCAAGTTTAACGTTATTTCCTATTTAGAATTGCCAACTGGGAACCAGTTAATCAACCCCCCAAATATTTAACGAATCGCTTGAAATAGTTATCAGAAACTTTGGTAATTTTTAAACGGGCGATATATAATTAAAGAAGACCGGTCTCCTCGCGTGTTACCAATTCAAAATAAATCATCAGGCCCTAAGTCTCCTTCAACCTTCAATTACATTAATTACAGTGAAATGTTCAAATTCTAGTTAGAGGATCCTTAATTAAGGATCTTAATCGAATTTCTATGTCAAAGACACAGACTCCGTCTAAAAGACAGACTTCTTGCTCTGTTTACAGAACGTTAACATGATTTCGCTTTTGTTGATTGTCTAGCAGCTTGAACGAGGAAGTCCATCGAACGCTCCCCTCGTAATTTTCTCTCTAATAAACTCGTCGACGAAAACTACGGATCATAGCTTTGTCTCATTCTCCGCATTCGTGTCAAGTGTCCCTCCGTTGAAGCTTCTTTGTCTCTTGCGAGATCGTTCAGGCAGGCTAACTTGGTTCAAAGTCGACGCGATACTCTAAGTGTTTCGACTAACTACAATTTCGAGTTAATTCATCTCTCTTTCAATGCGTATCCAAAATAATTTTTCCCATTATTCCATCGATGTCCATTTCACCCATTCTTTTACACCCTTTGTCCCTTTATCGCGTCCAGGTCGTTTCGACCGTCGGCAATTAACAATAGCAAGTGCCGCGAGGACCTTCTTCCGCCTACTAATTTGCTCTGGATTTAACTGCAACGCGTTCTAGCTGACGAAGAAAAAGAAAAAAGTCTGTTCTTTTTTCTTCCTCCCTCTTTAGCCTCTCTTTTCCAACGAGCCCTGGCACACGTTCTAAAGATAGGCAACCCCTCTAATCTCGTGTTTTGTCCCGTTTGCTCCCGTTTGCTCCCGTTTGCTCCCGTTTGCTCCCGTTTACCCCCGTTTGCTCCCGTTTGCCGACTGCCTCGACTCGTTATCGCAACGTTGGAAAAGCGTCGCTTCGTTTTTGACCGCTTCGCAAAACTACTCAGCCGAGGGTGAGAATAACGAAGAAAGGGAAACCTAACCCATTCGTCAACAAATTTTATTTTAAGATTATGATATCACTCGAAAAGCAACGGCTGGCTGCTGTCTATTCTATTTGCCCGACTATGCACGTTCCGAACCACGCCCGTCTGATTACATATTGTCTCGTACTACTTGCCCGAGCGGCGCAGTAGTAATATCAACGCTCAGTGCAACGCGACGGGACTCGACTCACGACGATACGAGTCTTCCAAGATATTAAAACTGAAATTCTGAATCAGCTTATTATTAAAACCGTACTGACAGAAATTCTATAGCAATTGGAAACGTGATCACCGTTTACTGAACGTTACCACGATTGTTTACGATCCGCAACGATAGCGGTCTAAAGGTAAACGAACTGTGGATGCGTGGCTGTGTGAATGCACTTGCTGCTACTTCAGCTACGAATGACGAGTGTTTAGAATAGGAGGGAAGAGATCGATCGAGGGCTGTTTAGAATCTGTTGCATGTCTGAGTAGTTTCTGGGAACTGGCTTTCAATTTCGAATTCAAACGGACTTGTAGCAATAATTTTGACTGCCCTATGGAAACCGAATCGTTCAATCTTTTTGTCTTCAGAGTTTTGTTCTAATTACAACTACGATTTTTTAACTGGTTCAAGCCTCGCGAATTAAAACATTGGTAACCGAGGATCGTTAAATTGATTGATAAAAAAAAAATGCTTACGAACTCGTCATTAAGGTTCGATTATTCAGCCATTGTCGAAGCAATAGTCTTTCAACGAGGCAAATTGAAATTATGCATTTCGAACGGATTTTTCCGATATTCCATTGTATCGAAACGAAGTTTTGTGGGGAAAAAAAAAAATAAAATGGAAGAGGAACAATCTCCGATGCTTCTGTATTTTTTTTCCCCTCCTCGAGTCTAAGCTCAAAGAAACGCGCCGTTATTGACTCTTCGTTAATCATGGCGATTCTTTCTGCCGGAGAATCGTTTAAGGTATGAAAAGAAGAAAAACGCCCCCGCCGCGCCACGAGATTGCAGTGTGTATGAACAATTAACTGAGAAGAAACGAGGTGGGAAACAGTGAAAGAATAGTGAAGGGTCCATCTTAATGCGAAATGAAGCGGCGCACTTTACTATCTACGATTTTATGAGAGAATAAATTACCCTCTTCTTAGTCTCAGATGGTACTTCTTCTATTATTAACGTAGCCAACTTTTTATTTTGCCCAAGACTTTTCTCTGGAACGTCCTTTT